GAGGTCCTTGGTCAGACGGACCTTTTCCAGTTCTACTGTACACTATATGCGAATCGTAAGTAAAAATGAACAAGATGCTTAGTAGTTGTACTAACGAGGAAAATAGAGCAAAGTGGCGGGGACAAGAACGATTATCGGCGGCTGTCTCCATCGGAGGTCGCCGGGGTGTATACGGAAACTCTTGACAGGCGATTTGAGAAAATGGAGAAAAGCTATCGCGAGAAAGTACTAGAGGCGATGAGGTGGGAGGATAACAACCTGCTTAAGCATATCGAAAAGCACCGGTTGGAGCAATGGGCCAAGGAAACACGGAAATATGCTGAGGAAGCCGTCGACCAGCAGTATGACGAAACTACTGCCGCTGGAGCAGCGCTGAGCCCGCCCAGATCGGGTTCTGCACGAAGGCAAGCTAAGTCGTTGGACAACGTGAATGGCAAAAACGGCACACACTAGACGTATTCATCATTAGGACAGCGAGTCCCACGAGAAGTTTAATGCACAGGAGCGTCGGAGTTATTTGAAAATTTCATTTCTTGTACCATACTGCATATGCTCGTTTGTTTATATAATTGCCGTGAGGCACGGGCAAAGGGAAAAGTTGACGAGAATAAGGGAGGAGCATCATCCACGGCTAGGTTTCCTTCACGCAAGAACACGATACCGAGGCTTTTATGTAGCGTATCCAGGGGTAGCTTCGCTAACTCTCGCTTAAGCCGATATTCTTTTCTATTCTGTTGTAATTTGTGTTAACCGCTGCTCGTCATTCAAATGACTGAGGGTTTTAGTCTAATGGTGACATTCGTTGCTTGAAATAGCAACTCGAGTACCTTGTTGGAAGCTTGTAATATCAAGAAGCGATAGTTTCTTATTAGTTATTTAAACTATGCTTATGGGAAGCTTCTAACATGCAAAACAAATACCATTCCCTTCTATTCTATATGGTTTCACTTTTTCCTGCTTGCCTTAGGTACCTACCTGACTTACACTTCACTCCGAGCTGTAACCTCTCCTATTCCAGAAACATAATTATCCCCAGCTTCATCAGCATCAAGTCTATCCAGCGCTCTATCAACCTCCTTGTCCCATTTACTTAACCCGACAATCACCCACTCAAGGATTCCGACTAGGTATAGAGCAACACATTGTCCAACCCATAGGCCTTGAAGACCCCATCCATGGAAAGCAAGGTAGATTCCCGCTGGTAGCGCACCGCCGTAGTAGCTGAGTAAATTAACAAGAGCACCAATCCATTGTCGCCCCATGCCTCGGAGTACACCACCGCAACTCCCGTTCAACCCATCGGCGATTTGGAACAGCGCAACAAAAGGCATGACGTCCGCGACGAGCTGGACTACGCGGGCATCGTCGTTGAAAATCCTGCCAAAAACATTTCTGGTGCTCATCAGAACGGTGAGTATAAGGGCGCCAAGAACGGTAGATAAGATGGCAGCGCAGTGGGCAGCGCGTGCTGCATCGCGAGGCTTCCGTGCTCCTAGGAGGTTGCCTATCCGAGCCGAGGCGGCGACGCCTAAACCGAAGGGAATTGTGTTGATGACCTGATCGGCCGTCATGATGACGGACTGTGCGGCGAGCGCAATAGTCCCAAGTCTACCAGCAGCCAGAGCAACAATCTCGAAAGCCCACCACTCCGTGCCCACGTGAATAACTCCCAAGAAGGCTAGACGTGCGAACGGCCAGAGATTCGAGGCCGCGCGACGGGGGGCAAAGCCACCCCAGCATTCGTGGCCGTGTACGAAAGCCGTGTATGCGACGAGAAGCAGGAACGAAATCCAGTATGATATACCCGTTGCAAGAGGGGCGCCGTACAGGCCTAAACCCAGAGGGTAAATGAAAAGGTAGTTGAGCAACGCATTAAGCGGCGACGTGATCAGGAGCACGTAAGTCCCCGGCCTGTATATCTCCTGCGCCTGCAAATACTTCTTCATCGATTCGAACCACACGTATCCCAGGCCTCCCGGAATTAGAATATGGAGAAACGTGCTCCCTTGGACGCAGATGAACTCTTCCTGGCCGAGGACTCGGAATAGGGGCCCGGAAAACCCCCATATCACGGCCACGACGGCGTAGAATGCGGACAGCACTATGATGCCGCGCTGCAGCAGGATGCCGAGGTCGTGCTTGTCTTGAGAGCCGGTGAAGCTCGTCGACGCGAGGGTGTCGAGCGCCGTTGTGCCGCCCATGGCGATTAGCCAGCCTGTGGCCATTGCGAACACTACGTGTGGGTTTCGCGTGTTAGATACTATATACTTTTTAAATAGTAAGAGAAGGTTTATATTTTTACTAACTGTAGCAGAAAGCAGCCGTGGCTAATGCTTCTGGGGAGAGACGGCCTACGATCAAGACCGAGATGGTCTGAAGGCTGTTTTGGAGCGTATAAGCTAATATCACCGGGATAGACGCCTTAGTCAAGAGCCAGATTTCGGCCAGCCATTGCTGGTATTGGGGAGTATTAGTTTGTGCACTAGCCAGAGGTGCCTTCGGCAGGAGCGCGGTCGATTCATCGTTGAATATACTTGAAGGAGACGTTGGAGTTGGCGTCGGTGATGAATTATCATCAGCCATCTCGAAGGTGTGAAGTGAGAGCTTGCGGGAGCTTGGACAGTACAGTATACGGAACGGAGTGCCTGCGAAATCCCAAGCACGGCAAGATAAAAGGCGAGAGGGAGAATCTTACCGGCATACTCTTATCCTTTGTTACGAATGGAAAGCTCTACCTCGATATCTGAATGCCTTTTGGGAATAATCTTCAACTAGCATGGATACCTAGGGATGCGTTGCCCCAGGGATTGGAAAGACGAACCATCTTGCGGGGCTGTATACTACTACTACTACTACCCCTTTACGTTTTTCAACTTGTCTAGAGGTATTCATATCAGCGTGTGGTTCTACATATCTATATGATCAAAGGCAAGACACGGGTCCTGGATAGCGGCAAGACGTAGATAAGCATGCAGATGGAAGAGTTCATGGAGTCGTGGGATGAAGCCTACCTACCTAGGTACCTAACAACCAATAAGCAACTATCTACCCTGTAACCTATTAAGTAAATGTCCGTGATATCGAATTGCACTCGGGGCTAGTGCTACGAGGAGTACCGAATGAGATGCCGTGCATATGGGCGTCAGATGCAGCAGGTGACGGGCAGCGGGTTGCCGTGGAAGACGGCGGATGGGTAGCGTAGCTGAGACTCCCGATTTGGCCAATTCGTGCCGCCAAGAAGAATGGCGAAAAGCCGGGCGTGGGCCATTGCTGGGTTAATGTACAATACGATGCAGAGCCCCCCGTCTCCGCCGTTCTATCATAGGTTGCTAGACATGCGGGCATTATCTAAGACCAATTGGTTTCGAGGAATGAGTTGGCATTGCATTGATACCGAGAGCCGACGGTGTTTGGTAGGTATTATAGTACGAAATTGGTAATGGTTACATATAAATAAGTATGGTACATGACTTAATAGGTATGTTTTTAAGAGGGTTCCGTAACCTCGGGAGCTTCAATTCCTTATAGGCTAGGTAGTTGTAGTAGAGATATAAGCGGTAATATTATGGATCTTATTATTCATATCTACTATTTTCGAGTTACGGTATGAAATGATAAGTTGATAACGGTATCTCTTGGTATAGGTAAAGTCTTTGACTAAAATCGAGACGTAATGCCGGATTTATAAAATGTACCTACCTAATCATTATAAATAGGTACTATTCAATCCCCAAGAAATGATGAAAAGAAGCATAGTAAAGAACAAAAATGGGACGGGAAAGAAGAGAACTTCTCCCCTTGACTAGACACTTGCTAGAGAGTATACTATTGATGTAACTTGGGTAGTTATATTAATAGTTACCTAACTATGATTAGTATAATAAGTATTTCCCACCATATTAATATGACTCCAATCAACTAGCTAATAATCGCTATGCCAATGTCAACTCCAAGAATCAATAGGCCACCAGCCGAATAAAGTATGATCGGGTCTCCCATACCCATGGTAGCGAGACAGGGGATAGAAGGAGAATGAGCCCCAATATGTACCCCGAACCACCCCAGATCTATACCTACCTATTCTAACAAACCGCGGCACCGACGAGTACTTCCAGACTGTCGGCCGTGGTGACCTATTCCAAGACGCCAGCGGAAGTCGGTGGGGTATAGCGCTCGCCACTCGCTCAGGACCCCAATTCGAGATCTACCTACCCGATGGGTCGGGAAGCGGTGCTATTCCCAGTGACGTGGGAAGAGGGTGAATGGCCTGTATGTATTACAGCCGGCCCAAGGTAAAATGAGCGACGTGCGATGGAGCCGGAGTCGGGGTGGAGTGTCCTGGGGGTGGGGAGGCGTATTTCACGCGCTGAGGGTATTCTAGCGTAGGGGAGTATGTCTCGGGGGCGGAGGTGGTGTAGATTATTCGTTTAGATTAATAGATAGGTACCTAGGTAGGCAGGTATATTTATCTCTGTCCGGTTGTATCGCACAAATCCTATTCGTCCCGGCTGGTTATAGGACTTATAAGACTCATCTCTCTCGTAGGTTCTCTTGATAGAATGCCGCTGCTACGCTCAGAGTCCTGTATAGAATCCGTATAATACAGAGATGATCCCTCGGTCTGTGAACGAAATGATCTGAGAGATTCAACAGGCCGCCGGCGACGTCTTTTGATTAGCCTTAAGAATAGCCCCTTCTTCTGCTGTCCTTCTTCAATGCATGACGAGCACTGGCATGATAGGTACGAAGAGCTCCTATACGAATCCGTATACGAACTCGCGCGGGACGTAGGTAAACTGGGGATTTTCCTTGTTTTAAGAACTTTCGATATTATCCCTAGTGGTCGTAGAGCCCATCTAAATGGTCTATTTCTCATTAGATATAGCATTGAGTTCGAGTCCCTATCGAATGAGCCTCGCGAGTTTCCACGAGAGTTCGACAACGATGTGGCGGATCTCGTAGGGACGCTGTGTAATAGGCCTCTTTCCTGATCCCGTGGTGTAGCAGGAGATAAGTGTGAAGATGAGGAGGACTCCGAACGAGGGCGCAGAGAGGCTTTTCGTCTAGCTTGCTGTGCTGCTTAACCCGTTTTAACCGTCGTGGTCATTGCTATGCCCTTTTTCCATTGCTTTTTAGCATTATCAGGGTGGTTTATTTCGTCCGAAATGGACTCTCTTATATTCTGTTGTGATATGCCAGAGTATCCCGATTCGCGGTTTATCGAAACTGGTGCTCGGTGTAGCGAAGAAGCAGACTCAGGGGTAATCCCATAACGTTGTCGTAGTACCGCAGTATCAAGCCCATCGGACGTGAAGACACTTTCAGCGTAGGACGAAGTATCGGCAAGCCAGCGTCGAAGCATCAAGCTCTGTCCGCCGTCTGAGAGGTGCCGGTTGATTCGTTCTACTCTGTCCAAGATCTGGGCGACATCATCTTGCAAGATAATTAATAACGGCAGGTTTCCGGCGATATTAGGAGAATCGGATAAACTAACGTACCCTTCATATAAACGGTATAATCCTTGATTCCGATGATGTTATCATTAACGTCTCCGATAGTAACCCTATATGGATACCTTAGAGTAAGTAATACACTCAATTAACGGGAATATGACGAGCATACAAGTTAGCTATGTCCAATGCTATGGCCAACACAAGGCCATGCGTATTAAGACTGTTTTTCAACCTTTCTAAGCTCTTCTTGCCACTATATACCCAACGCAATTTTCTTGTGCCAAGCGGAGGATGATAATAGGAGGAGAGAATGCCGTAGATTTCGTCGATGGTTTTGCCACAACTGGCCACAACACCCGATATCTTGTCTCTTAGACGCTCGGGTGTTCGCTCTAAGAAGTCTTCGGTGAGAAGCTTTATCGTAGCGCTTATAGACTCAAATTCCGATATTATCTCGTTGACGTCGGTTTCGGCTGCTCGTATATCACACACAAAGGCCGCGGCCACCCCAGAGACGTTGAATATAAGGCCCCCTAGAGTTATGCACGCCATTAAAATAGATAAAGGGTCCATTTTAGTTGCTTCCGTAGGTATCTGGTGGAATATTGTAGCATGATAATACCAGTTATACGGCTAGCGAAATTGGTGATAATCTATTAGCTATATAAACACATCTATATCTTCTTCTCCTATCAGGAGATTTTCCCGTTGGGCTCTCTGCGGGGTCTGTCTGCCTTGGCCTTCAGACGAAGCTGTCTAAGCTTTAACCAATAGAGATGTGCGGTTACAATAATAACACAGGTAAAGTCGCGGGACATATGAGTGCTGGAAAAAACCTATGGTCCTCATGTTTAACACCAACCACTCCGAGGAGTGACATTCAGTGAGGGTTCAAATAATACGGGGCTTAGAGAATGCTTCTACCAAGGTGTATCTAGATGATGTAAGGAGAAATATCTCAACAACTATTAACTATTGGTTTCTATTTGTCTAAGTCGGTGTCATTCATATCTGTAACGTGGGGGCGGGATAACAACTATGCCAGCAGGGAAGAATTTGGCTTGTTAATACTTGGCTGGTTACGTTGCTTCTCTGTCGTGTATTCGAACGTCCTAATAGGAGGCCTGGGCTCGAAAAACAAATATTATAGATAGGTACCCTATTGGTACCCCAATTATTTAACTACTCGACTAATTCAAACATGATTGTTTTTCTTCCTGTGCATAATCCAAGCCCCTATACACTGGTTGTATTTCGTATTTCTCGCGCAAACGACAAAAATTAAGCAACCAAGGTGTACAAAACTCATCCAATGCCTTTATAACTAGTTCGGAATAAAGCTTTAGTGCCCGCGCAGGACGTGGATTACATCAGGAGACTTGCCCCTGAGAATACAAGTCGACCCGAACGCCAAGCCCGTCTTCCCCGTGTTTATTCATAACTCTGTACCCCTTGGTCGTACATTCGATAACCGGGCCCCCAAATTTAGCATGCATTACTCGCTCGTAAAGTCGTAGCATACTCCCTACCGATCCTAGAGAAATAGTCATTGTCGATCCGATCAGCAGCCTATACGCCGATCTGGGACATATTAGGACCGCGAATAGAACCATTATGGCGCCGGATCTCTCTTATGTTGAAGAAAAGGCTAGCAGCAAAGGCTGCGAAGAGGAACCATAAGAATACAGTGCTAGCCTGGATCTCACGGCATCGCTTCTCATTATCTTCTGAACCATATGCAATATAGTCACTGGGTTTGTTTCCCTAGCCACAATAGTTAGTAAAGAGGATCAAGAGCATATTGAATTAGATAGATGGGAACTACATACTATATTGGAGCAGTTCACTGCCTGTATTTTTGCGGAGAAGACAATGGCAGCGATGAAGGTGAAGAGAGTTGCGAGGCTGTCGAGAACAAGGATTACGATGGGGATTGCGACGCGGGGGAAGAAGCGCGAAGCATGATCGTAGAGGACGAAAAGCCAGGAGACGGCGCACACGAACATAACAAAGTTAATAGCGGATTGGGATCCGCTGATATTGTTTGCCATGACATTGCCGACGAGCGCGGTGGTGAGTAAGACGAAAAGGAACTGTATGAGGCTCAGAAAGGCCTTGATCAGATGCTCAATCTCCATATTGATGACAACTCGCTTATATCGCGAGATGGTAAAGTCGACAAATTGTCGAGTTGCAAGGCGGATAGATGACCGACGACTATATGCAGCGTCTAGGTGTGTATGTTCTGAAAGCAATCGATGAGGACTTTGGTTCCAGTTGCTTGGTGTTTTTAGGTCGGTTGTTGTGGCTCTCGCGGGGAATGACGGGGGTAGATGATGCTACGAATGACGGAAGATGGAATTTGGATTTGAGGAGGAATTGTGATTTAATCTGTTGACGAGGGTATGTTATTGGTCGATATTTGAGTCTAAGCTATGGGGTTTGGTTGATGTCGATCAAATGATGCGCATTGATGTTGTTGCTAAAAAGGTTTAGAAACTGGAGAGAGATGGAGAGATGTAGATGTACACTAGAGATATAGTGAAAGGTGAAAGAAAAGATGAACAACAGGTGATTCGTGATCGGTAGTTGCGGGATGATAGCTTACCTTCCCTATGTATATTGTTTTGGTCGCTGTATCTGTTGCTGTTTCTGTTTCTGAATTCGCACACTATGACCTCATTGGATTTTTCCTTACTATTCTAGAAGTAGTGACGCACACAATAACCCGCGGCGCATGTGATAGTCTAAAAGTAGGCGAAAGCTTAAATGGTTACTCGAAGTTTACGGATACAGAACAGAACTCATTATTCTATCATGATCCTTAAATCATTCGGATGCGGCCTACAATGTTATTATTATTATTGCCAAGTTCCTTTGAGTTCCAAATCCAACCAGGCACAAAAAGATCCTGCACCAAGTCGTACATAGTATCCTTGGAATCCTTGGACATCAGTGTCGTACTGAATCCATGGTTGGCCGGGCAGTTAGCCCATGGGCAGATGGGGGGCCAATCATGCCGACATCTCGCGACTCCGCACCACATGCATCATTCAAGGCTCCGTTCCGTTCCCGATAAGATCTCATAATTCCGAATGATTGGCTCTTATGGTTTCCCCAAGTTTAACATTTTGACCCAGCAACCACCACAAGGCGCGCGGGACCCTGCATCTTCTTCACCCCAAATCCATTTATAGATCAGTTAACCTGCGAATATTTTATAATTTCTGCAACATGCAGCGCTCTGTAGGGAAAATTGCGACCTTTGCGAAAACTCTGTGAAAATATACGACCACGTAAGCCATCCCTATCTTAAAGTATGACTCTCACCCGAGCTTTAGCCGATGCCACCCGGGGTTAACGGCCTTCCGCGATGACAGTGTAGCTTAAGAGTAACAACCTAAGAAATACAGGTAACTACCAGGTAGTTAACTATATCAGTTGCTAAGAGGCTTTTCCTTCGTCAGATTTACTTTTCAATTGATATCTTTGCCTAATTAAAATACTCTGTTTTGCATTCGGCCTACCTGGTTGCTCTTTGTCCAAACTTCCGATTTACACGACCTTATGTACAAGAAAAGAACTGGGGAAACGATTCGATATGATGACCCTCGTTAAAACTCCGGGTATTAAGAGATCCAGACTGGTCGGTACCTAGGTACATCATTAGAAGTGGGTTGACACCTCGTTGCATCACCATGCATTATGAGGTACGTACTACGTCCAAATTGATCAAAGCTTTTGATTTTTTCCCGGTTCCGAGTTCCTGAGCTCACCGTCGTGTCATGATAATACGGTCCTTCAAAAGAGCTACGGTCTTAAATAATTTATAATTGGCGACCGTCACGAGGTAGGGGTTTGTTTTTTTTATATATCCTTCCTTTCCTTTGCAACGCCCAATCGGATTTTATATCAGCTACGTTCCGCCGTGTTCCTGGCGGCGTAACCGGATATAAGCCTCACTAGCCTTCCGAATCTTCTCGTCCGAATCCACCGACGCTATTATCAATACTTAATACTTCTTTCTACGTTTACCACCTACTTGCCGTGTCCATTCCCGTGGCTATTCGACGTGAGCTTCGCATTTACTAATTTTTAAAAAAGAGGTTATATAAAATGCCTCCGGTTTACTCCCGTTTATTCCAACCAATGTGGGCGCGTATATTACGACAGACGACACCAAACTTGGAGGGAGCGGCATGGAAGCGCACGTTTGCCTCCGGGCCGCAACAGACTGTGTCATTCTTTACTTCAAAGACTGCCCCATTTACGATACGACGACCGACGATATTTAGTTTTCTATCCAAATCTTCCAAATTACCGTTACGCTCGACCCGGCGATCGTTTCACCGAACTTCCCGCTTACGAGACGCAAAATCCTCCCCGAAAGATGCTCCAGCCCAAGAACCACAGGGGATCACAGCAAGGTTAAAGAAGCTATCGAGAGAATATGGCTGGGCTGCTTTGGGAGTTTATCTAGGCCTGACTGTTTTAGATTTTCCGTTCTGCTTCCTACTAGTGAGGTCGGTAGGGACGGATAGGATAGGTCCGTGTCGATGGTACTGAGAGAAATGGTATATCACTAATAGAACCTAGGCGCAATCGAAGACTGGGTCGTATCAAATGCTTCCAAATTAATACCACAATCCGTCCGGACTTGGTGGCGTGAATACCGCAAAGCCCTCAAGGAAGCCGAAAGGGAAAACATCGGAGACACCGAGATCAGTGAAGATGTTGAGATGGCCGGCTGGGGTGTAGAGGAGGCTGAGAAAAGGCACAAGGCCGAAGCCAGTAAGTTTCATGGAGGATACATCCACCTCAACCCTACTCACATAACTTGCAGGCCTCGGGACCCAGTTAGCTCTTGCTTATGCGGTGCATAAAAGCTTTATATTCCTTCGAGTGCCCTTGACCGCTGCGATAACGCCTAAGGTAGTTAAGGTCCTTAGGTCATGGGGCTGGAAAATCGGAAAGCGACCGAGCAAGCGGTGACCGGAGTTTATTCTCCAATAAGCGAGAGCTTTATTAGTCACAACAATGTCCTTAAGTGGTTTAATGCCTGAACGGATGACTTGTAAAATATGGCGTGAGGGGATGTACGATCGATAAAAGACCATTAGACTCACTCCACATAGAAGATAAACGTCGAAACCAAAAGTTACCTGATTCAAGGATATACTCTGTATAACTTACACGAATAACGAGTTAACGAAGGAATTAGAATGTTATTATGGAACATAAGAAGCGCAACACTGACAATAAACGCAACTAGTTCGGTTACGGGGAAGCCGGTGGTTACTCTAGTTTAATAATTTGACTCTATTCCGCGATAGTTGCTATAAGGCGGCGACATACAGCAGATGAAAAAATTACACAACTCATTAAAGTTTAAAGTTTGGACTGGCTTCGATCTCATGTTACTGGAAGATATTTTATTCCATTTTATTCGACTATCTACGAGTTGGTGGACCCAACTACGTGCGCCCTCGTCTACTCCAGCAACTCGCGTTAGGTAGCGGGAGAACCAAGTACGAATTCTGGATATCAGATGGAGAATAAGGTTGCAGCTAGTTGGGACTTTGCACAAGGAGAGCAACACATGTTCAAAAATAACATCTAATATAACCAGGTAGTTGAGTAGTTACCCCCCGACTTCCCCTGAAAAATGCAAGGTTCATTATACTTTAACCTATTTATGGAGTACAATTTCGCAACACAGCCCGTACGCCATAGGCCAGGATATTATGCTCCTTTGAAAGTATTGGAGTAAAAATGGACTATCCTCTTAACCGGTGTAACAGAAGTCAGGCTGACAGACGTTGTCAAGAATAAAGTTCAATAGGGCATCTTGGCAGAACAGCAATCTTGCTGGTTATTCATTTCTATTTTTGGTATCGATACATCAAGATTGGCTAAAGAAGATAAACTGGCTCTATATCATTAGATTGGCCAATTATATTTCTTATAGAGGCATATTGCAAGGTTTTTTCCTTTTATATGAATGAATCGCGTTGAACTTCACGTACTCTACCGATTATAAAGGGGATAATGCCCCGCAGCTCCATTGCAGCGAAAGTGGTATCGCCATGGCTAGATCTCAACAGTAGTTGGTGAGAGGACCAAGTCCATAGTCTTGTCATTTATCACAGTATGCGTAACCATAACTAAAGGGGTAATTACGAGTCTCCTAGAATGTTTGAAAGTTCTATCTTACTCGTATGGCCAATCATTATCTTATTATATCAATGTTGACTTACGAGTTACCTATCCCCTTGACTGGCATTCAACTACACCTACACTATTTTCAGTATTGATACATAAGTAAGGATTGGCCAGGAAAGAGAAAATAGCTAAACCGGCCAATGATATTTACGGGTTATACTAATTATCGGACCTTTTCTTATTATGTTAACGAACGACGTCAAGTCTTACCTTGTACTGATACTAAAATAGTGGAGGTGTAGTTGAATGCCAGTCAAGGGGATAACCACTCATTCGACTGCTCCGGGCACAACCCGGCCCACCACGACCAGTATCCCTGAGGGACGGTCAAATTCCTCCGGTGGCCATAGTAAAGTCGTTTATTCGATCGTAATCCATATGTCATGTACCTGAATAAGGTCGTTATACCTAAAACTAGCACGTTGTAGCAGGGATTATGTACGGGACTAGGGGCTACTACGAAAGCCATCGTCCCGAAAAGCCCCCTACAGTAGTTCCAGGGAAATGGGATGGGGGTACGGGAATATGTAAGAGCGAAACCAAAATCATGAATCGAAACACGGTATCGATTTGACTTGGCAGATCACCGAGTAGATTAGTTGAGCTTAGCCACCTCTAGCGCGCCATATACCATTCTTCTAGAAGCCGTAAAGGTCCCCAATGTCGACAGTAAGAGACACGATCCTCAGTCAAAGGTCCACTAGACTAATATAGACATGTGATTTGATGAAGAAAATGGGATAACTCTAAAGTTAACTTCACTTCAAAAGGTCAACTTTGATTATAGGTATGTACTAGGTATCCTGAGCCGGAAGGAAGTATGCTCTGTGATTATTTAAAGGTAACGGCCTGCCAGGAAACAAGAAACTACCTACCTTCAGATACCCATGCGTACCCGCGGACCTAAACCTCAACGTATATATATATACCTTACTTAATACTTTATTTGATTCTTCGTAACTATATTTATTAGCTATACTTCGACCAGGAGCTACCTTTAACTATCGTAGACCATTGACGTTACCGCTCTACATGCCTTATATATTCTCAGAACCGCTCCCTAATTTAAATTGGTCGCCTAAGACATATCATACAACGCAATCTTGGATAAACATAACAACACCGTTGCCAAACATGAAGAATAGTATGTTAATCACCTTCGCGTTTTTATTCATTATTACCTCTGCGTCTTGGGCTATCACAGCACCAGAAAATACCGGTTCGCGTGCATACATACCTCACATATGTATACCACACCATATCATATCCTATGCTAACGAATCAGGTACGGGCAGAAAGAGGAGCTCATCACTGCCCTCAAATTTAGAGTCCGATCTGAAGCCGAATTTAGAATTCGGGTTTCCCGACGCCGCGGCGCAGATAGTCATGCTGGTACTGGAATTCGCAAGAAATAGTCCCAGCCCCTTTACCGATCCGATAATCATAACGGTACTGGGAGAAGCGCTTAGGAGGATCTGGCTAAAGCTCTTCGCAATACCATCCTACGTCATGACGAGGAACGAATTCGCGGTTTTCAACTTCTTCCAAAATCAATATCTCGACGGTGGAATAATAGCTGAGATAGCTGCCAGGGCGAGGGCAGCTTACTGGGACGGGACTTATGGCGATGACTAGGGCTGACTTACGGGGATTTCGGTTATGTCCTCAGATCAGATGCGAGTGAGGCACGGCGCAGGGCTGACTACCTAACCTGCCTCTCTTATTGACATACCTAAGTCATTTTTATTGGCTTGGAAATCCGGAATAACCTCACTTAACAACCGCAGCCTTTTGTGAAAGTACCAAAAGGCTCAATTTAATGATGCAATGAGATTACCTATATTTCATGCGTTTTTAGAGTCAATATTCTGTGTCTTTTTTTTCGTAGTTTTATCCAAACCTTGTTGGAATTTACGTGACAACTATTAAAACTTATAAGATAACTATACGTAAGGTAGGGTGCTAGTACTTACGACGCGTATAAAATACCCCTCGCAGCCTAAAGACATACGCATATATACCTAAGAGGTATTGATAGAGCGCCCTTGTCAATATATGAGTAGGTATTTTGTAGTTGGACGAATTTGTATTCCCGGGTTAACTTAGAGGTAAGTCATAATATCCCTAGGTTAGATTTCTGTAACTTGAGGCTTGCTACCCGTACTGCCGTATCACCGCCACATACTGCCCCTCGCCTTAGGTAATCCCCCCATGTTATGACGGCTGACTTACATAGGTACCTATGTACCTCCTAAGATACGCGTTTTGATCGAAACTTTGAGGAATTACTCATGTCCCTTCTTTACCTAAACTTACCAAGATATAATGATAATTCAATCTTCGCTCATTACGTTTCATTACCAGGCTACTACAAACCCGCTCATTTTTAGCATGAAATTCTTGGATATATAGGGTAGCTAATTACGTATGTCCGCTCTCGGGTCCATCGATACACAACAAGATGATAACTCAGACTCCCAACAAGGCATCGTCAAGTATCAAGGCTCCGCATCAGCCTCTTCATCAACACCACAATGCCTTGAGGAAACCTACCATCGCTATTGAGGACCGGCCGAGGCTGAAGCTAATTTTGGCTCTTTTTGGCCTCCTTTCGCTCGCCTGGTTTATAAAATTAAATTTTAAACAATGTCCTTCTATCTTAGACCTTAAACAAGCCACCCGGTCGGAATTTGAACCAGAGATCCCACGTCAAATTCCTGCTTCGCTACAGGCTCAGACGCCGCTGGAGTGCTTTCAAGTCGCGCAACCTGTGCTTACCCCCAATGGTCCGTCCGGTAGTAGGCCCAAATCCGCAGAGGGCCCCTCGCCAGAAAAGGCTTGTTCGGTCCTATTAATGGAACATGTTTTTGCATTTAGCTATGGCACGCCATTCGTTGGTAGGTGACATGCCTAGGTACCTGCCTAGAAGACTTTGATGTGCGTTGAACAACCATTTCTGATGGTTAATAGGAAATTATACACCACCTAGCTGCCCTTTTAATCGAGTTATTATGAACTTCACTGTTGTCTCTCAAGGCCGTCAATTCGACCGCCTGGCACTGATGTACTTTGGCGACACCGAAGTATGGCGTACTTCGACCGCAGAGCCAACATTACCTCCGGGTATACGTTGGACATTCTTAAAGGATATGACCGAGTACCTTTACTTTTGGAAATCCCCCCAGAAATTAATTTTCGACCTAGGCAACCTGGTAGACGACAAGTATACCGGGTCATTCAATGCCACTTTAACTGCCACATATTTTACGGCTGATATTGAGACTGGCGAAGGATCTCCGGCAGACTTGATTATCCCAATATCTGCGAGAAAAGGGGACGCGAATGGGGCAAGCCATTTTACGCTTCCAGCAGACGATGCGACTAACAATATCAGTTTCCCTCGAAATACTAATCGAGCTGTCTTCACCATCTCGGCAAACGGACAGGCTTCGGAGGAATTCTGGTGGGGAAATGTTCCGCAAAGCGATACTCTCACGTTTCGCCAGACTGCTGGACAACTGCCTGGACTGTCTCCCTTTCGTGAAGTCCAATTGCTCATCGACGGTAAGCTTGCTGGAGCTCAATGGCCGTTCCCAGTGATATTTACCGGCGGAGTGGTGCCTAGTCTGCATCGGCCCATCGTTGGCTTACAAGCTTTTGACTTAAGAGAGCAACAGATTGATATCACCCCATGGTTACCTATGCTATGTGATGGAGTTGATCACACATTTGCCATCAGGGTTGCCGGCTTAAATAACTCAGAAAATATTACCGACCTTACACTAACAGAAAGGGTCAACGACAGCTGGTACGTTACGGGTAAAATATTTATATGGCTAGATAAAGAAGGATCGGTGACTACTGGCACCGGCCCTTCAGTAGAGATCGCCGGACCAATAATTTCGCTTTCGAGCCAAGTTTTCCAGAATGCAACAGGGTTTAACGAATCGCTGGCTTTCAACATGACCGTTCAGAGGACGATTACTATCAAATCAGATATCAAGTCGGAGAGTCAAAATGGAGAGACTACTTGGTCTCAAAATCTCTCATATTCGAACCGAGCCCTGATGTCGAACTTTGGAACCACTCAGATCAATGACTTTAGTATTACTGGAACGGATTCTACTACCGGGCCTAGTACCTCTTACAAGGCGATTTATAGCTATCCGCTATATTGTAATCAAACGTACTTAAGATCGCCTCAGGGTAATCTAACGATAAGTGCGCATCTAATAGAAGGACTCGATCTTCAAGTAGAGGGGAACTCCGTCTTCCCCACAGGCCTCGAAGCTTTCGAAGGTGACACTGTTAGAAAGAACCCGTACTCTACTTCGTATCTTAAAACTCACCGCGACGGTACCGCGTCCTTCTTCCGGACGGGAGATGGTAAGAATAGTTCTGGCTATGGCTCAACCAACCAGATCTTCTACTTCGGTGGCTCCAGTGAGAAAGCTACTCCAGAGGGTGGAAGTGGTGTTGACGAGCTCTACTTCCGAAATGTGACGGCGGTGAATGGCACTGTTGCGTCCGACTCGGAGAGGATAGAAGGGGTACAGACTTATGGCTTCAGTCGGGTATCAGAGCTTCATAGTCCTGTCGAAGCAGCGTTGACTTTATTTGCTGATGTCTCTGCCAAGGTGCCAAGGTCGAAGACTTCGATAGGAAAAGATACGGATGACCACAGAACACATAATAATCCCTCGAGGCAAGTTTAACTTCCTTAAAGTGGCGGGTATGCTATCAAGGGAGGTCCTATTGTATTATTATAATAAAGCTTAGAAGACATTCGTATTTATTATAGATAGAAAGTTATATCTTAATTATTAATTCTATATTTGACTCATGAGCTGTGGTCTATACTACAACCGTGATAGGGTTTTGCATTTAACTTTCGTTGAGAATTTCCTAAGAACTTAACACCTTACGCCTTGAGCTTTTGATGTCCCAACTAGTCGGATAGTTAATTCTAAATCTATACATGTTTATCTCGATACGAATTATAATCCAATTTCAGACATCTACGGAAATTGGCCATTCAAATCTAACTTTAATCTTCATACCTGGGTATCCATTACTTCTTCACGTAGGTACCTAGTTAACATATGTCCTCTCGGATCAGTCCAACCAATTACCTCATTACAGCATCCAAGAGCCAGCACCGTACCAATATCCATATAGAATAACATAAACGCGTAATTTCATGGGAGGGGTATTATGCCAATATAGTAGCAAGTAGTTCCCATCGAAAACAAGGCCAAGTTCCGTCGTATTAACCCTTCATCGAGGAACGCCATGCTGAAAACGCTCAAATATGACCCAATACCTATACATCCACCCATCCATCCATTCCGAAGCCGTGAAGGAAATACGGGCCGACTCAGGGTAGCCTACGCGCCGTCGTCCGCGAGCCCGTCGACCTTGTCAGCTGCCACAAAGTAATCCCGGCGATCAGCCTCCTCGAGGCCCTCGTAGAACACATCGGCCATCTTCCTGTACCCGGCGTCGTCGGGGTGCGTGCCGTCGGTATTCAGGTCGTCGACCTCGGGCCCGTTGTCGCTCTGCATGTCGACGACGACGAGGCGCTTCTTGCCGTCGCGCTGCAGCGAGTCCCCGACCTTCTTGAGCTGCGCGTTGTAGTCCTCCACGCGGGCCTGCACGTCCGGGTCCCGGTTCACGAGCAGCGTGGACAGGATGACGGTGGCCTTGGGCGACTCGGCGTACAGCGCGTCGAGGAGGGTGCGCAGGCGCGCCCCCGCGTTGGGCACGTCTTTGTTCTGCACGCAGTCGTTGGTGCCGACGTTGACGAGCACCACGTTGGGCTTGTACTTGGGCACGGAGGTGTTAGCTTTGTCGCGCACCTGGTCGATCGTGTAGCTCTTCCAGCCCTCCGTGTCGTTGTCCTTCATGGTCCCGGACGGGTTGTTCCCGACCATGTTGACCTTGTTCCCGGCGGCCTCGAGCTTGTCGCGCAAGTCCTTGCGGTACCCGTTGTTGTCCGAGGACCCGAAGCCGAAGGTGATGGAGGCTCCTAGGGGCATGATTCGCAGGGGAACTCCGTTTCCGAATCCCTTTTTTGCTCGGGGAGTAAGGGCGTTCCTTTGTGGGAGCCCGTAGTTGGGTTGGGACGACTCTGGCATTGGTAAAGCAAGGCCTGGGGTTTTATTAGAATATGGTTGGTGATGATTAAGGGAGATATATTGGATTAGGACTTACCGCTCGCTATTTGCGATGCGTATGCTAAGACACACCATAATAGTTGCTTTTGAGCTAGCATTGTGGCAACGACGAGATTGGCAATATAATGGTCTGAAATAGTATGCCAAGTTCCTTTGTCAACTATAGCCTCTGATCGACTAACCTAGTGTCTGCTCGTCGTGATCTACTGCGTGTAAGCTCCTAACTGCGAGATTTCCGAGTCTCCATCCCTGGGGGAGCGTGGAAAGCGGACTATTTATCATTGCTGCAAGCCTGCATTCCTGGCCGGAGTCTAGAAGCTCCTTCGATGTCTCTCCCGGGACCCAGTGGGCCAGCACTCATGGCTCCGCAAGGCTGGTCACCTCCATCATCGACCCATCCGGCAAACAGACTTGGTTGAAGTCAAGGCTAAGCATTTTTTCGATCGACGCTACGGCACTGCAAGGTCGTAGTTGGGATCTAAGAGATCCCGGGTATTATGGATTATGGACCGTGAGCAGACCAGACTCAGACTCGGGGTCCAGACTTCAGGGGGTCACGTTGCTACATAGCTAGCTTGTTTAGATGTCTTACATGCAGTATTCCGTGCATTATCGATCCTATGCTACTACCCGAGTCCAGCCAAATTTTTTTCCTTGTAGTACGTCGATAAGGGGTTTTCTGTTTATATTGGTTACATCGGGTTGATAATCCTATTGCAGGTTTCCTTGATGTTGATTCTCAATAGGGGTTTACGGGTAAGCATCCTGCGTTCAGCAATTGTGGGAGATGGGTTCGGCAGATTCGGTAATTGGAAACTTGTTGCTTCCATTCCCAATTGTAGGCGGAATCTAAAGGAGTGGGATCCTTCTGAGTACGTCAGGATGCTTTAGGGATATCAAGTCTTATATATTTTATTAGTACTGCCACAATTTTTTCAACCAATCAGATACTTAGAATCGCCCCGCAGTTTGCGACTTTTTCCTTTGCCACTCTATCGCATAACGTCTGCAAAAGGTGCAAATGATATAGAAAGGTCATGCAAAACGAGCTCTATCTAACGATACCAATTATTAAACTTTTTATACAATACTGAAATAGTTCAATTGATTTTACAAAAAATTCATCGGACGTGCGCTGAGTTGTGGCTAGCCAATCAGAGGCCAGACTTTAGCTGTGGCGTTAGTTTTGCGCATGATGCCCTCCCTTTTCCTCCTCTTTCCCCGTCCGCGGCTTGAGCGGACGGGGCAACGCTGCTAGTTATACATAGATTTGGGATCAGCAAAAGCCGTTGTAGCTTGCTTCTAATAAAAGCCAATGTTCAAGATGGGCTGGGGTTGCTGAAGTACCTAATGTAGGGCGATCGTTGCTCTTTTCAGCTGAGATCCCTGCTCCACGTCGTAGCTCGATCAACCTCGGAAATGTCAATGTCGGGATGGTGATCTAGAAGCCAGATGGCGTTTGCAGATTCTGATCACGTTGGTAAGATATCTCGGCTGAATTACAAGGCTAATAGCTCGTAATAACTTACTATTTATATTAAAAAACACTTACACAATAAATACCTCCGCCGATTCCTTGGTAGCCAATGATGAAGACTCAATATGTACCTAAAGTACGTACGTAGGAGACACTACTCTAGTCTCGAGAGTCACATCATGTAGGGATATGTCGAACATATCCCAAGGATTAGAATTCACCGCGAGACAAGACTGTGGTGCTATGCCGGGATTAAAACTTGGGAGATCTGTACGCCCAACTTTTCTCTCGGATTTGTTGGAGAATCCCCCGCAAAACACACATGGGATAGCAAAGTGAAACTCCCTGCGTGTCCGTCTTCGGTATTTTGTTTTCGTCCCATTTTCGAGGCTGTTTTATAAGCATGGGATTCGTTAAGCTAATTCTGACATCAGCTGTTACCCTTATCTTACGACTTGCTGGTTGGTGAGCATGGCCTTTTACATAGCCTCGTTCCTCTTGGCAGATCTCTCGTACGAATTAGCATCCGTATGTAGGTACCTATTTCATTTCCTTACGAGATACATATGTACATTCATCTATGTATGTAAGGTCGTATGTAGAGCGACATTCGGATCTCGCCTTACCTCGCTCTACCTACTACACACCGAACTAATTACATCATTAATAGAATCCTTATGTAGCTTTCTGGCGTCGATCAGCTTAACACGTGCTCGTTGACTTAGGCAAATATTGTTTAATCCGTGATACGATATATACTATTCTCGGCACAGGCACATATGACGATCGTTCACCTAGGTAGCTTGCATTGGCTGCGCCGAACGCTCGGTTCTATACGACTCGCAAGGGTCAGCTGGTTTATATAGATGGCTATATTGCGTACCTAGTACATTGTAACGTTTTGATGCATTTCTGACGTCAAGTATCTACTTTGATAAATTAATTTCACTCCGTAATATTTAAATATATACAAACTTGGTGAATGCTCCGACAGCGGTTTAAGCTTATTTCATACCATATAATTTAGGTACTTTAGGTAGTTGTTGATCACATCGTCTCCGGATAGTAGACCAACATTCTGCTTTACGGCACCGCCCGCAACATCCCTGATTTGGCGAGCAGCTGTTCTATATTTACTTCCCAGTGCCTTTAGTCGAGGTTAGTCGCTTTTAATATTTACGGATGTCTACCTATCAGGTACCTAAGACACACGAGGCCTAACTTGAAGCTTAGGCTAAGAGCAAGTAATCCCTTTCCTATATACTATCATGTCGATCTCGGTTCCCGTATCATGACGGTGATTTGGTATGGATCGTCATACTCCTCCCCAGTTAACTCTTTAAGGTCAAAAGTTAACCGATCCACTTCTCGAAAGCCCAGTTTCTCGTACACTCCTTTACCGTTAGGCGTAGCCTCTAGATAGGACTTGAGGCCATGAGCATCGGCGATAGCCAGCATGGGCAGTAACAGCGCTTTCGCGGCTCCTCTCCGGTAATATTTAGGTGATGTGCATAAAAGTGATAGACCTGTATGTACGTCGGTATATAATACTCTCTTTAGCCGTTGAAACATATTCAAACAATGATCGTCATCTTTACTCACCCAGCATCTCATCCGCATTATGTTTATCCGAGGCAACTTTCAGCGCATCAAAGAAAACCTGGCATAGCTCTGGCCGGCTACCTTTTGGGTAATCTTCAATAGGGGGGTTAATAGCTTCGACTGGCGGGTTCTCCCCCGTAACGTCTCCCGCTGTAACGATCTGGGAGGTATCCACGGTAGCCTCCTTAGTATCTCTGATCGATTCCCCAAAGGCTTTCTCGTAGCCTTCGGGAATGTCCCATCTAGCGAATGCAACTACGTCACCGCTCTGGTCGTCCGTAATTTTGAAGTGTCGGACGCTTCGGTCATCCAACTTGCGGCGGATGCGGCGCTTCATCCAAGTAAACATGTCCTCCTTATTTGGCGGCCACCAGAAGGCGTTGCGTTTGTCAGTCGCAAACGCATCGTAGTATATATCTGCAATGATATCCACATCGGCAGCTGTGCAATAGGACATGGAGAATCCCTCGGCAAGAGATGAGGGTATCGGAAAAGGTAACGACATTGCTTAAGATTGTTTTCCTTTTAGTCTCTAATATTTACTTGGTCTTAATCTTTAAGGGTAGTTAAGTAATAAGTTGGACTTTTTGACAACATATATAAATGAATATAAATGAAGAGCAGACGAAGCTGTATGGACTAATATACGATTAAAATTCGTGACCTGGATAAGCCCATATATTTGCCCCCGAAGAGGAAGTAATCCGGATGTACCGGTCATAGCGGCATCGTCGGTTGCGGAGTATCGCCCGAACTGGAGGTCTAAGCTATACCATGTAGGTAATCTAGTATATTGACCAATCGAGGCTCAGATGATTGAGCTAGACATTATACGACCTTCCGAATAAGTCTTCTGCTTTGGTTTTGATTGGTCGTATCCTGCGACGTACGCCGATGACTCTATCGGCGAATAGAGAGAAAATATCATATTATGCAGCAAAGCCGTATTTCTTAGAAGCTGGTCAAAAACTAGATGGCATCCTGAAATGACAGCATTATACTCTTTCGCTGACCCAAATTGCACCCCTACATCCTAATCGTATCACGCCAGTTAATAACCAGTGCGGCTCGGCCTTCTTCGCATCGTTATCAACGGCATGGTCTAGATGCTCTAGCTCTTCATCTCGTATCCTCCGTAATGTTGACACTAGATCTTGCAGCTCCTCGCCCACTTCGTAGCCTTCAGCCTCCCACTGTTCGAACATTTCTAGCAGTGTCCGTATTTGGTTGTTATAATGACCGCCGATCTCCGTCTCGACAGCTTCTGTACAAGCCATTGCGGCCTCCCTCCCCATAACTGCCGTTGACCACCCCAGCCCCGATGCTAAGACGGACCAAACCGGGTAGAGGGCTGTTGGGCGCACGCGGTGTTTAGCGATGAGAGAGTTGAATGTATTGAGGTGGCCCTCTTCTTGGGCGTACATATGGGCTAACAAGGGCCGAAGATGGGGGTGCGCATTGACAAGCGGTGGCGTCTGGGCGGTATAGATCAAGGTAGCAGCTAATTCTCCGGCTTGGTTCACACGGAGCTTAATAGACGGCATCTTAGCACGAGTCGTAGAAATTTAATGTCTAAGGAGGTGCTATCTAAGGCGGCCTTACAGCTGAAGAGAGAAAATCGCGCTGCTCCTTTGTCAGGGGCTTCCGTTTAGGCCGGGATCCTGACGGGTCAGTCGAAGAAGACGAGGCCGATGATATCGTTGCATTATTCTTCGTAGTTGTGCTTAAGAATTGTCTTCGGGTCGGCTGGGATAAAGTAGGGAGGAAAAGGTCTCGTAAGGAGGATTGAAGAGTTTGGCGCACTGCGCATGTTTTTATGCTTGGTAGGGACATGGCTTAGCAGCACAATTGAATAGGAAATAGTTAAGAGATCTCGAGATTAAGATATATCACCTGCATTTCATGAAGTAGCAGAGCAGACCCGGGAACGGCGGACGGTGGACGGCGGACCTGGTTTCTAGCTCCCGATGGGTATCTAGGAGGTACATAGGTACATAGGTATGATCTGACAATTCCTTATCTGATAAGGTTAGATCGTGCATCCATAGTTCCTTACACTAGGTACCTCTTAAGGTTCAGCTCGGGAAATTGATTAGGTAAAGTGTTAAACACCCCCATCCAATGGGAACAAACAATGGGAAGAACAAATGCAACAGCCCAGACGTGGTCGGTCCTTCAAACTAACCTACTCCAAACGCAAGCTCAATGAGGCTGTAAATTCAACAACTTAAATCCTTTTTACCTTTGGTTTATTATCTGACGCCTGTCACAAATAGGGGAACGAGCACCCAACTCTATCAACCGCCTCCTCTTTTCTCACAATGTTATAAGTACTTACCTACCTAACCTATCTTCATTTAATTTGCCTGCCTTTTTTTCTTCCCAAAAAAACTATTTCCTCTTTATAATCAAGAAACTATCGATCCTACGACTTCCGCGACTACTCGCCGTCGCGCATCACATTTTCTAGACATTAACATCTAGTCCGAGTCGCCTTCGCGAACTAAATATTCTATCATCATGGCCGATGTAGATGATGAACTCCTAGCCCTCGTCGGAGGCGACGAGTCGTCTGATGAGGAGCAAGAGCAACCTGCGAGTCCTAGTCGTTCTGTATCTGGTTCACCCGACCCCGAAGCCAAGGATCAAATGTCGAGCAAGACGAAGCACAAGTCTAGCAAGAAGAAACATGATGATTCGGATGAGGAGGAAGGCGAGGCGTGAGTTCCCTAGTCATGTTACTACTTCCTTTAACCCCACATATCGTATCATTCAACATACGCTCTCTTTTCGATTGTTGTTGCCATGCAACAGGCAGAAGATAAGGACAGCCTTCTTGCTCTTCGTCCAAGTCAGCCAGTCTTCTTATTAACCCCACTCAATACCTCGCAACGCCTACTTGAATCGCACCGCAATTCATTTATTTAGTTTATTTCTCAACATTCAATAAACGAACTAAGCTAACTCACGCGCGCCATGCCTCACAACAGTTCTTCTATTGCCTCTCCTGCCTCGCAGAATTCTGCACCCATGGACGAATCTGATTCCGAGTCCGATACCTTGCAGGCTACCAACACCAACGGCAAGATGGACGATGATGATGATAACAAGTACCCCATCGATGGAATTTATGCAAGTGAGGCAGAGAAGGAAGAGATTTTAGCTATGCCCGAACTCGAGCGAGAGCAGTTGCTTGCTAGACGTCAGGAGGAAGTTGATCGCCAGCGACAAAACACCTTACTTCGTCGATTACTAAAAACGAGAGAGGACGATAGTCAGTCGGTTAAGAAGCGCAAAGCTAGTGCTGCTGACCTAGATGAATCCCAGCGCAAGCCCTCACGACAGCGAACAAGAGTTGGTGGTTCAAGAGTGGGCGAGACGAGCTCTGGCATTGAGTCGCTCCGCCGCGCTCGAGCCGAAAAGAACGATCGGCAGCGCCGTAGAGAAGAAGATCGAGAGCGCAATAAGAAGTCACACCTAGGTTCGCGTGATAGTCCCGGTCGCGATGCCGACGATGATAGCGACGTCGAGTGGGCTGGTAGATCAAGGGACAGGTTTTCCAAGTCACGAACTCCCGAAGTGAAAGAGACCCCCCTTGCCGACATCCGTGATTTCGAGCGCGTACGACTTGGCCGCAGCCGATTCGCTCGAGTTTGTTTCTATCCTGGTTTTAACGAAGCCATCACCGGATGCTACGTCCGTATCGCTCTTGGTCCAGGTTCCGACGGCTCTAATGTCTACCGAATGGCTCTTATTAAAGGTATAGTCCAGCCATATACCTCTTGTTTTATTCATGACTAACCATGCTATCCCAGGGTTCACACAGGGAAAGCCATATGCCATGGAGAAGCCAAACGGTCAGAACTTTGTCACCGATCAGTATATCAGAGCCGCACATGGCAAATCTGAAAGGGACTGGCCTTTCATCAGTTGTTCTGACTCGCCTTTTACAGAGGTTTGTGATAATCCTACTTCTCTATTATATGTTTGCATGTCTAATTTATTGTAGGCCGAGTTCAACCGCTATAAAAAAGTTTGCCAAGACGAGGGCGTTATCTTTCCCAAGAGACCAACACTAGACGCTAAAATTGACGATATTAATGCTCTAGTGAATCGCTCCTGGACCGATGCAGAGGTGAATGCTAAGATTGAGCGAGAGCGGAGTCTGCTCAGTAAATTCACGCCTACTGAGCGAAACCGATTAGTTGAGTTGATCGAGGAAGCTAGACGACGCGGAGACGACGCACGAGTTTCGGAACTCCAAGATAAGCTGGACTCCCTCGAAACTCCACGTCTGGCTTTTAAGACCAGCCTCACGCCATCGAATAAGTCGACCAGTTCAACACCAACGCAGCAGGAACGATTAGCAGCTTTGAATGCTGAAAACCGTCGACGTAACGTGGAGGCTGTCCGTAAGGCACAGCTAATGGAGAAAGCGAAGGCGCGCCAAATTGAAGCACGCGTTGCGCGTGGAGAAGATGTCAATGAAGACACTTCACGACGTCTCAGAACCAAGCCTAAGTTTAGGCAGGACATTAATGAGTCCACCGAGCCCAAGTCGACGCCAGCCAATGGCAGTGGTGCATCGACACCTGCAAACGGCACACCAAAGCAGAGTGCTACTACGAAAGCACCACTTCTACCTCATCTGCAGAAGCTGCAGCTACAGAACCACCAGGCAGGGAAAGACAAGAAGGGGATCCCTCAGATTCATAAACCGATCGTGGATGATGATATCATCGCGGCTTTGGATCTTGACATTGAGGTTGAGATTGATTAGACGGAGCGAGCAAATTTCTGCATAATTAGACTGGATTTTGGTTTCCTAGTCAATGTTTTCTCTTTGGAGTGTACGTTAAAGGACGAAGTTTTCTATCCATACGCTCTCGGAAAACAAGTCACTAAGTTAGGTTATTATTCAACCAAGGGCAACTCTACCCAAGACATAGGTCTAGGAGATGGCGTAGATGGCGTTGAGGATAGGTTCAATTGGACGGTAGCAGAAGATAGGAGCATAGCATCAACATTAGGCATAGCTACATATAATCTTCGCTACCTCTTTCAGCCAGTGCACGATAATTAGTCAGGTAGCTATTTGAAAATGAAACATGATTATCTGCATTCGAATAAGATACGCGTAAACCACTAGGCACGTTGCATATGTGATAAAATGGAGATTTTTATTTTGTCTAGATTCGTTAGGAATGGCGTAAAGACACGGCGCTCCCAGGTACCATGTTGATGGTCGTCAACCCCCCCGGCGCTGAGATATGACAGTGGCTAGCGTGGAATGCCGTGGGATTCCACGGAGTTTGATGGTTTGCCGTAGTTAATCTTATTGGTAACATTTGTAATACTGACTAAAACCTGGAACCGGAGCCGCAACTTAGTGGCATCCCGGCGGAGACTTATTTATGGCCTAGTGTATGTCAGCCATTCTAGACTCGATCCGTGGACAAATTTCAACACTGCTCGAGACGCGGCGGCAGCGGTTGAATTTCTATACCGCTATTTGTCAGGATGGCAACATACGATGCTATGTACTAAGGAGATGGACGAAGGTGAAATTTAGTATTTAATGTAGCTAGGGCTCGCAGATATTTTCCAATGGAAGAAATCATCATCATCAGAAGCAAAGCTGCCTTGTCAAGACTACCTCTTTAACCTACTGAAAGTACCTAACTATAAAATATCTTAAGCTACTCTCTTTTACTCTAAATCAAAATGCCTGCTAGACGTTACGATTCGGCCGCCGTCGATGTTTCGCCTCTGGGCCAACCTCTCAAGTTCGAGTTCTCCGGGAAGGTTGCAAAGAATCGCTTCTACAAAGCCTCGATGGCTGAGGATCTAGCAACCTGGAATGTTGATAATCTCGAGGAGCGTGGTATCCCGACCAAGGAGCTCATTGACTTATATCGAATGTAAGGATAGCTATAGCCAGACACATATATCCTCATAAAGACTAACGTGAGAATTTAGATGGGGAGAGAATGAGTGGGGTATTATTGCTACCGGAAACATTGATATCGAGTTTGATATGCTAGATGCTGTCGGCGATGCCATCATTACTCCAGAATGCCCCCTTTCAGGCCCACGCTTTGAAGCGTTTCAAGAGATGGCCAAAGTAACCAAGGCGAATGGTAGCTTGATCGTGGCTCAGCTTACACATCCCGGGCGCCAACTGGCCGCCAGGATTAGAGAGGACACGATTGCACCGTCGGCGATTCAGCACCGTACGTAAATATCTCCTTTCTCATGTATCATGACGATGGAACGCTGACAAGCATACCTCACGATAGCCCCGAAAAATGGTTCAGTCTACGCCAAGCCCCGGGAGGCCACGAAGGAAGACATCGCACGTGTCATCGACGGGTTTGCACACGCCGCCGAGTACCTAGATAAAGCTGGGTTCGACGGCATTCAACTTCACGGAGCACACGGATACCTGATCGCACAGTTCCTGTCCGAGCTTTCAAACCAGCGTACCGATGAGTACGGCGGCAGCATCGAAAACCGCCTACGTTTTGTTTCCGAGATCGCCAAGGAGATCAAGAGACGCGTGCGCCCAAACTTCATCGTCGGTATCAAGGTGAACTCAGTCGAGTTCCAAGAGAAGGGCATCAAACCCGCAGAAGCCCGCATCATGTGCGAGACCTTCCAGGCGCTGGAATTCGACTACGTCGAGCTGTCGGGCGGCAACCACGAGGACATCGGGTACGGCTCCAAGAAGGAGACCACGCTGAAGCGCGAGGCGTACTTCCTCGAGTTCGTCCGCGACATCGTCCCGCACCTCTCCCAGACCAAGAAGATCCTCACCGGCGGGTTCCGCACGACGGCCGCCATGGTAGACGCCCTCCACATCCTCGACGGCATCGGCCTCGGCCGCCCCGCTGCGCAGGAGCCTCGGCTCGCGGCCGATATCCTATCCGGGAAGGTCGCGAGCGCCGTTCGGCCGGTCGACGGCGTCGTGAACGACGTCATACTCTCCCTGATGAGCGCGGGCTCGCAGATGACGCAGGTAGTCAGGGGCCAGGAACCGTTCGACCTCAGCGACGAGAAGGCGTTTGCGAGCTTCCAGGCGGACCTGGGGGCTCATTTCCAGAGGTTCGCGGCGGCCGGTGGAAGCTTGGAGTTCCGCGGCTTCCCGGAGATAAGCGATCCTGATAATACTTCGCATCCGTATGGTGTTCCTTATTAGATAGATCAGATGGTTTAGACTAGAAGGGCTATTGGGGTTTTGCGCTCAAGTTTCATTATTGTCTTAGGTACTTTGAGTATTTTGGTTAGCAGTTCGACATACCTATAGAATAACATGTGTTAATAGATAAATACGATAGATAATGCATATATACTCGATACCTTCTTAACATTTGAACTAGGTACTTTGAATATTAAACTCATTATATATAGGTACCTAACTTTAAGATGAAGCTCAAGGCATCGATGGTGCTAACCACGACGACTTATATATCGAAACGCATATAGGCATAATGCTTTATGAATGCATAAGAGATATGCAATATATAATGCCAAGAATTCCTCTTTTACGACCAAAAATCCATATATGCCATTTGTCAGCAGTCCGTTTACCTCTACCTATGCCCCTTATTCTCACGAGCTGACCAATTTACCTATTGTTTTTTTTTCATTGCTTTTCTTCCTTGTACCGAGTAGATGCTTTCTATATTTATTTATTTTTCCGCCTAAAATCAGTTCCTAGAAAGAATCTGCTGTTCGAAGTCGTTTATAAGTCCGTTAATAAAGATGGAGACTAGTTCTCGTCGTAAAGCATGTAGGTTAGGTCACCGTACAACCTTTTTATATTGAGACATCGCTAATGATGGCACATATCGCAGGCGATACTTGCTTCAAGAAGAAAATCAAGTGTGACATGCTGAAGCCAGCGTGTTCGAACTGTGTACTATATAAAGTGCCGTGTAGCACAACTGTAGTTCGAAGAAGAGTTGCCCCGGTTGCTCAGAGGGAAGCACGGGCAGCAAGCACCGCCGTGAATGGCGATAGTCTCGAGGCTCGTCTTGCGCGGATCGAGGCAAAGTTAGACAGGATTAGCGACCCTAACGCATCCACGATAGCAGATCAAGGGTCTAGTGGCACATCAAGTCAAGCTGTGGGATCTGCTATTTCGTCGATCGATACTTCCTCAGGGGCATCCAGTCCGTGTATTTTGGAGCGCCATGGGGAACACTACGTGCCACCTCTCACTGAAATATTGCCGATTATCGAGGACTACTTCCGTGATTTTAATACTGCCCTGCCGCTGTTTCACCAGCAGCATTTCATGCAAATGGTTTTGGACTTCTATTCCGAGCAGGAACCTTCTAAGAAGTCTAGGGCCGTCTGGGCTGCTATAAACGTAGTCCTTGCCCTCGGTTTCCGCATCCGCACCGTTGAGACAGACGAAATCATAGTTAGATTTGACGATATTAAAATCAAGCATTGCATCGACAACGCCCAGAAAGAACTGGACGAGCTTGTGACGCGAGAAGAAGACACTCTCGGGATAGAAGTTCTCTTAGGTCTAGTTTGTAAGTCTCATAACTAGCGAATTCTAAACGTCGTTTGTGGATAATATCACTGACCCAAGTGTGCTTTAGTGCTCTTCCAGACAAATACCGACCAGAAACCAGCGTCGGTTCTGATTAGCACCGCTGTTCGACTAGCCCATAGGCTCGGGCTTCACATGAAATCAACCTTGTCCCAATATTCACCGGAGGTCGCACGCCATAGAAGCAATATTTTCTGGCTCTGTTACTACTTGGACAAAGTAAACCTAACACCTCCATCTTAGCTCCTTCGTGGCTGATATTATTTAGGACATCTGCTTCCGCTCGAAAATCCCCTCTCTCCAATGCGATTACGATTTGGACTTGGACCTACCCGAAGACAATGGCAATTATCTTCAAAGTATCGATGGGAATTCACAACTCAACTACCTCCGAGCCAGAGTCCAACTTGCCTACCTGCAAGGGAAAATTTATGACTACCTGCTCAGCAACCGCTCGTCCAGATTATCGCTCGAGGCTCGCCAGGAGAGGGTTGCCCACCTTGCCGGCCTCCTGAATCAATGGGTATTGACAATACCAGAATCGATGCAGCTCGAAAAGATAACCGAGACAGTGGCGAAGGCACCGCTTTCTCATATGATCCTTCTATATCACACTTACCTAATGTGCTATACGGTGCTTAACGGTCTCTACTCTCTCGACTCGCCTTGGTTAAAAGCGATCAATGGAGTTGGCGGTTCCCTTCTTCGCAGTTTCGACAATCACGCAAGCCCTTGTACGAGGCATCATCAACCACTACTACCTCGTTTTTGGGACACGTGCGTGAGAGCTAGTCGCGGATGTTTGAACATATTAAACAATAAAAGCTATAGTGGATGTAACCTATGGTGAGTATACCAAACCGCGCTTTATGGAAACTATCATTGCTAAAGATAGGTAACCCCATGTAGGCTCGGCGGCTGTGCCTACTTTTCTGCATTCATTGTCTTGCTAGCTAATATAGTATACTGTCCTTCGCACGAGCTAGTGGATCACGATCGAGAACTCACCAAGATGACAAAAGAGCGCATTGGGAGGCTACTGGACTACACCGGGTCGGAGTCTTTCAAGACTCTCCAAGTTGTTCTTACAAGCTTGGAGCAGGCCGCGAATTACGCGGTCGAGCGGGCGAAGGGCCTTGGTAGGACTTTTGATCCTATACCGTCTACTACGTATTCTCATTACGCGTATGCTCCATCGCAGTTTGGGACATTTCCCAACGGCGTAAGCCAGAACATGGTTAGTGGGCCCCAATACAGCGTGCCAGGTGCCGGGGAGGAAGATTATACATAACTAAACATATCCAAATGCTATCTAGATTGGTCATCCCGAGGTGCCGGCTCAGGAGTCGGCATGGCCCCAAGATTCGACTTTCGGGATTCCCGGCAGCGCCCTTGCCGGATTCGATTTCAGCGATGAGCTGTCGGTACCGGATTTTATGAGGGGACTCTTCTGAGAAAAGGGGCGCATGCACCAACGGAATCTCGCGCTTGGTTGACGGGTAAGTAAGACATGTGTGTAATGAGATGAAAACTAAAAGGAGGCGTATTGTTCTGATTGAAACAAATAAGCATAGGTGAGAAAGCCCCTGATGTAATTTGTCAATTTGACATTTACACCAACCTACACTAGAACGGATCCAAACGGCGATGACGATATGAAGGTAATAATTCTAAGAAGGGGAATATTATCGATGTGCCCACGCAGCATAGAATTAGAGCTCATGTACTGTAATTGGGTACCTTGACAACAGGCTTGGATGATAACATATCTGAAATAGATGATTGGCTCAAGCTATGCTGAGAAATGTGGAACACGGGAGAGCCAAGTTGAATTATGATGTCATGAGTCGGTGCAACAAACATAACTCTGGCCATTGAGAAGGTTGGGATTACAACTCCCGATCAATAAAGTGTGTAAGGATGCATTACGACATGCAAGTTAAGACTTTAAGTTATTAAGTTAAGTACCTATAGAGCCGTGGGGTAGTGATAGAATACATACCTAGGTAGGTAGGTAGGTAGGTACTTGATCGGCGATGGGAAGGAAATAACAAAAAGTGATGAAGGTTTAAACCATTTGATTCCCGACCCCTCAGTTACGATACCTGCATGTGTCGTCCCCTTTATGATTTCAGCCTGACGGATTATTCGTAATACCTACCTCTTAGCTCTATCTTGCTATAATAGCTCTATCTTGCTCTACATATATATCTTTACCGTTTCGTCTTGTTTCATGAATTCTGCCAGATCCCTCTCACGACCTTGTATAGCTCGTATCTTCCTTAAGCCTACTAGACTCATCTCTGTATCTGCAATTAGAGCTATGCCTCAATTCAAGCTGAAAGATGTATCCTCTTTGTCACTACAACCCGGTGACAAGCGAGAGGTTGAAGTCGAGGGCGTCGAGGGCGGTAAAGTTCTTCTCCTCAATGCCGGCGGCAAGATCCAAGCTATGGGCCCCAAGTGTACACATTACGGTGCTCCTCTCGTAAACGGCGTCTTAACCAAGAGCGGTCGGTTGACCTGCCCGTGGCACGGAGGTTGGTGTTTTCCCCTCGAACATTTTCTACTAGGCACCGAACTAGTAACTATAGTTACCTAACTAATCTTACTTTTCTCCTATCCATGTAGCTTGCTTTAACGGCCAGACCGGTGATATCGAGAACGCCCCTGCCTTAGACGCCCTCCCCGTCTTCAAAGTAGTTGAGAAGGATGGTGCCGTGTATATCGAAGGCGAGGAGGCGACGATTAAAGCCGCGAAGCGAAAGCCTAACTTCAAGTGTCGTACCAGCGGCGGGGCACAAGCTGATAGAGTCGTCGTAGTTGGCGGCGGCAGCGGAGCAATTGGAGCCATTGAAGGTCTAAGGGAGAAGGGTTTCTCTGGCCCTATTACTATGATATCTAACGAAGGCTATCTACCCATCGATCGAACTAAGCTATCTAAAGCCTTAATTACGGACCACACCAAGATCCAGTGGAGGGATGAGGAGTGGTTCAAGTCCGGCTCGGTCGAAGTAGTGTATGACGAAGTTGTCGACGTCGACCTTGTCGGCAAGGCTGTTGCCACTAAGAATAAGGAGAGATTTGTATACTCCAAGTTAATTTTGGCTACCGGAGGTTCACCGCGGAATCTGCCTGTGCAGGGATTTAAAGTGCTTGAGAATATCTTCCTACTTAGGACGGTTCCTGATGCAAAGAAGATCGTGGACGCTATCGGTGATAAAGGCAAAAAGATTGTCATCATTGGCAGTAGCTTCATTGGCATGGAAGTGGCAAATGCTACAGCTGCCGAAAACGAGGTGACGGTAGTTGGTCAAGAAAGCGTTCCATTAGAGAGAGTATTGGGCCAGGAAGTTGGTGCCGGAGTGCAAAAGTTATTGGAAGGGAAAGGGGTCAAATTCCAAATGTCAGCAGGCGTCGACAAAGCTGAACCGTCTGGCTCGAGTCCATCTAGAGTGGGCTCGGTGCATCTGAAGGATGGCACAAAACTCGAAGCCGATCTGGTCGTGTTAGGTGTTGGCGTGGCACCGTCGACGGGATATCTCAGGGAGAATAAGGTAATCCGATTGGAAGAAGATGGATCATTAAAGACGGATGAGAATTTCCTCGTGGTAGGACTCAAGGACGTCTATGCGATCGGAGACATTGCCTCATATCCTTATCACGGTCCTGGAGGTCAGGGGAATTACACGCGAATCGAACATTGGAACGTGGCGCAGAACCAAGGAAGAGTCGTGGCACATCATATCGTCAACCCGTCGTTGAAATCCGACTTCTTCACGCCAATCTTCTGGTCGGCTCTCACGGGACAATTGCGATATTGCGGCAATTCGATGCATGGGTGGGACGAGCTCGTCTTACGGGGTAACCCAGGAGAGGGCAAATTTGTGGCATATTACTGCAAAGGCGAGACTGTGGTAGCGATGGCCAGTATGGGAGTGGATCCGGCTATGGCCAAGTCGGCGGTGCTTATGAAGATGGGCGCTATGCCGTCTAAGACGGAGCTTAAGGGAGGGCTAGACATTTTGACTGTTCCGCTACCGGCTTAGGGATGCAGTTACATTAGGTACCTATTCGGGATTGGGGGGTTGATTTTGATTTGTGTTCCTGAATTAGCGTCTGGGCCGGGTCATCGGGGAATCGGTCAGCTAGTATTATTACGTATAATCCGTACAAATGAGGCAAACAGCAAGCGCGAAATGAATTTCAAGTTGTAATAATTATTTGTTCTTGTCAGGTACGGATGCAGATGTAAGTTCTAATGTACCTACGCTAGCGTGCTATGTTAGGTTAGGTACCTTAGGTAATGTAAGATGCAAGGTACGCGGTGTGTATTAATTGGGCTAAAGTGCGTCATCGCGCACCCCTCGGCACGACGTATCACTGGATAGGTAATCCAAAGGATGGCCAAGACGATCGGCTACGACCAAAACCACGGTAACATGGCGATTCGTCCATGTGACTATTTACCAACCACTTCATTCAAATGGGACATTTATATGAAATAGACTTGCCTTCCTTTAACCAGCAGTTATCTCATTTGCTTCTCGATTTTTGCCTTCTAGTGTATCGTGAGATGTCCGCGTCTAAGACACTCCTACGTATACTAACAGGTATTGTACATACTTCTATAAAAGTACCCAAGTATCGTGTATACATACATTAGGTATTGTACATGACTAAATCTTACATGTTGAAGTTAAAGTAGCTAACTTTAATATTGATTACGGACCCCACACTTGATCTAGTTAATCATCCTTCACTCCACCACTTACAACCATTTACACGAAGCGACGCGGGAAAGCCATCTTCACCTATACACCTAACTAAACCTAGCTTCAATTTTGGCTTCTTTTTGTCATATTATTTTTTTTATTATACCTTTTCCTTTACTCTTTTTTCCCCTCATCTTTTTCTTTCGGCTTCCCTTCCTCCCCTTTTGTCCTTCTCGTGGCTGGCTGGACTCGAAGAGATTCGCGTCGAATAGTCCTGAGTCAGCCCTTTCGCATTTTCCCGGACGGGCGAGCTGGGCGAAAGCGTGTCTCGCTCCACCCGTCTTCCTCGTCCACTGTGCGCCAGGCAATCAAAGGAGACGTCTTTACACTACTGCCCTTATCTTGGCGACCCCTTAATCCAGCATGCTGATCTCTCAGCTCAACACGCGCAACGAAGCGATCATTAGCCATCGTCATGGCTGAATTCTGTCACCCTGCCGCGGCTGCCGCTGCCGACGACCGCGAAGACGTCGATCTGTCCGCCGAATCCCAAGAACCAGGACCTCTGAAGTGCTGCTGTGGGTCTGTGGAGTGCATCTTTCTAAGACATAATTATTCTGTTCTTGCTAGTGTCGAGAAAGATGTCCACAATGCTGCCCGGATGGGCCAGGTACGTTTTCTATTACGTGGTCATCACTTATATGTTAGCTGTGTCGAGATCCAAGCCACGAGAACTCCTATAGTAGTCTGGTCGGCTTCGCCTGTAGCTCTCTTATACCATATCACATCATATCACAGCACAGCACATCACATCACATTCCATAGTTTGTTTATCCCCCGCTACAAGCAATAGGTGAAGTACTACGAAGTACCATATTAGGAATGCGCCTTGGCGTCGCTGTGTCGTTTTACTCGTTGTGCATTTGCAATCTACATTCCAGAACACCCGCGCCGTAGCAGCTCCCTGCACAAACAGTCAGCGATGACGGTCTACCAGTCTCTAACATTTGCGTTGCAGGCCTTGCTCGTCCGCCACGAAGCTTACATGGCGGATGCGGAACGAGATCGTGCTGAGCTCGCTGCTCGGATTGAGCAGTTAGAATTTGATAACAAGGAGTTGGAGGCCAAGAATGCAAAGACGATTGAGGATAACAGAAACTTACTGGATCAGCTCGAGGCGCTCAACAACACAGTCATCGATTCTGAAAGTCACATTAGATCCCTTGAGGCCTCCGTCCTTTCCTCGCAACAGTCGGTTCGTAGGCTCGAGGGCGAAACGGCGCGTGCTGCTGCATTAGAGCGTCAGCTTCTAGCCTTAGAGCAAGAGCAGGCTGAATTGCAGAGTCATCTGAGTTCCTCTCGTGAAGAGGCTAAGTCTGCCATATCGAGATGGAAGCGAGCCGAAAGGGGTATTAGTGACTTACAAGAACAGCTCGAGCGAATGGAAAGGGAAACGCAAGAAGAGAGAGAATACCACGTCGAAATGATAAGCAGAGTAGAAAGACAGCGTGAGATGGAAAAGGAGTTGAATACTGCTGCTGGCCGACTAAAGGGAGCAGCAGCAGCCAAGTCGCTCGATCGTGTCAGTGGAGGAGGCAGCAATGCCGTATCGCACTTTGTCCGTGATCTCCTCCAAGACAATGCCAACCTGCAATATGGTATCGCCGAGTTGCGGGAGATGCTTATGAACTCCAACGACGAGATCCAGGCTTTGCGCGACCAGCTCATGTACCACCAGCCCTTGGGAGACGAACTAGCTAATGCTGCTTCCACGCTTAGCGCGGAGCTCGAGTCTGAAAAGGAGTCGCCTGAAAGGATACCTCCTAAGACTCCACATGAGCTTCATATTCACCACCATTTCCATTTGCCGAAACCGAAACAGGAAATGAAAAAGCCGCGGAAAAAACGACAAGGAGTTACACCTGGGGTATTTACGCCACCTGGAAGTACAGTCCCAAGCACGCCTCCAAGTGGTCCTACGCGACCACAGCTTGGTTCGCATACGCATAGAGATTCGCTCCTCTCCAATTGTTGGTCAACATATTCAGACCAACGGTCTGATTTTGCACTCTCATCCGTTCCGAGCACGCCTGTATCAAACCGCCGAAATTCGCTTTTCGATCACCATACAATAGACTCATTCCCTACTTCACCCACGACTAGTATCGACCCATTATCTCCCACGTGGCATGCTACTCATCAGAAGCAGCTGTCGAACGTATCTTCACGAAGTTTTCGATTCTCAACAACATCAGCTTTGGTACAACCATTCGTTACCGACACTCATCCGATTGTCGAAGAATCTGACGATGGGGATAACCCTCCAGATCTAACCTCGGCCACCGACGAGTCTACCGTAGAAGACGCAGTTTCTTCTAGGGACCAAGACGCTACGATCGATGATGTTTCTGCCGTAGATGAGTCGGGTAATAACCCGGTGCCAATAGTCAGGCTACGTAGAGCTTTATCGCATGAATCCATCATATCGCTCTCCGGCGGCCTTGATATCCACACATTAAAGTCTCGGCCGAGTCAGTTGACAATCCGCCATATAGGTTCAGCCTCTTCTGTGACGGGGAGTAGTGATGTTACGGCGCGGCCTATGTTGTTACGCGATAGCGCAAAGCGAAGTAGTACGCTCCTCCGCGAAAATTATTCCTTATCGCCAGTAGGAAGTTTACAATCCATCTCGGACTCATCCATGCTAGGTTTCGGGTCGTCAAAACTTAGTAAATGGGTTGGCTGGCGGCCATGGGGTGGCGGCGGCGGTGGTGGAGATAGTAGTTCTGCCGCGAGCAGCACATCCGCAAAGACGGTCAGAGACAATAGTCAAAAGTCGAGCGGTCGTCCTCCTGGTATCAATCAGCAGGGCGCGATACCCGGGTTCTCGGAATACTTGGCTGCGGCTCAACGAAGAGTGCCACCCCCTAAGATCCGACCTGACGACGTGGATCGCGATGCGTTAAGGGAAGGGCTCGGAGGATAACGACGTTGGCGTATGCTTCCTTGGTCGACTTGTCCAGCCTGGAATTCGATTATCGGGATGCAGTGTCCCGTGTTTTCACTTGTACTATACATTAGACCTTGCAAGCCCTGGCTCCGAACACACTGTTCGGTTACTGTATGCTAAACTGCATACGTTGATCGGATGGGATGCACTATCCAAGCTACCTTTTCTTTTTTTTTTTCTTTTTTTTTTCTTTTAATATTTCTCTTTCGCACATTTTGCATCGCGGGGGAGTTAGTCATTGTCATATTCAGGCGGGAGAAGACCGCAAAACCGAAAAGCATATAGGATGGGATTGTATAACATGGACATATGATACCCCTGAGAACAGCCAGTCAGTTAGTTACTCGCCCGCTCTCCTCGTACTTTCTTTTGTCTGTCCATATTATTAAGTAATGTAATGTTTGTTTGCTTGTCTGTTTTTTTTTTTCGCAGATACATTTTCTTGCCCTTGTACTGTATATCCCGCATCGAGGGTGCTAGATACGGTCTTTGGGAGGGATGTATGTACCTATGTATGTACAACCGGTTAGACAAGTAGTAAGACAGGAGTATGGTGTGCAGAGAGATTGGGGGGGAGATAGGGGAAATAAATAGCAAGTAGTAGTAGCGTATACTTGTTTTTTCGTCCGTCAGCCTGTATACCTAAATATATGGCTTTATGAAATTTCTATAAAGTAAAATTGCCTGCTTGCCTACCTGATAGTGGTATTGTACAGTCCGTGGGAGAATGCCATTACGGGTTCCTATGCTACGTCGATGTTAATTTATAATAATTCTGCATGTGAAAACCCCGTTATCGCATCGTTTATCTAAGTTGTTTTTAACCTTCATTTTACGAATGAACTACAACTTACATGAAGTATAATCCCATGAACTCGTATCGGATGTCGAACTCCTATATTCACGCCCTACCTTTTGCATTATATAGGTATATATATAAACCACACGGTACCGCAATAGTAAGCTATCCAAATTATCATATTTTTATTTCCTCGAGATCTAGTAATAGCATAACAAGATGCAATGTACAAATACGGCTACATATATGAGGTACATACATATCCCCATCCCAAAGCCAGAGTGCTAACAGTCTCGCCATGCGTGTTAACTACAATATTATGAGCATATATACCTGGGTAGGTTACCTAGGTAGATACCTAATGTATGTATGTATGTAAACCATCCTAATAGAGACAATAGTGCAAGATAGGGCAAATTCCCTCCGCTTAGTCTAATACACAGAAACAACCAGATTACAAGCTATAGGATAGGGTAGGCAAGTAAAAGATGATAACTCCTCTATCCGCCCTTCGCCATGCTTATTCCGCACTTGGTATACCCGGGGAGCTTATAGTAGATAAATAGCCCTTGTAGGTCTAGAACGGAAAGGGTGTCGTTTAGTCACTGTTGATTCGTTAGCCGTCTCGAAGTCTCTTATCATGGAGCGATGCACGGGGTTAATGGGTAATACGTACTATATTTCCTTGGGCGCCAACAGGTCGGCCTGATAGAGCCAATGATTATCCTTCTCCTCGGCCTCGAGCCAGTCGTAGGGGAACTGCACCAATGTTCCTTGAATTAACCCACACAGCTCCTCCGCTTCGTCGCGGCTGATGAGCTCATACGGGAAGGTCGGCCCGCGTCGGCTACCCTTAGTAGTGGCTCGTCGGCGGCGCCTCGTCGAATTGTGGTTGTAAGGGGTAGCGGTGCTGCCAGATTCTGGCGCGGATTTCTCGGCCGATGAAAACGTAGCCCGTCGATCCCGCTTCTCACCCTGGGCTTCCAGATACGTCGAATCGACCTGGCCCTCGTACGCCGGGAATGGGGTATCTCCGGTGGATTGTACTGGCGAAGGTGTGTCGAGAGAATTCTTAGTACGAACCCTCTCTGCGTCCAACCCAGCATCAGGGCCCTCTTTTTCAGGAGAATGGTTGCCCTCTGAGATTGGAACCTTTTCGTTCAAAACAGCCGTGCTCCCATTAGAAACTACGACTTTGGGATTGTTCTCGGTGTGTTGATCATGAAGCTTTTCGGAGACACCGGGGATTGCCTGTGCCGCGGCTGGTGCCGCGATACCTGCTCCTGCTCCACCAATGTGGCTCATCTGACTCGTCTCAGACTCATCATTCCTTGGTCCTACCATGCTATCCTTAAATCGCTGCGCATAATCTTCAAACTCGTTGTATTCCTTCCACGTGGTTACCTCGCTATCAGGCATACATCGGAAAACCCGTCGATACAGTTTCGTATTATTCGAGGCAACTCTCATCCATATATCATCCCAGAAAGCAGGGTTGACAGGATCACGCATGCACTCCTTGTCAATTCGAGCTTGTATGATGTCCGCAGCTAGAGGGTGCAGGGGCTCATTTGTAGGCTTTCCCGAATCGTCTAATCTCATCGGAGGACCGCCTATATCGGTGTCATCCAAGACCGGCAATGCTGGAAGCTGTACGGGGTGTGGTAATTGAGACCTCGCTGACGGGTCTGACTGGACCGGGGGCAATTCATCATTCCCCTTACCAAGGTTACCCTGTGATGAACCCTTAGAAGACGTCTCCGGATGCAGCCCGCTAGTCTTAGCGTCTGCCTTATGACTCTTGGAGTGTTTTTTTCTATAAGGGAGGACTTCATGCCCGTCCATAACAACTGAATCATTTCCACGATCAATTCCTTTAGCTTGCGCCGCCTTCCAGTTATCCGGCCCGTAACCCTCGACGTCCTTGATATGCTCTTCATTTTCGTGTACTCGTGGATCACGATCTGGTGAGTTGCTTCTTGAACTAGACGAAGTAGATGACGCCGACGAAGAGGCAGACGCAGAGCCAGGACCTTCTTCTGCAGGAACGTCATGGTTGAAACTTTGCCCACGATGGTACTTGATTGGCCCCGGGAGCTCTGAACTCTCTGCAGCTGGAATTTCATCATCGTCTCCATACAATTGGTTCATCTCGGCTTCGAAGCGGGCTTCGGCACTGAGCTCTGCTTGCCTCTCTTCTTCTGTTATCTCATCTACGTCCAGTCCAAGATGCTCTCTCATCAGACGCATACGGAGAGTGTGCGCGAATCGGCCAACCCGGTAAGTCTCTCCTGCCATCGTCGACCACATCATATCTGTATCTCGAACAATAGCAGCAACTTCAGAGTCTCGGTTGCCTAACATTGAGCGTTCGTTGATATTTGCTGACCCGATCAATGCAACACGGTCATCCACGATGATGGTCTTAGCGTGAATATAGAGTTGCTCGGTCACGATCTGATCATGGGCACCGATCCGGCCCCATTGCCTCAAACTAAAGAACGAGATATAATCTTCTGGTTCTATACCAACGGCTTGTAAACGTCCAAAAATTGAATGTGGGCCTCGACATATGCTTCGGTATTGGAATTGCATGATCAAACGAACGCTACTGCCCTCGGCTTGGTCTACCGTATTCTGGAAACCAGGCATGAGAGGGATTAAGATGCAACAACGCCATTCCTCGCCTTTCTCATGAGCTCTAATAATGCGCTCGACCAGGGCATCCCCGATACGGTTGACCACCCTAGTGTTCATAGTCTCGGTACTCGTAATGAAAAATTGGTTTTCCATATAGACGAAGTGCTCGGATTCCTCGATGAGCTTTACGTATGCCGATTGGATACTGTGCTCCCTTATGTCTTTCGGATAGCCTAGAGACCAATCGCCTGCCGAACGCAGGATCTGAACTTCGCACGTTCCAGACAGACCAAGAGCCTCGAGGTCTACCGGGTTAGCATCGGGGGGAGGAAGTAAGAAAGGGGTGGGCCGAGTAGGTTTACGTTCACGCCGTAGGTAATTCCATCGTTGTACGAAATGGCGAGTAAGATCACGCGCCGGCTGGCCAACAACTTGCATCGCAATATCATGCCAAGGCATCCTTGGTACCTTGCTCCTATCGTACATTTCTTCATAAGGTTCGTTGAGTTTGAAGAAGTCTAGGACACGGGGATTCGAATAATCCTTGCCAGGGAAAAGCTGACAATGTTCTGCGTCTCGGGGGCTATCCCCGTCTGGCTCCATACCGGTTGGTCGATCATCCGCAATTGGGTGCTGCGGGTTATCCCAGCGGCCGAAACAAAGATCGATTCCTCCAAGGAAGGCCACATCGTGGTCCACGATGCAGACCTTCTCGTGGTGGGCATAGAAGAATTGGTTCTTTTTCAGCTGATTCGGCGATCTCAGAACTAGGATATTATCGTGGAGGTTAAGGAGCGAGAATTTTGTGTACTCCGAGTCTATAGGTATAGCTTGCTCCACGTTTCTGTAGATAATGATAAATACCTTGACGCCTTCTCTGGCTTTCCTCTGGAGCAACCGATCCAGACGCCACTTCTGGCTAATGCACGCCGGTCGTCGCATATACAACTCGGGGCTCAACCACCAGTCATGAATGTAGATGACATCTTGCGCCATGCTTATGGCACGGGAAACATTCCACATATAATCACGCCCGTCGACTAGCCACTGAGCAAATGCTGCCTTCCGTACAGGTGCAAAGCTGTCAAACCTGTGAGACTCGTGCCATTGAGTCTGCTTCAGCATATCAAGGACAGATTCTTCAAATTGACGAAGTACTGTCTGATTACGGGAAAACAGCTTGATCTTTCGATCTGCAGAATATAGCTTCAGCGTGTGGTGTTTCCCATGGGATTCTTCGTCAGTAAGATGATTATCATCGTCTCCCCTATCTTTCTCGGCCTTTAACTTTGCCCCAAAACGTTTGAGCTTGTTCTTCTTAGATACGACGCGGAAAAGCGGATCAACAAGATAAACATCATAAATATTCATAGTTGCCGGCGATTCGACGACAGCAATGTAATTCTGCCGGACCAAGAACCATTTTCGAGAGTGCCGTGCTATGACCTTTGACGGATTGAGCACTCGTCGAAAGTCGATACCTTTCGTGGATTGTATGTGCAAGTAGCATTCTTTTCCGTGAAAACTGCCTTCGGCAGCTAGTCGCACACCAAGAGCAGAGAGCTCTAAGAATTTGCAGAGGCGATTACTGTCAGCACGGAACATGAGCCAGTGGACCATCTCTTGTAGGTATTTCTCCAAGGTTTTCCTCTGCCTCTCGATATATTTCTTCTTTAGTGCTGCCGAATTCTGACCACCCGCAAGCGATGACTCCCTGTTGTCTCCAAGTCCCGTAGATTGTCGGCGTGGTAAGAAAGTGTTGATGCGCGATCTCTTCCTGGAATTTACCCGCCGATCGTTGTCGCTGGCTGTGTTTTCAGCTGCGGTTCCTTCGCCTGCGGTGCCTTCAGCAACCGTATCATCGGCTCTAGTCCCCGGCGGTCTTTCTTCGTCGTCGGATTCCTCAAGGTTTTGGTAAGTGCGTAAATAGGGGAAAGCCTTTCTAGGAAATCGAGGCTGTTTAGGGCGGTTCCGTTGGTTCACCGTAGTCTGAAGCGTGATGTCGTTTTTCAGAGATAATCTGTATTTCCAGTGAATATTCCAAATTTCTCTAACGCTACGGGTGACAGTCCAGCTCATTCGACTGAGTCCACTACCATACTCCAGGGCGATTGTAAAGATAGTATGTCTCTCGCTGGTACTATCTTCCGGACGACTGTCGATGACCCGTAGGTTAAGCTGCTCAAGAAGGACGGGTATGCGTTTGTTCCCGTGCTCATCTCTCTGCAGCATACTGGCGAGGATGACAACAGCCGGCGTCACAGCCCGCAGTTCAGCCATGAGCTCGGCAGACTTGTAGAAATCGAACTGATCTGTCCTCCTCTTGCCGAGCATTTTTAGTGTATGCTTCACCTGCCTCCATCTCTGAGCACTGAAAGTTGCAGCTCGATCTGCGCTTAAGAACGGTCGTCTTGGTGTCGCCAACCACTCGCCATCCGATGCTCCGCCGCCTGCTCCAAACATCTCAGAAATGCGACGGCGATGACCAGGTGTACGAGGCTGAGGAAGATCAGCATCATCGGCACTGGGATGCACAGTCCGCTGGGAACCAATCCACGAGCTCCCACGCGTCCAGGCAGGCCGCCGACCGATCAGGTGGTCGCGACCTTCTCCCTCAGACATCCCACCACGATGCTCAGCGGCCTCAGGCATCGTTGAACGTCTAACCATAGTGCCCAAACGGCCCATCCTGGGTGATTCAAGATCATCAATCCGCGGAGAACTCGGAGCAGTAAACATCTCCAACTGCTTCAAACGGCGTCGCATCCTCTTCCTTTTGCTCTTAGGCGCATCCCTGTCTTGGCCTTCGTCGGCGCTCGCCTCCACGTCAGCATCGCTTCCTTCCTCTTCATCCAGAGTATCCGGTACACGATAAGACCGGCCTACAACTGGAGAGGTATTCGCCGGGGTGGATGCGTTCTCAGAAGCTCCAGGGGACTTGGGTGGCTGAAGGGTACCGGAGCTACCCAAGGTGGACCTCAGCCTTGAAATCCATCTCTCGCTACGGGATCTGTTTTTTGTATCCTCATCCTCCTCGTCCCATGATCCATGTCTAACATGTCGTGGAGGGTCAAGCAGCACATCGGTGCGAGCAAACTGTACACTACGCCGTCCAGGTGAAGTTGGTTCCCCCTGTGCTATAGCATCTCCGTCCGGTAACTGCACTTCGGAGTTCCTGAGGGGAGACGGGGATCGTACGGCGGCAGCTTGGCTTAGGAAAGTAGGTGTTGAACTATTGAAGGGGGAGAGGCTGTCGTGCGGCCGCCCCGCATTCAGATAGTCGGTTGGTTGTTCCGAGTCTGACCTCGAAGTAGATTGCGTCGGCGATGCATCAGGGAGTGGTAGAGTTTGAACCGATGCGGCAGCGGTTGGTAGATTGTCGCTCGGGGATGTAGAGGACGGCGCGTTAAGACGTGTATGTACAGGAGAAGAGGTACGGGGATTCCCCGTCATAGGTGAAACCGAGTCATCTCGGTCTGGAGTGGACATATTACGTGCCAGGTCAGTGTCCAATTGCTAGAGGACGTAACGTTTCTGTTGCAACTTGAAGCCAGTCTAGGCTTTTCCGACTGAGCGGAAGATGCAGACGTCCCTTGCAGCTCTAACCGTTTTCTTACTTGGGTTAGATACCTTAGGTAGTATTTACATTCCCACGGACGAGCTGTAACAGGATTTGCTAGTGTCGATTCCCTCGTGGATATTCGAATTAGATGTGCGGTAGCTATCGAATAAAAAGGAGTGCAGTTGTCCAGAGTGAATTATATTGATGTAAGTAGGTAAGTACATGTAGGTATGGGTAGTGCAGGTAGTGTAGTGTATGCATGCAGGTGGGCCAAATTGTCCCTATTTCTAAATGTAAATGTAAATGTAAATGTACGATAATGTATGATAATGTATGATACCAAGGTCCTGCGTCTTACATATGTCTACACGCCAGGGGGGCCCACCTGCCACTAGGTTAGAGAGCTACACTAAAAAAGGTAAAGCTAGCTGAGGGGACTACCTAAATCAAGCTAAGAATTTACAACCAACAGGGGCTCCCGCGCCTTATCGATAGGCTAGTTAAGGTTCATTTTAGGGGTTCTCATTACAATCTGCTAACCTTGTCCCAATTTTGGAAGTGGGACGTCATCAAAGCCAGTTCCAAGAACGTAGAAGTTTGAGTTACTTTTCTGGTCAAAGTTCTCCTTAGCATGAGAATCTGAATCTTGTGCTTTGTAAACAAACACCCCGCCCAGATTACGAAGTACCACTATATATTAGCATCGCGGCCATCGCACTTGGTTCCGATGCTTTCCCCCCTATCACTAGATACTTAGTATAGTAACTACATGTCAGGTATCACGGTCCAATGATAGCGTTGGAATAAACCTTATACTGCACTTGACACGAACATACCTACGTTGAAGTTCAACCGATATTTTAAACGGGTATTTTAGCTCAACATTATCTAACTACCTCCTATAAAGGTTAAATTTTATTTGGCTAGTATTACTATTAATTTCCATGTGAAAAGAAAGAACTGACCAAATATCTAAGACGTCTTAGCTCAGCTCAAGTCACATATATACGAGCCATATACCTCATTCAAGTAAGGCTCAAAGCACTTAGCAGAAGTAGCAGAGATGCTACAACCCCAGCTAACATTAAAGGAGAAGAGGGTGCGGTGAACTAATGACAAGTCTCCAAACATATCTCATCAATTATACTAATACAACGTTTCTTTACAATATAGGTAGGCTTTGGATATCTCGAATAGCCGAACCATTAACTCACAAAGCTCCAGAAAAAAACACGTAGGAATTAGGCCAAACTCATAGGAGACATGCAGGCATATATACCTAAGAGAAGAAGCCATCTCAGTATTTATGGACAATATTATATGTTCCTATGTTTGCTCACGCTAGTTCTTGAATCATAGGTGATAATAACATACCTAGCATTTCCTAACAACTGGGCACCTGCATCTATATCAAAGATATAGAGCTATCTGTGAAAGATTCCCTCGAGAGCCATAGGAAATCATAAAGTAGCCCACCATTAGTGGCAATTATACCAGCCTTTTATGTATATCTTCTTGGTGCCACAACAGCTACGTAGATATTCTCAACATACCTACCTAGGTACTTAGTTGCTCGTACGATTCTCCTTCGCCAGCACGAAGCTCGCATCCTCGCGCATTTCGGTCTTACGCCCGCTGGACGCGAATGTGCGAAATCTCAGTGATAACACCACGGCTAGATAATTTCATCTATTTGGGTTACATGTTGAAGTTGTAGCGGAAGGAAATCGGCTTACGCAGAGACGCTGCTGCGACGGCGTATGTATCATGACCTCGACCATATACGATACCGGCTTCCTACCTTCAAGAGACAACTGCCTGCGTAACTTAGATTTCCTCCATATCCGCATATGCGCCGGTAAATCGGTAGGTAGTGTTGATGTTTGCCTATGTATGTATGCTGCATAGGCTTAGCAAACAGGTGCTGCCAGTTTATTATCCACATTGTCCTACAGTATACAAGCTTGCTCCAACCAAGAACGAGGACCGTTGCAATAGTACCATCGACGGAGGTCCTATTCGTATACGTACGTCGTACGGATGATTGTAAGATGGGTAGTCTCGTCTATCACAACAGTCTCACGGCCAGGCTGCTTCTTTCAAGTATAGGTACGCAGCGCAGCCGCACGTTATAACTTATTCCGTAAGGGCTGGGTCTCTCGTTGTCGATCTCGACCAAACGGTGGAGGTAGTTGAGCCATACGCCCTATCGACGACACAGGGTTCGGGTGTGGAGAACCCACTTCGATTAATGTCATACTTCGTAGCCCTACAATAATAAGGATATAACCCGGGAATTTTACCCTTCGGATATAGCTAAATAACCCTATGCGGATGACCTGTGTACGTAGGACGGTGTCTCGAGGATACCCGTCGACAACTCTAACGCCTTTCATGTCCATTCGCAAGGCGATATTGTTCCTAGTAATTTACTTCGGCAGTGGTGAAATAGAAAGGGTTGGGAGTTACTAGAATTATGATAAGGCTTTATTTTAGCAAGGAGTTTGGCTTGCTAGAGAACCTCTGATCTGATATAAAACCCTCGCCGTGTCTCGTTTTTATTATAGAGATCCTAACTAATTTCCTCAACTCAAGTCATAGCAAGCTCGCCGATACTCCTATCAACTGGACAACCCCTGTCACCTACAATTTCTATCATCACTTTGCAGCGAGGTGCTTCGGGGTCCAGAATGGCCAACATATCTCCCCAAACTGTCGAAGAGAGAACTAGCAAGTTCGGCAAACTATGGTTGACGACGCCTGTCGAGCTCTAGCACGATCCGGCCCTGAAGTACGTAAACTCGCAAAAGACAGTAGCGCTTTTTGCGCCTTCGGATCTGTCTTTCGCCGTCACATTTTTCGCCCTGTTCCGCTTGGGATGTAAGGTCCTGACTTTGTCGATTCGCCTGAATCCGCCTGCATGTCTCCATCTACTCCGCCAAGCGGGGTGCGACACTATACTTCACGGAACGATTGCTCGTATCGATTCGGTTATGGCTGACATTAGGGAGGCACGTCAAGACTTCACGTTCGTCTAAATGCTGGCTAGGGCAGATTTCGACAAGCACGAAGCTTCTCCGGAGCCTTTCTTGCGGGATATCCCTATCAAAGAGATGGAGCATGTCCAGGTCACACTCATGATGCATTCATCTGGGCCCACCGGCCTCCCTAAGCTATTGTTTCTATCTCATCGGAGTCTTTTGGCATCTGTGGTCTCGGGGACTGGTCTCAAGGCATTCAATCCCTTACCCTGGTATCATCTACATGGTCTGTTAACTTCTATACAAGCCATGTGGATGCGTAAGACGGCTCACTTGTTCAATGCGCACTTGCCGTTAACGGCAGACAATCTAATTTCAGTTCTCAAGTCTGTCCAGCCTGAGATTTGCCATACGGTCCACTATACGTTGAAGTTAATAGCAGAGAGACAGGACGGAATAGATGCCCTAAAGAGGTGCAAGTTTGTGACGTCGGCCGGGGCTAGGACTCCGGACGAGCTTGGAAATCGAGTAGTCGAGCAGGGTGTAAAGCTTGGTCTCATATTTGGCTTGTTTATTCCCCCTCCCCCCTCCCCCAAGAAATTACGTATCATGTTATTAGGCTAACCTGTCTTAATAACTGAAGTCGGCCATACGGGTGATTCCATCCATCGTGGACCCGGCGATGATTCTTGGGATTATATCCGGCCGTACGCCAACTTGCGCGAGCACATGGCCTTTAAAAAGTTCGATGATAGTACATATGAGATTATATACCTGAATACTCATCCTGCGCTCATGACTGCTAATTCGAACGACCCGCCTGGCTCTTTTCACTCAGGTGACCTCTTCGTCCCTCACCCTACTATGGACTGGGCCTGGAAGGACGTTGGCCGTGCCGATGATAGGGTGACTCTTCTGAGCGGAGAAAAGATTCTTCCATTGGGCGCGGAGGGCACTGTTCGCGAGAGTCCACTCGTGCGAGATGCCCTAATGGTCGGTAAAGATCGCCTCGTACCTGGCCTTTTGGTGTTTCGCTCTACAGCCGCCGCTGGTTTATCAGACGATGCGGTTATCGAGGCCATCCGATTGTCACAAGGTTCATATTAATAAGGCTTGGAATACGTATATTCTTCTGATCTAATAAACGGTATTGGTCCTGAGGTCCCTGAAGAAAGAAAAAGAAGAAGAAGATTCCTTTGAAGGATAGCTTCGTGGGGTAGTTATAGCCCAGTGTGGCCCTGTGGGGGCCACGTGACCTCGGATCAATGTATAATCCGTGTGACACCGACCCTATGTAGACAGAGCGAACAATATCGCCGACGAGTTTGCGCGTATCACTCCCGACATGACAGTCCCGCTCGCTGCGGATGTTGAATACCCCGTTACCGACAAAAACAATATCATCCGTGCTGCCGCATACGCTCGTTTCGAAAATGTAATCGAGGGCTTATACGCTGGAGACAAGGACACCACCAATGGGCGGGATCGCAAAAACCTGGCGCTAGATATTGGGCAACTCGAACAGTTCATACTGAGACTCATCCGCGAGCAAGCGGGCATCAAAGTGCCGGACATCGAAACCGATCTCCTCGGCGCGGGAGTAGATAGTCTACGTGCTGCCCAGATACGCAGATTATTGCAACGGGCCCTCGATCTTGGCGGACATTCGCTACGTACTAATGTCGTCTACGATGCAGGATCTGTAGCAAGGCTTGCCCGGCTCCTCTATGCAATGCGCGCTGGCGAGGAGCTTGAGAATGCACGTCCAAGTGACGATGATGAAATAGTCAAGATGCAGAAGATTATTACCGACTATAGTAAATTTCAAATGTGGTCGCCAGGGAGTCTACCGGCACCCGAAAGAGATGTTGTGGTAAGCCCTTCCCATGAACCCCTTTCCTTTCTCCCCTCCTTTCCCTTGGTGTTTGTGAATAACAGATGGATATAGATTCTTACGGGTGCGACCGGCGGCCTCGGCGCGCATTTACTCAAGCAACTCCTCGACGACCCTAAGGTAGAGCGTGTTATTTGCCTTGTACGGGATAACGACGCCTTGGCTCGTATCAACGAGTCCATGAAGATCCGGAAACTTGATACACGCGTGAGCGATGATAAGAAACCGACAGCTCTGACAACAAACAACCTGGGCGCTCCAGATCTCGGTCTCTCGCCAGAAAGCTACTTAAACCTGCAGCAGTCGGCTACTCTTATCATCCACGCAGCATGGCCCGTAAACTTCAACGTGTCTCTCACGAGCATGATCCCTCACATAGCTGGACTGCACAATCTCCTAGAATAGTCATTAAGAGTTCCATTTAGCAGTCCTGCGCGTCTCCCATTCGCAAGCAGTATCTCATCTCGACCGCGTTCCAAATGCCCACGCCCGCCAACGTACCCGAGGGGCCCTTGTCATCTCCCAGCTTCGCAGCACCGACGGGGTACGCGCGTTCAAAGCTTATAGGTGAGCGTATCTGTGCGGCTGCCGCAGCGTGCGGGGGTGCGGTTGGTGTCTTACGCACAGGCCAAATCTCAGCCGACACTGTCAACGGAATCTGGAACGATAAAGAGGCTATCCCGATCCTAGTCCGTAGTGCGACAGAGGTCCATGCGCTACCTCGTCTCGAGGGGGATCACGACATTTGTGATTGGATGCCGGTGGACACGGTGGCTCGAACGTGTCTGCAGCTTGCCGAGAAGCTCAATGCCAACACGAACGAACCGGCATTCTATAATATTAAACCACCGCATTAGTTCTCCTGGAACGAAGGTTTCTTGCCGGCATTGCGGAATGCGGGTTTGCAGTTCGAGGATGTTGATCTCGGTGAGTGGCTCGCGAGGTTGCGCTCTCGAGCTGCGGATCTAGGGCCGGCTGCCGAAGTAAAACTGCCTGCTGTTAAGCTCGCTGACTAGGTACTACGAAGACACGTATAGCGGCTTGGGTGTTGGCTTAGGTCCTGGGTTGGAATTTGATATACAGAAGGCTTGTTGTGATAGTAGTGCTCTCCGCCTGTGTCCAAACGTCTTAGACGCTGATTTCGTGCCAAAGATGTTGTGGCATTGGTTGGGCGGTACTACTACGAATAAACAACAGTGAAGAGATAGTATTGCAAAGGAATGGAGTAGTTATCTCTCGCTAGATATTGTGTAGAGTAAAGAGATGTGAATAAATTGGGGGGTATCAATTGGGCGATCTCTCCTCAGGCTATTGACACTATGGCAGATTGAGTATATACCGAGGTAGGTATTCATAAGACTCATGACGCGTTATACAAAAGCAAGGACGACCTAGCTTTAATATAGGTAGTTCTGCAATTCAGAAGGGGCTCTTAATCCAGGCCTAAACTCCGATAAGTTCCAATGGGAGAATAATCATTACAATAACCTCATCATATCGGCATCAGAACCTGTAACACCTAATCATGACTCGTCACCAACCGGGGCTACCAACTCTCATCATTCATACCTACTCGCCTCGACCCCGATAGTTACCCATCTTCTCAATAGAACTCATGATGCCGCTCCGCATAGCCGTGCCACTACCGGGGCGTGGCAGACCCCCCTGAGATCCGCCATTCCTACTCCGGTCATGAGCAATGCCGCCAATCCTACTATCTGTCGGTTTCTTTACCGAACCGGGAGCTCTGAGACCCGACGGCCGGCTGCCGATGCTGTTGCGGAAACTCTCAGGGCGAGTGTGCGGAGTCTTGGTAACTGTCGGCGGTGGCGGCTGCGACGGCCGTGGCGGCGGCGGCGGTTGTTCCGTCTGGACAAAACTCTGCATCGACATCAGTTCCTCGGCTAAGATGACAAGCTCGCCCTTCTCGACGCGCTCCTTTTCGAGGAGCTGGCGAAGCTCATGGTTATCCATCTTAATGCTGTCGATGACAGCTTCGAGTTTCTCGATCTCGGCGCCCATTTCCTTGATCTGCGCTGAATCCCTGATAGCCTGGACCTTGCGTTCCTCGTCTGCGAGGGTTTGATCGGGATCGACCCTGGTCATGGTGACGTCCTGGTTGAGTCTTAGTTTCTCATTCTCCTCGGCAAGCCCCTCGATTCTAGACTCGAGCTCATGAACCTTCTTCTCCCAGCGGTTCTCGTAGCTCTTCTTCAAGGCCGCAACCTTAGCCTCATGCTTGCTTTTGTAAAGCACGTGTAATTCACGAGCCACACGCTCCACGGCAATTTCGACCTCGCGAGATCCGGCGCTCTTAGTCTTATCGGGAGACTTGTTACCACTCTCCGCTTCTGAAGTGGCCTTGCCAGCGCGCATGCCTGCCATTTTACTCTCTGCCTCCTGCGCCATAATCTCGGCAGCCTCGCGTCGCTTCTCACTCTCATCTAACTTGGACTCGAGTTCCTCGCGCTCTCGCTGGCTCATTACGATTTCTTCTTTAACTTTGCGGAGTACGGTCTCCATCTCCCGGCTGCGTGCCTCCCAATTCTCCCTTTCCTCGGCCATCGCTTCCTTCATAGCTCTTTCTTCGCGAACCTGTTCCATGCTCTCGCCCACGCGTTTTTCAGCATCACCCACCGCCGTCTTGAGAGCCAAAACTTCGGCTTCTTTACCGCTAAGGGAAGCCTTAAGGCTACTAATTTCGGAGAGGAATCCCGACTTGAGCGATTCCAATTCTCTGGGTGTTACGGTGGGTATACTACGGGGCGTGGGAAGAGGTGGGATATCGAAGTCGAGCAGGTTAGACTGTTGGCGCTGAGGCGTTGCGGCAATAGAATGCCTCGGATTTCTATCGAATGATTGACTCCGATTCGGTGTCTGTTGTACATATCTGGACGAAAAGCCACCTATCTGTTCTGTAAAGTCCATGAGGAGATTGGTGGTGTTTCCGGATTCGTGCATCGTAGGAGGCCGCGGAGTCCTCAAAGGCGATGGTTCTGGTTTACTCCGCGTGGCGACGGGAGTAGAGCCCGTGTTGGCGAACTTGGTAGGACTATGTCCAATTCTTGCGAACATAGTCATGTTTGGCACCGCAGAGAAATTACTTAGTGTGCTGATCATGGTATCGTCTGGACCCAAGGATTCATTGCCGACTGGTTGATCGCCAATTGACGTAGACGTGGTGTCGGCTTCGTCATCTTCGCCATCATCAAGCGTCGTATCATCGTCTTCAAAGATCTTGATAGCAGTTGCTAAGCCATCATTTCGAAGAAGCGCTTCATCAATGGATAGATTATGCTCCTTAACTTGGTGTTTCTGGGTCTCCGGAGTTGGGGAGGGGCTGCTATTGATTTTAACTGGGAAACGTTTCTCGGGAGATATCTTTCTTGGGCTCTTAGTAGCCGCCAACTTTCTGGGTGTAGGGGATGCCTCCTCAGCAGCGTTCTCTTTTGTAATTAAAATCTTCAAAGGGGACAGTTCCGTGCCGGACAATATTCTAGAATGGCGCGACTTGGAAGGTGAAAAGTTTTCATGGTTTTGGCCGACCTTATCTTTTTCCTCGTGCGCCTGGGATGCGAGGACAGGACTCGAGCCGCCAGTATCGCCAGTATCGCTAGCGACGTGTTCGCTACTCATCTTGGGGGTATGCGAGCTGTTGTTGTATATATTAACTTGACGGTTAGTTGGAGGCGTTGTAAAATTCAGCACACCGGTACTAGAAAGACAAAGCGGTGAAGCCATCCAGGCTCAAGAAAAAAGCGCTTGTAGATGCTGTGAAGACAGTTCAGAGGATTGTGAAGGAATAATGGAGATGAGTACCTAAGTTACTCTAGATGTATCTTGAATCTACAGTTTAACGCATAGCATAGCTCTCAAGAGCGGAGGAGGGCGGAGGATGCCGGAAATTGGTTTCTTTAAGTTGTGCCCAATTTAATTGATTAAAATGTTTGTTCATTTCTGGTTGACGGAGAAACGGTAACGTAAGTACCTGTGCGTCAGGGCATCCACATACGTAATCCCTGCACTATCGCTCAATTTAGGGCTTAGCGTCATCCCCTGTACCACGTGAGGTACCTAATAAGATGAGAGATAAAGAACACCTGATAAGGAGGAAGGTCCTGTTCATCTGCTGTGTCCCTCAGGAGTTCCAAGCCCCTCGTGTAGGAGGTCATGTTGTGTAACATTGCCAACATGCAACTAGTATACCCCCTTTTTCTCTAGTCAAATAAAATAAATTTCAACTCATCTCCTAACCTTTGGTAGGTACCTAGATGTTTAGTGTCATGCATTGCGTATCCATATCGTGTATCCATATCATGTATCCATACCACTAATCTAGACTGTTTATTTCATACATAGGAAAATTTAACGGTCCAATGAAACATGCATCGAGACCAACAAATGGCACTGTGGCGGGTAAGTTCTTCCATGGCTTCAAAAATTAAGACAATATTCTAATTCTCTCTCTCAGAGTGGTCTAACGCGTGTGACTCGAAATCACATCTCTTCGGAGGCGCCCGTTCGAATCGGGCCAGTGTCGCGCATCATTTTTTTGCTATCCATCAAGGCCTAATAGACCAAGCTAATAAGCTTTTTGTTTGGTTTTTTTTTTTTTTCTAAAAAATATCCAAAATATATATTACCTTTCCTACTGACTAATCCTCAATGATACCCATCTTTCCATACTCAGGTATATATCACCCAATATCCTCTTATATCCTCCCCACAACATAAAATAAATGCTCTCTCTACCGTGATGGATTACTTGAGTCTACTTCGATATTCTACGTCTTCGAGCTGGCCGTTCCTTTGGCTCTTCAGAAACATCATCTTCATCATTCAAGATCCTCTTTATCGACTTTCTGTCCAGAAAGTCCAAATCCTTTAAGTCTTGTAACTTCCAGTAGACCCACCAGAATCTATATCGGGTGGCTGATTAGAACGACTTAATCGAGGCAATAGTCAGAGGTTCGAGCATAACTTACGAGTGTCCACTTTTAGTCAGTTCGTCGATCAACCACAATGCTAGTGGTTCACGAGCTGATCGAGATAAGTCGTAGAAGTGCGGGTCGTTATAAATGCTTCTGGTAACATAACCCCGTATAATCCCCCCCACGGTTTTATGATTGCAGGTTATCTCGTTCCACTCCCCCCAGTGTCTTATGGGATTTCTAATCCTTGGCGTGTCCCGACTGGATACGAGTAAGTGAAAATGCTCGAATTTGCGCGCTCTTATTTCTTTGACGAGCTCTAGGAATGGGCTTTGCCTGTTTCTCGGAAGTTTGTCGAACCCATCAATCACTAGGTACGTCTCACCCGGTTGGACTGGCTCGTCTGGCACACGGGATTTTTCGCGGCCCAGATCGCCTATGATTCTCAGGAGGACGTCCCGAAGTTCCGAATTGGTAGGATGCCTTGCAGGATGATATTCGGTACACGCAATATATAAATCCCGAAGGGCTGGGTATACGGTCTTGGGTGGGCAGAGTTGATCAATAACTGTACGACAAAACGCGCCGAAATCGTGGTAGACGGGTGTCGAGTCTTTCTCAAACACATCATGTGTAGCGCAGAAGAAGTAGGCGAGAGAGTCTCGGGACCGGCCAGCGGTCTCTAAACGACAGTTCTGTCTTGTACTATCTATGACCGAGGTGCAGAATATTGTCTTGCCAAATCCACCTGTTAATGTATACGATTAGTAACACCGATTCAGAGAGAACACAACAAAACTACCTAGGTGCCAAGACATACCGTTACCTGTCAACCACACATACGAAGAACCCTCCGTCTCCCAAAAACTCGGGAGGTTTGTGACTGATTGGTGAAATGGGGTTATCTTGTCCGGGATATCAGAGTTGTCGTTAAGAAACTGGGATTGGTCGAGAGGAGAAAGCCAACGGTGGATGTTAACCCGCTCGACGTTTTCTAGATTCTCGTGTACTTCAAGTCTAAGTTAGATTTATCTCAAGTTTGTCTTCTCAAAGTACTCACTGGTACCCTCGCGCCGCGCACTCGGCTCCAGTAAGCCCTTCAGCCAGAGGGCAATATCATCGCGAGTCTCGCACGTAAGATGATTCAATGGCATGTGAGGTATTTCGTTTCCCACGGTTTTTGGAAACAGCACATAATGGACGGGCCCTCTCTTTTCGTATTTCTCTCCGACCCAACGCAAAAGTTGGCCCCAATTAGGGTCATCCAAACCTCCGCCTGCTCCAACTACGCGGATAAAACATGCCATGTTAGCCTCCAGGTTTTCTTGCACAACTATATCATCCAGACAAAGGCTGGAGACAATTTGTGGGTGTAATGATCATTCTACTTACTGCCATATGTTAGCTGCTGTAGATGGACTTAGAGAAAAGAAAAGGGAGACACGATATTAGAAATCCCGGGGTTACTCATACATACCCGACTACACGAACAAGAAAAGCCATGCTAGTTAGTTTCAACTTTCCTAAGGAATATTACTTGGAGGGAACAATAACGCAATCCTGCTTACTACTAGATGTTAGTCGATGTGGATGAATTACTAGGTAAAGGATCAATTAGTTGTTTATTCAACGTACCACAAAATAGTTTTAGTAGAACCTATATGCATCAAAGCCTCCTGGACTCTTTCGTCTTGGACCACGTCCTAATGGGATAAGAAAACGGCCTGTCAGCTTCCAAAACCTGATCTATAGGATATCGTCAAGAGGGAGTAATGGTTTATTTAACTTACTATAATATGTTAACTTGGTACTCTACCCAGAAAATTATTCATAGCACTCTGGGAAACCAACGTCTGGGACAGATCTAACGTACCGTGATAATCTCGTGCGGACAAAACGATGTTTTCGGGATCCCTCCAGTGACCATGAGGATGGAAAATGCCATCAAAAGACTTTCGTTGGAATGACACTAGCTCATGTTCGTCGGACCTCCCGACAGAAGGAATCCCGCAATGCTTTTCAAGCAGGTCATCGTAATTAGTAGTCAACAGCATCGCACCATGCCGGTGAAGTTGTCTTAGGCTGTCAAGAATACTTCTGTCGACGGTGAGGTCGTATAAAGAGTGGAATTGATGTTTTAACCAACCCGCAAAAAGGTCGGGGCGCTTATTAAAAAGTCCCTCCAGCCTGTTTATAGCTTCAAATTGGTCCTGCATCGTCCGATCCGGGAGGCTGAGTAATTCTCTCGCTCGTTCGATGTCGCGTCTATGTCCATCGGCGATTTGCCGAGCTTGGTCTTCGACATATTGAAACCCGTTCTCGACTAGACCACCCCACTATGTAGAAGACGACAAAAGTTAGACCTTTCTTTTAGAAGAGAAATTTTTATGACGTTGGATAAGATTTTTGCGTTATGCACCCCGGGAATCTCTAGTCAAATCCCAGTCGCAATTATGACACTCTGTGAAAAAAAGAAATTTAGGTTACATACTCCCATACGTCTTCTTTCGGTGCTAGGGACTGCGTGTAGCGTTACTCCAGATCCTACGCATATTACCAACTTCCCAGCTTTTAATTCCTTTTGGAGTTTCTGTATAGCTTCTGCTTGCCTTCTGTTGGCTTCTTTTTCCTTCTCAAGTTGATCAGGATCGACGGGATTTGTAGTCTGGCCTTGCTGTGGCGATGGCTGAGGTGCTGGCTGAGGTGCTGGCTGAGGTGCTGGCTGAGGTGCCGGCTGAGGTGCTGGTTGCGGTGCTGGTTGAGGTGCTGGTTGAGGTGCTGGTGTTGGAGCTGGAGCCGATGCTGGAGCTGGAGCCGATGCTGGAGCTGGAGCTGATGCTGGAGCTGGTGCCGGTGTCGGTGCTGGCTCTGTGGTTGGTGTTTTGGGTGTTGTGGGCGTTCCTGGTGTTGTTGGTGTTCCTGGTGTTGTGGGTGTTCCTATCGGTTGCTGCTGCGGTATACTTGGTCCCACAGGCCCCGGTACTCCCGTCTGTATTGGGCTCGCCATAATGTAGATGTTTTACTTTTAGTGTTCTCGTAAATATGTGTGTATTTTCTACGTTTATTCTTCGAGTTCTACGATTGGGGGGCAACAATAGGCTATTGAACTACGTTTAACATAAGCTGCTTAAACCATATACCCAACAAAGAATACAGGTAATATACTTGATTTACAATCCAGGAAAATGAAAACGGTTCTACATGAAAATTGATTATGTAAAGTGAAAGAGAAAGTCACCGGAAACGGGCGTTACACAAGCTACAAGGACCTTACCTTATGTACATACCTCCCAGGTGCCTAATGGGGTAGATATATATGTAGGTGGTTTAGTAAACGATTCCATGTGTTGTTTCGTTCTATAATTTATTCTACATTTACCTCACTGTACTCTATAATAGAGATAAAACGAAAATGAAAAAAGGTCCAACTGAAGGCCGAGCCCTGGCATGATAGCTTCATCTTTAATTCATGTTATACCAGCAATACCTATATGAATAAAATTTCATTTAAAGATTTCGTTGTCAAACATGGAGCAAGGTTTTATGGTCAGTGTGCGGTTTAACTTTGCTGTACCTAGTAAAAACTATTTATGTGCTCCTATTTATACCGGCCGGCGACATCATTTAGGAGCTTACTGACCAATCATCAGGCACAGCTTGGATAGATTCATTTAATAGGCTCTTTGTAGCGATGTGACTTTGTACATGCGGGAGCGTACTACTTACAACTCGGCTAGATGCACCTACATGTAGATATCGTAACTTATAGGAGGTATGCACGTACCTAACGCAGGTCATGTATCTCCTTGACTGGCATAAGACACAAGATTGGCTAAAGGATATAGACTGGTTGCGTTGAACTTTACGTACTTTACCGAATATAAAGTTTTTGCTGTTTTATGCCAGTCAAGGGAAGGGGATAGGCGAAAAAAGGGGGCCAGGCACCATGTACTTCGTAACTTTAAGCAGGTATCTCCTAAAGTATGATACTTAGTAGAAACTCTATAATCCCAGGTGTTTGGTATTTAAAGCAACCCTTTCCCCCTCCCCTTCCCCCTACAAATCAACACCACCACTAATATCCGACCTACCTACAAGAAACCTACTCTCAATAGGCCACCTTACTACGAATCAGTTGCCTAACACTATAATACGCATCTAAACCAACAATCAGGTTCGCAACCACCCTATGAATAATGGCATCGTCGGAAACTACACCGCTATTACCCAAGAAGGAGTCTGCAGTTGAGGTCAAGCCACCAAAACCCGCTACTTATCCCGCTACTTTGGAAATGTCTATTTGGATCCCGCCGATTTTATTTTTCACTATCAGCGGGGCCTTGAGCGGTCTATTGATGCTTCCTATGATCCCACTTCCAGGCATGTCATCACCACTGGTCACGGGAAAAATATGGGCCGGGGCCTGGGGTTTGATCTTTGGGCTCGGTTGCGGAATGGAAGCGCTTGCATACGCCTGGTGGCTTCTGATGAAGCTATTGACGAGGGACGATCAAAAATTCAAATTTCCTGTACTTATTCTCTATATGTTCATGCTCTGTGCCTATATTCAGCATATATCGACGGTTTTTGGCATCGATGCACATGGCGACCCGATAGAGGAGAAGAGAGAATCCACCACTACGTCGGAAGCTCGCCGGCTACATACCTAATGTACCTACATTAGGTATGTAGCCGGCGAGCAGCTATTCATAGGTAGGTACCTATGAATAGCTGCTCAGCTACCTACCTACTACCTAGTACGCAACGTTTTTATGTGGATATCGCTATCACAGGTTTCTAGGTCGTTCCTTTTAGTCATAATACACCTTATATGATCCTCATAATCCTCCTCGGTGATAGTCTTCTACTGTGGTTAACTGAAATGGTCCGACTCAGCGCTGAGGGTGGTTCTATCTCCGTTATAAAAGGCGTGTTTGACGGGTTTTCCCTGATCAAAGTCGGCTACCTGGCGTCGGCGCTAACTAGCTAGAGTAATAATAGGCAGGTAGGGGCTGGGGATAGGAAGTGGAGGGTCTCTTATGGCAGGCGAAACTCCAGCTCTGTCTCCCCTTGAAGGACATAGGTACTCTAGACGCCTAAAAGCGCCATTGATGCGCTTGTCGTAGCTACCTAGGTAGCTATAGCCATTAATAGACGTAAATGTTCTCCTCATCATCATCGGTGATAGTCCGTCGGGATTCGAGACAAGACATCTAGAATAAAGAACATGTTTCTATGTATACGAGCCGTGGGCTCGCTATTTAGGTTTAGAGTTCCTCGTGGAACAACGAAGTTGTTTCCATACTGTTTAATTCTACCTCGTGATATAGTCTTGATAATGACACCCGCCAGAAGCAGGAACGGTCGATCTGAATACTTACTGGCTCTCTGTAGGTACCTAGTTTTCACTTTCCTAGAACTACACTTTCCTAGAACTACACTTTCCTGGAAGTACACTTTCCTGGAACTACACTTTTATCACTCTGTGGTAACTTCTTTAGCTCAGTGAGTAAGTCTTGGTTCTTACCTTATATATACGGGTATTGGGTGTTCGTGTTTATTGTAGTTTCTCCATTATGCTTAAAGCCCCCTTCGCTAGGAAGGAGATGATGATGACGATGAATTTATTAACGTTTAGTAGGCGTGCAAACTAGGCAGTCTAATGAGGTAACTTACACTCAAACACCCATAACGCAGCAATGGCGTGAGGGCCGACTGGAGTACAGGCACAGAGCCAGCGTATCGCCTGATATAAACGCCGGGAAGGTGGATACAGTATATAGGAAAGAAAGGTCACCTGAAGCCCTCCCGTTCAATTGGATTAATACATTTCCAGATTGGTTGATTCTAATCTTCCTTTTCTCTTATTTTTTTCCTTGCGGATCCTAAAAAGCGTTATGGACTCTACTCTACCTCTAGTATACTATACTTCTCCCCAGCGGCGCAGGAGGCCCTGGTACATCCTCCCTATCGCGTTCCTCTACTTCAGTAGCCTGATGTCTTTGGCCTCTTGGGGTATCAGATACATTTACACTTTGTTACGAGCGCAACCTGGTCCTGGCATCGTGGAATCACTCGGTACCGTTATATTGTGGACCCTTGTGTTCGCAATTGTCGGCTACCTTTGTGAGGGAGCGGTGGCCATGTCCCGGCGCTATAGCATTGTGGATGGATTTGATGCACAGGTAGCTGAGGAAGGGTATGTCGTGAATCTCTACTACATCATTTCTGTTGGTACTACCATCAGACTTCTTCGGAAGCTGGCGGTTTTGCTTGGCAGTATTTATGTATAGTGTGCAAACAATACCGATCTAGGTGGCTACCGCTCCTAACACCTAGGTTACTATTGGCGAATACCTAGAATCAGCGTTACTGAAGTACAGTGTAGGATTCGAGGTTGGGTGGCGGGCCGGGCCTGGGATTAATTTTTTGGGCCTGGGTTTGTTATACTTCTCTCTTTTTCTCTTCTATTCCCTTTCTTTCTTCAGTCGAGACTCTTGTCGAATCATGATACATGTTTTGGCGATCTAGTCGGTGAGTTATTTATAACTAATTCACGGACTCCTTCCACCTGGAACTCAAAGTGAACCAGACCAGCGCTATACTAATATAATTCATCAGCATAGATCCGCACCCTCTAAGGAAGTTAGCTAGAGCATAGCCGTCCAACGTTCATAACTATCACGAGGTGGACCAGGAAGCAAGGAAATAACTTCGTTATTTCCCGAGGAACTCTAAGTTAGTTACGGGAGCCCACAGCTATACTGACAGTGTCTTTTGTTTTAGATCTCTCATCTTTAATTTTGACAATAACAGATGGTAGTCAAGTTTAACTTGAAATCAATCTGGTTCTCAGGTAAGTCGCAACGAACTTCGTCTATGTTGATTAGGCTAATATGTTTCGTCCTTGCACCGCCATTGCTATATTACCAATCTACCCCTCCCCCGAGAATCCAAGCGATAGCGATCATGATGCCGTTTTATCAGCCAACTCCAGCATCCCACTATATATGGTCGGCAATAGGTTACGCAAGGTCAATTATCTGGTGGCATTCCTAGGCAAGTTTTCCTCGCCATTGATAAGATATAGATGTAGATCCTGATCCCTTTACTGGATAGTAGCAAACATTGTTGCTTCTCCCCGGGGGCGAGTCTACCTAATCGACTGTGGCAATCGATGGAGTGAAGGACAAGAGAATTGAATTAGCATGCGAGAGGTCAAAAAACTGGGTGGTGTATATGTCTATAAACTGGGTTGCTCTGGTGGTGGAGTCGCCGACGCTATTTGTTGAACGGTGTGAAGATGCAAAGAGGAAGTAGGGGCATGACTTAGTTACTACATGAGGGTATTGAGGCAGGATATCAACAAAGCTAGATGTCCTTTGGCCCAGGCGCCTTAGTAGCTCAGGGGTTAAATACAAGAGGTCACTTACCCCTATGGGACGACACAATAGCCTGAGATTTTCCTATGTTTTACGCCATCCCTAGAAGTGTAGTCTTGAAGATTTCAAGAGTGACCTGCCTTATAGCATGCCGGGCCTAACTTTCTTATTACGACTAGCATCTCGATCAGGTTAAGGCTCCCCAAACAAAAGGATTTGAGCGTGATTACTACCTAGGTAGTTACCTAGGTAGGTACCTAAATTATAAAATTTGGGAACTCGGGGATTTATGAGATTTCCCTTTTTCGAATTCGTGGCTTTATGCACTTGTAAAAGACAAAGCTCTGATCGAGCCACCTAGCTTCTTGGTGGCATAGTTAAAAATGCCAAAGCGATAGCCCATGAAATATGCCCAGTTAGTATACATCGTGTAAGGTTCCCCTAACTGGGTGAACTTTTGCCCGTCTGTACTGTATGAAAAATTGGCCGCGTAACTACCGCTCGCTCGAGCGTCCAGCGACGCCCGAAGCCAAATTGTCTTATCTTGAGGGGTATCTGCTGTTGTTGCTACTACGTCGCCGAGACGGGTCGTATTCCATGCAGATTCTTCTTGTGTGATGTTGTGCACGACGGATAATGTGTACTTGGACCCATCACGATGGATACCGATATAAGCAGTGCGATCCCGGAAAGCTGCAAGGCCAAATCGGTCACCGTCGGCCATATTAGTAAAATCAACTTGAAGAGTACCGACGGGGAACTCTCCATGAATGCGATGGGTTAGGGTGTTGCGTGCTGCGTACAAGTCGTCCGTTACGGTCGCAGTAGATAAAGTCACTCCGCCATTGCCAGCCTTGTACTTTGTCTCATCAGGATTGTGATTCCATTCCCAGTCTGGGCCTAAGGTATTGCCATCGAAAGTGTCAGTACGAGTCCATTTTTGGACGGCTTTGACAGGAAGTGGTGCTGGATAAGATGAACCCCATCCACCAGACTCGTCGGCAACAAAAAGGGGGAAGCCATCATCTCCCCACTTTATTGGAGCCAGAACAGGTATACGGCCATTTGGATATGCCCATGTGAAAGACATGTAGTACCAGTCACCTGTTGACGCCTGGATGAGACTTCCTTGATGCGGAGCTCCGCCATTGGGCACTGGAGATTTAACACCATTGACTAGTATTTTGCTCTCATAGGGTCCCCAGGGGCTTTCGGATTTCCATATATAGGTAATATCGCCTGGATGGTCGTCAAGGATGTAGTAGAGCCCATCCTTTTTGTACATGCGATTTCCTTCGATTCCATCTTTCCCTACATCAGAGGCACTGAAGATGTGTTTGGTCTCTACCTGGCTGAGTCCATCTTCAGATAGCCGGGCTATAGACACATCAGTGGAGCCGTATACGACATACATAGTATCGTCGTCATCGATAAGGAGGCCGCAGTCATAGTAGCATGTGCCGCCTGGAAGCACAGCCGCGCGGGTCCATGGCCCAGTGACGTCCTCGGCGGTATAAATGTAAGTATACCAGAAGTCGACGCAGCCGATCCAGTACCAAAGCCCGGTACTCTCGCGAAACCGCATCGTGGACGCCCATGTTCCACCTCTATATGCATGGCCATTCGTCAGATTATACTTCTCGCCGAAATCGAGACTGGGCACGGAGTGACCGATAAGTTCCCAGTTGATGAGGTCACCAGATCTTAAGATGGGAGCGCCTGGACTGTAATGCATATTGGAGGCGGAGAAGTAGTATAATCCGTCTGGACCAATAGAGACGTCATTATCGGCGAAGTCTTCATATACCACTGGATTCTGGAAAGAGTCTGCTCGTTTCGGTAGTAAAGGCTCGGTAGCTGGTATGGTATCCAGCTCGCTCAAAGACGGAGAAACACTTGTCCATGCTAGACTAGCTTGTAACAAGCTATATAATATGAGGGCGTCTCTCATCTTCATATTGATCATCTAGTTAGATGTCCTTCATACACTAAGAGGATAGGTATCTCATGGGCTCAAAAGGGATAAATAATAATAATTTCTTGACAATGCATATTTATTAAGATTATTTATTGATTAGACCTCTATATTTTCTCTGGGAGGTGCTACTTTTATATTCCTCTCAATCGTTGTTGTGGCATGTTTGTACTAAACCGTACGACGCATTTTTCAATGCAACTCTCTGCTAAAGGAGGATGTTCTACCGAGGTCGCAATGCGATTAGTTCTCCAATGCTAGCAACTGCTATATAGCCTCCCAACTAAGCAATTAACTAAGCAATAATTACGGGGATGTTAGAATGTCCTTGGATGTCCTCTTGTTAGAGAGTAGATCCAGAGACTTTACTGGGTCAATTTTTCAACTGGCTATGGACATACGAGGATATGTAGTAGGGACACATAAAATTACGTATATAACTCACTCGAGCCTTTCTTTACGCCAATTGTAAAGACATGTCTAATCAATAAATTATTCACATTCAATTGACTTACTTTTCAACTTGCATACCTGTTGGAATTGATCGGTTCAAATAGCTTGTTGAACGGGTTAGGTGAAGGCGTGTTGGGTAGATGTCTAACTATTCAAGGTTAAAGGTTAACAATAACAAATATTATATAATTGACACCTACTTGAGACTAGTTAGTTGCTATATATGATAAACTTATGATGAAGACTATATTCTGGCGATTGATCACTCTCGAGGTGGGATAATATTAATTGTTACCTATGTACGACGATGTAGGAATTGCTCTCCCCACTTACGACTCTTTCCATACACTAATGAGGAACGAGTTATCCGAAGATTAATCCTAGCAAACCACATGCAATGAGGGGGAAGTATTATAAAGATTGGGACTCGAGAAAACATGACGTTTAATAGGTAGATTCTGCTACGTTATCAAGCTCGCGGAGAAAATACCTACATACCTTTAGGTAGGTACCTAGAGGTACCTGCTACTAGGACAGGGATGCCGGGGTAAATCCACAGGTCGGGTTTTGAAATCGTGGGGACCCCCAGATACCTCTGAACCAATGGCATTAAGAGCGGTATAGTAGCCCCCGGAATTTGCACCCAAGAGCCTGTAATTCGGCGAAATATTGTACCTGGGTACCGTAGCTCCTTCGCCTAAACACCAATGCCTGCGGTCGCCTTGGTCCATCTCTTATCTCTTTCTACTCTTTCTACTTACGAGGCTCTCGCCTCGATTGATTTGGCGCTGATCCGTAGCTGGATAATTCTGCATTTGAGTGGCCGGAAGAATTACTTGGAAGCACTAGGGAATTTTTCCCGGGCCTACTTTGGCTGCTTTTCTAATCATCGCATTCGTAGCTTCGCCTCGTGGCCTCCCACTTACGACCTCAACAGGTACTTTTCAGCTTTCTAATAGTGGAGGCTTGTATATATCTACCTCCGTCTCGAATCTCAAGATGTCGATGTCTCTTACGATACCATATAAGGCCGCATGAGTTGACCTATTCATTGACCTATTCATAATCATAAGTTATAACTCGCCGATAACTCCGGACAAAATACCTTGGGTACGGTAGATATCATTCTACCGATACAGCGCTGAAGCTCATTGTTTTCATACTTTCATACGATAAGTTTCCCGACCCAACGTAAGCTCAAAGCAGTGGACGTCTGTCATGAAGAGCCTGTCGCCCGAGACGATCCCGATACTCAGCCGTTCATAATATTAATATCGCTGGTCATTCGGATCAATTAAACCACTCCCCAAGCCTAGAGATCTACCTCTGTTAACGCGGGGACGTCGTCTATTAGGGCAGTATGGCGACAGTCCAACAGCTACACCAGGCTCCTACGCCAGCCTGCCCGCTTAACAATGCCGGCGCATCAATCTCAGCTGTAGAAATAGACATAGAGCGAAACTTGCGACCGAGAGCCATGAAAGGGTCCAAGACTACGAGCGGATTGCAAAAAGGCGATACTAGAACTGCTGTTATCATCTATGGTCCCGGCCAAGAGCGCATAGTATCAGTTTTCGCAGACGTCTTAGGGAAACCGTATCGCATGGCCGACAGCTTTCAGGGCATAACTTCTATAGAGCAAGAATTGGTACTTGGGATCTCATTGGGAAGCGCCAAGATTGATATTTCTTCGCGAAATCGAGATGCGGTGGTTGCGATTAATGCCCACTGCGTCAATCTCGGGATGCCTCCGGACACTTATATATCTGCGCAGTGCGACTACGAGTTCTTGTATCCCGAAGCCTCATTCTCACGTCGAGACCTAGCCCGCTTTATTTCCTTCACCCTCGGTCAGATTAACCACCATGACGCATTAATGTCAAAGCCGCGCACTTATTTCATTTCGACTACATTCCCTGATGTCCGGGCAGCCCTTCCTAACATAGATATTCTTACGGTTGGTGCTGACGCTGTAGAACTACGTGTCGATCTTCTCAAAGAACCTTTAAATGATGGTAGTTTTGCGCCGATACCTAGTCTAAGTTACGTTGGGGAACAGGTTATGCTATTGCGCCAGAGGACCGAATTGCCCATTATTTTCACCACAAGATGTACGAAGGAGAACGGTCGGTTTCCGATGGAGAATCCCGACTTGTACTACGAATACCTCTTCCGGGCTATCCAGTGGGGTGTCGAATATATAGACGTCGAGCTTTGGCTTCCGGAACATATTCGTCGGAGACTGTACGAAAAACGCGGGAGCAGCCGTATTATGTCTGCGTTCCACGACTTTTCTGGTACATTCAAATGGCCTTCGGCCCAAGCAGAGTCTATCTTCCTCGAGTCTCGAAAATACGCTGATATCATAAAAATGATATCAATAATCAACGATCACAACGAAAACTTCGAGTTGGAATACTTCCGCTCGAAAATTCGAAGCGAATATCCAGATTCGCCCCCCTTTTCAGCCGTCAATATGGGTGAAACTGGTCAGTTCTCGAGAACTCTAAACAAAGTCTTCACACCTATCACCCACCCTCTTCTTCCGATAATTGCTGCGCCAGGTCAGATGAGTGCTGCTGAGATTAATGCCGCACTGTCATTGCTTGGCCAACTTCCAAAGAAGAGTCTCTACGGAATTAGTAGCCCATTCTCTCGTATTGCGACTCCTCACGCACCCTTCTACGAGAAGTGCTTTAACGAGCTTGGGTTACCGCACCAGTTTGCTGTTGTCGAAAGACACCTTAAGGGACCTACCTGCGTGGAGGCGTTGTGCAATCAAAAATCCTTTGGCGGGGCATATTTGAGTCCGCCAGTATCCTTGGCAAGTCTCATGTATGAGAGCTCTTTCTTTGCGAGGCTTAATAATGGATTGGGGCCATCACTTACTGAAGCTGCTCGTACGATTGGTATGGTTGATACCATCGTTGTTCAATCTCGATCGTCTCCACCATCCTCAGCACCTCCTGCTACTCCTTCGGGTTCTGACCGGAGTGTTGACACGTCCCTAAATTTTGGCATCGGCAATTGTAACGGGCTACCACCAAGCTCGACACTAATTTTTGACAACGCAAATTGGCGTGGCATCGTCAGTACTCTGACGCGTGATCTTGCACCCTCGGCTTACTCTGGTCGTGCGGCTGTTGTCCTGGCAGCAAATTCCGACGACGCAGCGTCAGCTATGTACGCATTGAAAGCGCTTCGAATTGGTAAGGTATATACTGTTGGTTTCAAGACACCCCCTAGTCTAGCCCGCGGCCTCGAAGTCGAGCCCTTCAACAGCTTAGAGAGTCTCCAAAGAGCGAGGATGGTGCGTGATAAGGCGAGCCCTTTCGTAATCATCTCTGCTTTGGGACCCGAGAAGTCTAATATCGTCGGGATGCTTGTGCGTGTGTTTGGGGGCTCAAGAGGCTCGTCCACGCAGATCCGCAAGGTCTTTCTGGACCTGGCCGATGGACCGAGAAGAGGAGACCCAAGCGCGGTTGCTGAACAGAGTGGCTTCGCCGCGTACGGCGTAGCAGATACGACAGCATTCACGACCGTAGAAACCCTTAGGTTGCTCGTCGGCCAAAATGTGCCATACAGCTTCGTGCGGCTTGCGGGCGGCCAGGGAATGTTTTAAAGGAATCGTATATATATACCCCGGGGAGATATGGTAGGATATTAGATGCATAGGTAGTGTTTAGGATTCAATATATGCAGATTACCGGCGAACTGTGTCTGATGCGATTAGATGTAATTCTTCTGACTCTAGGCCAGCCAGTTGTGGACATATTTCGGAGACCTACTTGGAAAAATTTTTACATCGACGTCTTCTCCAGAGTATACTGTCCGCGCCTTTTCTTCATTCCGTTTCTATGTATTTACAGGTTCAGGTAATCTGGAGGTTCTTCCGAGAGCATAGTCCCGACGTACGGAACCAAGGGGCTATGAAACCATCCGTTAAGAGTATTCGGTGTGGCATGCCTGGGTATTCTCGTAATTGGGTAGGCTTATCCAAGGCCGAGAAGTATTATGCTCGTATTGCTTAACCTACGCTTATACTTGCTTAGGTAGGTACGATTATCAATACCGAACTAAAGCGCCCGGACGAGTATAAAAACCTGGGAGTGCACATATGTAACCACATAGTCTTTTGGAGATGTCATTGAACCCCCACGCCCCTTGCCTCCTATTCTACGTCTACGTACTACCCCAATGCTTCCGTTGGGTGTTGATGCCGAAGTGCTAGAGTCAATCCATACTATAGTATCTCGGAGTTTTTACCAAAGTCTAGAGGTGATTTTCGTGAATGCCGAATTTGCGTTGGAACCCGGACAATTCTCCGGGTGGCTGCTGAAATGAGTGGTCGAGCCGAGTGCAGCGAAGTGAGAAAATTGATAAATTGAGATGCAAAAGCTGAGTAATGGACGCTTATGCTATGCGGTTAAGACCGGCTTATTGCAGATACACCCAGACTAATATAATCTCATACGATGCTCCAGTGGGCTTGATATATTCCTACGGGTACCTGAGTCGGCGCATAGGATGATAAAAGTTTTAAAGATACTGCAGACGTTTTATAGGCGTCCGGCAGGGTACTTGGCACGTATCGTATATTATACCCGCATGCGGTATAAGACGTTCAATTAAAAGAGCCTGAATATCAGGATATATAGTTGAGATGGCACTCCAGGAGCCGAAGCCGCATGCAGCCAGCCATAATAAAAGGGTTACTCACATCGAGACGATGTGGAGAGAACTTGACGCTGCACAGCATCTATCCCGAGTCCGAGTTCGTGACAAAGGCGTGTTGGGACATGTTTACGGCCCTATCGTTTTCAAGAGAAAATAAGGGTATCGTTCGACTTCTGACGTGTGTGACGCAGGTGCAACATGTCAATATTGCACGTCAGTACCAGCCAGCAGACTATTCAGGGACCGGATCTGTCACTAACCTAAGTGGCTGTGGCCGGGGAACTGGGCATTACATACCCTGAACAAGGGGCTGTTCTAGACATAAATCTTGTTCCTTGTTAAAACCTTGGCTCCATATTACGAGCCGATGTGACTTTAAGTTAGAGGTATATTCGAGCATCGCTTTTCATGCGTGCGGATGTGCTGTTAGGAATGTAAGTTTTTGAGAAGATATTAGGATAATTCGATTAATTCCACGCATCCTCAAGTATATACCTGTATATATAACCTTGTTTACAAGTATCGATACCTAAAGCGAAGTAAATGAGACGCCTGCATATACCTATGTATCTTTTGGCGGGCATAAACATATAAACATCCGCCCCTTATTTCTAAATGAGAATAGCCTCGTTAAGCATTTAGTGTATCTTGGATAATTGTATATAATATTTTGGACTATATATTTAAGGGGAAAGAGAGGGGCTTGGACCCGCTCGGGTCTTTTAGCGGCGAGCATTAACCCGGTCCGGCTTCTACGGGAACCCTAACCTAAACATTTTTTGAACATTACCACATCAAAAAAACATACATACTTCGTACATGTAGATGTAGAGGTCCACCTACTAAACGTCAATCTTTAGGTAAACAACACAACACCCCTGCCTTACCATTGAACTCCCGGAATACATACCCGCGTCTCCTTCCGAGATAAGTCTCAAGAGGCTTCAACTCAAACAAGACATCCGGTATCTAGTACCACACGTGTCATCGTCACGATCGTGAACCACACAATCTACGATCTAGATACGCGCAGTACCAGTGACGTGGAACTGCATCTTACGAGATGTCCTCGAAAACCCTGTACAAGCCTACATGATGACAGAATCCTAAAACATGGACCGGATTGGCTCTATAATTTACCTACGATCGGCTTTGCAACATCAAACGCGCCTAGATATGATATATCGACCCACTGCCATCTATTCGGGTACTCCCATGGGTACTCCCATACCTTTAAACCGTCCCAACTCTTGACATATGGATGCATGATTATTGGGTCCTGCCGGCTAGCACCGCTACTCCCACGCTGTCGGTATCCGCCTCGAACAGGGCACAAATTCCCCAGATCCAATGGAGACATTGTAACTGCTATGGGGAGCCGTTCGGACTCGGTTCAAGTATCAGCAAGACAACACACCAAACGCCATCATCTCCGAATGGGCGCTTCGAGTTCACGTCATTAGCAACCCGGTTAGACCTACCTAGTTCAAACGGATGAATGCCTAGGGCCCTTTAAAGTCCTTCTTGTAACGAATGCCTACGTATCTTGTTCCTGCTCCGCCAATCCCCGGTGTATCAACGCGGCTATGTAAGTTAGGTAGTTACCCTGTTTAGCTGCGTCCTGATATCTCGGGGTGGGTCTCACGGGGTCATCGTCATCGGTGCCGGGGACAATGGCATCCAATCCAACAGAGAAAAGTGCATACTTGGAAGCTCTCAAATTTATTATTAGCCCAAAAGAAAAATGAAAGAAGCTCCGGTACGTCACAACCAGCCCGAAGGAATAATAGCCTATCGAGAGCTTACCCGGCGTCTTGATGTCTCAAAACAGTAAGCCAGCTAAACTTAAAGCACTAGTAGAGACCATTCTCGAGGAAGTTGTTAAGATGCAGAGCTTACGCGCCTACATGTGCCTTAGAAGTCGCATGAACTTATACAACACTAACCGCAAACGCGCAGATATGAATAATTTAGGAGGTCGTGTGCCTGCATAGTATTTATCTCCAGCTATTTACCTGGTTAGCTGTTTGTAGAATGGAGTAGGTTAGACCATGTTAGCCACTAGGTCTAGCTTTATACATCAGAGCCGGCCAGTGTCTCTATCATTAGCGGTCAATATTCAACTCTCATGACTCGGGGGTCATTGCTGGTATACAACACTCCTGCATCGGGGCCAACATAAACAAGGTCAAGCCAATTAGTACCGGTCAGAATCCTAGTTGGGCATCCGCCAAGCTGGCAACCGGAACTATATTTTCTATCATTCCAAGGGGTCTCTAGTTCTACGCAGCACCAAATTACGAAGAGGCTCCTTCAAACAGAAGACTTAGTGGGAATTAGCATGTGCTTGGCCAAGTTATGTTCAATGTGGTTCAAGCCACAATGCGTTCGACTTGGCCAACAGCTTAAAATAGTTCTCAATGTGGCACCACCCACCCATAAATCGCATAAGATTGGCCAGTGAAAGCTTGTCTGTACGGTAAAGAAAGTAGGGGCATAAGATTTAGAAATTCCACGACGAGGACCGATAACTCTAAACGGCTTTTCACGAGAGCAGCGAAACCGGCGCTTCTACGGCTTCAACTACCAGGATAGAACTGCTAGTTAAGATTGGGGAGATCGATGGGAGATTGATTTCTATTGGCGCGCAACAGACGATGCCGCCATCTGTAGCACGTGTCATACTTCTCGAAGAGTTAGAGCTCTCCTCCACCCCTTATCACCACCACCACTACCAACTCCTCCGTATTCCTTTTCCGCGGCGGTTTGTGTCCTTCCCATTGCGTATAGCACGGGAATCTAGCTAAAAAGCATTAAGCTCAAGACCGTAGTAACGGCAAGCGGCCCCTCTTATTAACATGGGCCGAGAATGAAGTCTGCAAGAACCCCGTTTTGGTCGCCTTCCGACGGCTTGGTCCCAGTTCGTAGCCAATCCGAAATCCCTGCTCTTGTCGCCCTCTCAGTTCCCTGTAATCTTCCCCAGTTTACCCCGTCAGGTCCCGCATTGGCAAGGGCTTCACGAGCCGAGTGGATAATGAACAGGATCGTGCCAGAATAAGGCCCTTGCTGAGGCCCCCAAGACGTTATGTAGCAAGGCCGGTAAAGTCAGTCACTAAACCCCAATCGTCCACAGGCCGTCTCCCACATCTTCAGCGTTTCTCTGCATGAAATATGACCCATCTTTTCCCATCTGAATAAAGTAAGGACCACAAATTTCAACATGCATTGCGCGGTCGTGAGCCCTTCTTCTTATTAGTCCTTCTCCGCCGTACATATTTCTCCATGTCTCCAAATTCTAGCAAAATAGTAGTATTGGTGGGCGCGTCAACATCGTTACTAAGTACAATACAATATGCAACAATCACTATAGCACCATATCAGCGCGGAAATCCGAACTAAGTAGCCGGCAATCGGTTAACTATAAGGATGAGAGGTTCGTTTACGATTCAACGAGAAACTCTATCTCCATAGAGGAAGGATAAGGAGAAAGAGAGAGTAAAGGGAATTGGACGCGCCGATTCGACAACAACGGTCTCGGTTCCGGCCTCCAGAAACCCTCACACGAGGAGATACGTTTAGAATCGGTAATCATGAGTATCGCACCTCTCCCCGGAATTCAACCCATCATCATGTCGCGGCCACAAGTCGGCATCGAGCGATTACCAAGTCGCCGTATGGGCAACGAGCCACGAGAAGCAATGAATTGCAAGTCATGTCGGAAGCGGAAAGTAAGGCTCCTTACGTCGGCCGGATCGAATTCAATCCAATTAGCCGAGTTTTTCTTCTTAATCTAACGAACGGTATTCTCCGTGTAGATTAAATGCAATCGAATGCGTCCGTCCTGCGAAGCTTGCCAGGTCTTCCAATGCCCCTGTATCTACGGTTCGTAATTGGCTTTCTCTGTCTCGCCCCTGGGAAACCCTGGGAGAGCACCTTTATGATAGATTCCTACAGTAGAGCTAATTTTGCCTTGATTCCTATCTTTACAGACGCTATACCCAAAAAACGAGGCCCCAAAACAGATGTATTGGAGGCATTGTTAAAGAGGGTAGATGGTTTAGAAGCTCAGCTCAAAGATCACAGGAAGGCCGATGCTTCACCAACCACTGAAAAGCTTCCGCATATTAGTACGGAGGAAACGTCCCCCAGCGCCAGACTGGCAGCAGAAGATTCGGATTCTGGACCGAAATCAAAGCGTCCGACTCTAGACATTTCTCGAGCAACGGAGATAGCTTCGGAATCTGCTATATACTCACCTACGATTTCTAGCGAGCCCTCCCCCGGCGTACAGATAGATACGCTCCTTGACACTTACTTTTCTCGGTTCCATGCAAAACCCTACCATATCCTTGATGAATCTTCGGTGCGACAACGGCTACAACTCAACCAATTACCTAGTTACTTGATATATGCCATCTATTCCGTCGCTGCTAGGTTCGCTTCCGTCCCGCAACCTTAGGGTACCTAAGCACGTATGTACTAAGACTGTATTAGATACACAACGCACCCTAGCGGATGCCAGTCCGCTGCTAAGTTGAGTGAGGATTATGCATTGCGATCGAGGGGTGGGATCGATGCAGACGAGCCATCCATCGATGCTCTTCAAGCCCTCCTTCTCCTCGTCACTGCGTTTACGGCAGCAGGCAAGGGTAAAAAGGCATATATGCTCCTAAGTAAGTCCCTAGATGAGAATGGCGATGTTCGGTGAAGTCTATAGACCCATGAACTGATTATATCATCAAGCAATTGCCATCGGAATGGCCATGGCTCTTGAGTTACATCGGGAGGTAAATCTACAAGCTAGGATAACAGCTGTGGAACGTGAAATGAGAAGACGTTTGTTTTGGACATGTTATCTTCTCGATAGGTTTATGGCATGCGGCTCGAGACGCCCCTGTCTTATCAGCGACAGGACTATCCTTCTACGCCTTCCATGCTGGTCTCCGAATCCATCTACCTTGCCTGTCGAAGGAGACTTTTTCCAGAACGGATCGAACCTTCAGCACCTACAAGGTAACGGCAGGAAGTCTCAGGGGAGCAGCGGAATGCTCATCGACATCAGCCGTATTCTAGGAATTACGAATAGATATCTTGCAGCGGGAGGTGTGAAAGGCGATTCCCACTTCCCCTGGCACGCCCTTTCTGAACTTTCCAAAATCAGGCAGGATCTCGATATATGGGCCTCGGGGACTGCCGACGTCTTCTCGAGTGTAGATACCCTCTTCGGGCAACCTGATTCGACTGTTCTTGTTCTCAGCAAACTCGTCTACCACTTAATTCACTGTCTTATTTACAGACCCTTCCTCCCAATTGACCTTGCGGAACTGGCCGGAACGGGCCAACATCAATCTTGGCAAATAGAGGCCACTAACATCTGTTTCTTGCACGCCAATGCGATCGCTGAGCTAGTGGAGCTCGGTAGACAGATGCCATCCATCGAATGGCCTGCTTTTGTTGGTTATTGTATCTGCACCGCGGGTACAGTCCATATACATGGAACACATTACAACAAGAACGGAGGGGGAGAAACCATGGGTGTTTTATCATCATCGTCAGAGTTCCTATCCCGCGAACTACAACAACTGAGCGAGCTGAGTTATACCTGGGCAAGTGTTCAACACCAACGTGATACCTTGCAAAGCATATACAGCGCCCACGCCGAATTAGTCAAGGGTCTTGCTAACAATTCAATGCGCTACTCCCCGGCTTTCAACCTTGAAGACTTCTTCGACCGCTACTCGACTACCAGTAGGCCAGGAGGTCGTCCGTTCACGTTCGACGCTACGAATCTTAGCCTTTCGGAAATCGCCACTAATTTCGCTCCTGATACCTACTCAGGGCCTAATTTATATTCACCACATATCAATACTGATTTCGAACGGCCAAATCTAAAGCGAAAGAATACTGCTCTCAGCCAAAGGCGACCCGACATAAGAAGCTTAACCCCAGTTAACGCAGCTAACAACAGACCCCTAACTCCTGGACTGCCTACCCCTGGCGCCCATCCCCGACATTTCTCTTTCTCTACAACCCCCCATGCATCATCGATGATGCACACTTCCAGTTCATTGCTTCCCCACACAGATAATATACACAGTAGTGCTACTCTGTCAGTGCAACAACGACGCGAAACGGTTGATAATCAGGCTATTAGCGCTACCGCCACCGGAGCCACGGGTGCCGGATTCAACCCAGCGTCGTACCAGCCAGCCCAGTCGCAAATGGAAGCCATGTCGGCGGTCCCATTCTCCCCATCGTATCAATACGCGACCCCCAGCCCGAGCGGCGACAACGAAAGTAGCCTCGGCGTCGCCAGCTACGACCCGATGTTCGGGACCGTGCCGACCAACACCTTCTCTTCCCCCACGCCCTGGCACGGCGAAGAAGACCTCCGCAAGCCGCCGTCGCACCACTTAGCTGCGGTCCCGAGCCCGGGGGCGGGTAGCCCGGCTGCTGCTGCTCCCGGGGAGGACAAAGATCCGTTCTTAAGCTTGCTGGAACAGCTTGCGGAGAACGAGCATGCTATTGGGCAGGGCAAGGAGATTGATTTCTTCCTGGCGGGGGCGCAGGGGTGAGTGAGGTGGATGAATTAGGTACCTCTTTAGGGCCCGTCTATTTGCCATGGTATATTGATGTAGCGAGGGCGGCTTGCGCGGTGGGATTGGAGTTAGATTGGCATTTGGACGAGCTCTTCTGTGGGGGTGTATTGGTGTTTATTATTTACGGGAGTGTACCATATGGCTGGCTCAATATTGGTCTAGCGGTATTTCATCAGCGAGCGAACGAACGATTTGGGAGATGTCACGACCTTTTTTTGTTTTGGGGGGTTTTTTTTTCGATAGGCATCATGTTTGTGTAATTAATTGTGTGATATTGGGTTAGGCAAGATATGTGACGAAGAGAAATGTGTATTTATAGGCTTGGGAAAATAAGAGGGTGGTATACAGTAAGTAGTATATATGATCCGCGCTTGGCTACCTACCTACCTAGGTAGAGCAATATTTGAATATGGGTATCTAGGGTATTTTTATCTTGCCTGACTACCTCCTAGGTAGGTAGGTTAGGTACCTAATGCAATATTTGGTATTGGCGCTGTTCATGGAATCTTGAACCTTTTCAGCCCTTTAGACGTTGCCTTTTATCCTCGAGTCCATGCTTCATGATAACCTTACACAAGGATGCAAGCGTCTTGGCTCCAATTACCTCCAGCGTCGCAATCTCTATTCCTAATTCTACTTTGGCCCAGTTTCTGAACTCTATCGCAACAAGCGAATCAATTCCGTAGCTAGACAGTGGTCGCTCTGGGTCGAGCTCCTCGCTCATACCGAGACTACGCATCAACTTCTGGTTTGTCTGGTCCCGTAGCATCGATAATAGCCCTTCATGGTTTGCCGCAAGACTGTCACTAGTCTTGAAAGCATTGCGCAAAATGGTGATAGTATCGCTGCTTATGTCTTCTCGAGCTGTTTCACATCGTGTTGACTGTCGGAGAGTGCTGAAGCGAATATCACGCTGCGCGGGGGATTCTTTCGGCAGAGGTACAGGAATCCCAGTTATAATTTGGCTTGAAATGATAGGATTCGCCTGCTGCTTCTGCTGCTGGAGAGTCGAGAAGTAAAGTATCTTGTGTAGTAGGGATTCGTTTATGGGTACCCACCCTTGAGCAAGTAGACGCCTGGAAAGCGACTCCCGGCTATTTACGTACCCGACGTCTTCAACAACGCCGAGATCCACGGAACAGGCCGGTAGTTTAAGCGACTTGCGATATGCGGCGAAAGCGTCTAGGAAGGAATTTGCTGCGCTATAATTACACTGGCCCTTTTGACCCACAATACCACAGATACTCGAAAGGAGTGTGAAAAAATCGAGCTCAGATCCATGCTTGAGAGCTGCATGGTGTAGGTTCCAGGTGCCTCGAACCTTCGGTAGTATGGCCTCGTGGAATTCATTGTAGGTCATTGTGTCATATGGCCTGTCCTGAATAGGAGTCAGTACGTGAAACTCGAAGATTTGGGTTGTAGAATCATACTCTTAGTACCATTGCTCCTTGAATAACTCCACGAATGGGTTTAGAAGCACTCTGAAATACTTGCTCGACATCCTCTAGATTTGTCACATCGCCAGTCACTAGTGTCAACTCAGAACCCAGTCCTCTAATATCCGCAGCTACTCTGCTGGATATCTCGTCTTGGTGCCCGGAGCGTGACAACGCTATAAGACTTTTAGCACCTTGCCGTGCGAGGTAGACTGCTATGCTTCCACAGAGGCCCTTCAAGCCTCCTACAATCAGGTATGAGGCGTCAACGTCTAATTTCAACCGTGGAATTACTGGGCGGATCTAGTTGGGTGTTAATCCAAGGAGGCGTCGAATCAAGTTAGAAAGTGGCAGTTAGAGAGGGGCTTACCGGAACAATGGTTCGGCTGGTGTCACTCCTTGCTATCACAATCTTGCCGATGGAATTCCTAGTACTTAAAAGGGCGAAAGCTGCAGAGATATCTGCGAAGCCAAAAACTTTGGTAATAACAGGCTTGATGTGGCCTTGCTCCAGCATTTTAAAGATGCGCGATAGTAGCCTTTGATAACCCTATTAGATACTTTGCACCTCGTCCGACGGCGTGGAGTGACTTACCTCTTTTTCAAATCCGATGAGATTGATTCGTGAGACATATCTACGGCACGGTACGACGCGTTGCGATCGAAAGGCTCCATAGATATGCTCGCTTTTTCCAATATGTCCTTTTTCCCAAGCTCTACCAAAGTTCCACCTGCGGCAACACAATGCCACGAAGCATCAAGCATATCGCCAACAAGGGTATTGAGCACCACATCTACTCCTTTCCCATTCGTAGCCGCCATCAACTCTGCTGCGAATCGTGTAGTTCGCGATGTAAATATCCGGTCTGGTAGCACGTTATAGTTTTCGATCAGAAACTGCCGCTTTTCATCGCTCCCTACTGTTGCGTAAATTTCTGCCCCAAGATATTTGCAGATTTGTACTGCGGCAATTCCAACCCCCCCAGCGGCCGAGTGAATCAGTACGCTCATCCCTTGTTTAGTATTACACATATCCGTTAATGCGTATAGTGCGGTCGAGTAAACAGTGCCGAGTGCTGATGCTTCTACGAACGAAACGTCCTCAGGTATAGGAAATATTTCGCTCTCCGCGCAGCACTGTGCACGGTTAGCAAAAAGACCTCTTTTATATACCAGAACTCTTTGCCCGGGATGATATGCACCCGTTCCTTTTCCTACTCGCCTAATCAACCCGGCTCCGTCGGCTCCGAGAAGTTGCTCATTACCAGGTACGAGACCCATAGCGATAGCCAAGTCCTTAAAGTTTAGCGAGGCAGCATAGATGTCTACTTCGATATCACCAACTGTCAATGGAATATCCCCTTCAGAGACTTCGGAATAACACAGGCTATCCAAGCTACCGAGATGATTGGCAATTAGTCGCACACAAGATCTGTGATCAAATAATGAATGCTCTTCTGCTTTTGGGCCTTGGACAATGCCGCTCTCTTGCTCGTTTATAGGATTATCTGGAACGATCCGTTCAACACAAAGACTGCCGTCTCTCTCGATAAACTCAGTGTCTGTCATGACTGTGGTTTTAGTTGTTGTTAGCTGGCGAAGTGTTTGATCGATGGCCGTTATGGTGTTCATTCCAGAACTGGACTCGACATCGAGTGTCATGATGATTGCATTGGGGTTTTCATTGCATATCGAACGCTTGAATCCCTGGATGAGACCACACTCAGGGTTTGTGACAGCCATCTGTCCACCCCTCGATACCCAGAGAACACGGCAATCCCGAGAAAGCAAACCTCGTAGTCCAACCCATTGGCTCTCTGTGAAATTTGATACAGCTGGACCACATAACTCATCGAGGACGAGCATCGTATTGCCTGGGAGGACGGCTTCAAATGGAGCAGAATGATGCCCGACTTCCCATCCGAGCTTCGATAGCTCATGTACGATTTCCTTCGTGGTGCTCTTATTATCCTCATTGAAGTTTAGAAGCTCAATTCGACTTTTCTTTCTCCCATCCTTGAATGCAGAACCCCCCTTTTGTGTTATGCCGACGAAGAAATAAGGAGAGGTATCGCGAATGAAAAGACCAATAGAAAACTCAGTAAGTTGCAAGAGATTGGCCTCATGAAATGCGGCATTGTTAGTAGACACGCCCTCAAGGTTAGCAGATTCATCTCGCACATAGTCTAGGCCACTTTCCGACCCATTGGTCCTTTCATGCCTCACATTCTTAATAATGACATAGCTAAGTGTGCGAAGGTTCCGTAAAAGGGGCCGAATCTCGGTGGCCACAATACCATCAGCGATGAGCACATCAAAGTTGTCTCGTTCCTCCAGGCTGTCAATTTCGTCTATCCTCCGGACTTTCACGTTCCCGGAATCCTGGTACTTCGTAGTAGCGGTTGTTACGTCCTTCTGTGACAGCAACTCTAGTTGTAGATAACTACAAGCGTTCCTGTCAAATGAATGGGTTCCACGATCATCAAGCCATAAGCTCTCGGCCTGGTTGTGGGCATTTATTTCCAACACTCTCACATCTGGCTTTTTGAACGCGATCATGTCCAAGAGTTTACTGACCTTCTGGGCCGAGGTTTGGTGTTGACCCAACAACCTTTCCAGTTGTTGTTTGGAACAAGTTGAAATATCCGGCCCATAGATACTACAATTATAGACGTGGGAGTTACTTTCGTTCTTCTCCATTTCCAGGGATTGGTAACGTAGGCCATGCATCTCGTAGACAAGCTCATGTGTCTCCTGATTAAATGCCGACACGTTAGACGTATATGCCTTTACATCATCAATTCTACCGAGCCCATTCCATTCCGATGAAGCTGTTGCTAGAGCTGTCTTCACTGCGCAACTTTGCTCTGGTATGATTAACTCATCAATAATATTGGGGAGAAGCCTGGTATTCACCGCAGTCCTATCACCTGCCCAGATGGAGGCCGACACGGCCTGGAAACAAGCATCAATACTAGTTGGGTGCAAAGGATAGAGAGACTGAGGCCAACGAGATTGCGGCTCTTCGAATGAAAGCAAGGTGCGGCTTTGTCGAGATCCCATCGTTGATTCGACGAGCAGTGATTTCTGGAAGCTGGGTCCAAATGTATAACCAACTTCCCTCATAGCTTTGTACCACGTTTCTGCGGAGGAAGCATGTTGAAACGGCTCCATATCGGCTGCTTTCGCGTATTTTCGTATACCATCACTCTGTATTCGTATTAAGCCGCTCGAGTTTCTGCTTAGCACTTCGTGTATCGAAGTGAATACAGTGAATTCATACCACCCATCGTCTAGCCCAGATTTAGGTATCAGAGTAAGCAATATCTCATGTTTGGTATCTTCATCTTCCAGTACCATTGCTTTTGAAAAGTGGCATCTTTGTAGTTGATATGACACTTGGTGGACGTTTGTATTTTCTGGAATATTACCCAGCGCCTTTTGCATTTGGAATATCGCTTCGATGGCCATGGCCAGATAGCCGGCGGCTGGGAATACGATGCTCGTGCCGAGTCGATGATCCCTAATCCAAGGAATGTCTTGCAATCGAAGTATCTTCCTCCAAGCCGGATGCTGCCAAGGTGTGCCAAGGACCTTACTACCAAGGAGATCGTGGTGGACGAATTTGCGGAATCGCCAGTCTTTACTCGCATTACTTTCATGCCAATATTTCGTAGAATGATTCCAGCGGTAGTTAGGCAGGTCTACTATGACAGATGGAACGTAGCCGCCGTTGGTACCATTAAAGTGCATTAGATTGACGGATCCGCCCCTAATAAAAATACCCCCGAGTACGTTGCAAATCGCCATTCCTGGGTCTACACCTCTTCTCCAGGAAGCTACGTACTCGGCGGAAGAGCCAACTGATTTCTTAATCTGGGTGATAGGCGCGGATAACGCATTGCTAGGCCCAATTTCGATGAGCATGTCGATTTCGCTTTTTAGCATTTCTTGCATTGCTGCACTGAAAAGAACTGGAGAAAGCATATTCCTTTCCCAGTACGTTGTGCCATCTAGGCCTGTAATTTTTCGCCCTTCGACTGACGAGTACATGGCTGCCTTTCCTATGCCTAAGGGTGGCCATTCGAAGTTGTTCTGCATGAGCCTTCGGTACATCGACGCTGCACTCGCCATGTAGCTAGAATGATACGCAGAGTCAACGTGCAACATCCGAGCAAAGTGACCGTCCCCCTTAATGCGTTCCTCCAATTCCGTCAACTCATGGCGTAATCCAGAAAGAGTGATGCTTTCAGGGCTGTTGATACACGCTACCTGAATGCTAGACTTCGAACTCAGGTACGCTGTGATGTGATCTTCACCTAGCCCTACAGCCATCATACCAAGGGGAGTTTCATTCGGCATCTCGCCTGTAGCTTTGCCACGATAATAGGCAATCCCAATAGCCTGTTCTGGCGTCAAGAATCCGGCGGCGACTGCCGCCACGATCTCTCCCGATGAATGCCCTATGACAGCGTCATATTTCACATCAGAATCCTCTAGAACGGCCAATATCGCGAGCTGTAAAGCTGCAACAAGTGTTTGGGACAGTTCCGGTCGTTTATAGTATTCTGGCGTTCGTGGTTGGGTTAGTTCATCAAGAAGGGACCATTGAGGTCCACCTGGAAGTTGGTTTAAAGTGCATTCTAATCGATTTATGTGCTCCCTCGCTACTGGAAATGATGATATTAGGTCTTTTCCCATCTGTGGCCATTGTGCTCCTTGTCCGGTGAAGACCAACCCGATGCGCGGCGGTAAAGTCACCTTCCCGTGGACCAGTGATCCTACAGAAATTTCGGTGTCGCTGGTGATGATATACCCGCGGTGAAAATGGCGGGTTCTCTTTTCGGAAAGAGTGTAAGCTAGGTCCCGAAGGTCCACGCTTACAGCGGGAAAGCTGAGGTGTTTATCCAAGGCGGTTACATTCCCCTTCAAGGATTTTTCGTCGTTGGCCGAGAAAGCCAATAGGTACGGCCTATGGTAAGTTTTCTCTTTCGCAAATATATCATTAGTATATGAAGTAACGTGGCGCGAAGGGCCTTTCCAGGACTCCACGATGACATGTGCATTCGATCCTCCGTACCCGAACGAGTTTACCCCGGCTCTTCGTAGCTCCGACGGCGAGTCCCATGGACTAGTGGTTCTCAAAGGCTGGAGTTTGAGCTTTTGAAAGTCGATATTGGGGTTTGGTATCTTAAAAGTTGGGTTCCCTGGGATAATGCAGGACTCGATTGCCAGTGCTACCTTAAGCAGACCAGAGATGCCAGCGGCTGGTTCGCTATGCCCAATGTTGCTTTTCACCGATCCTATCTTTAGAGGATTATCCTGCGATCTAATGGACGAGAATACTGAAGCTACGCCGTTGGCCTCAATAACATCACCTGCTTTTGTTCCAGTGCCATGGCATTCAACGTAAGCTATAAAACATTGTCAGACTAGTCTGTGTTGAGAATGATGCCGTGACTTACAAGTAGTACAGAGGTCTATGATACCAGCATTTTCATATGCTTGTCTGATTACAGTTGCTTGGGCTGCAGGGTTGGGGCTTGCGATGCCTGCTGTCCATCCATCGCTACCTGTGGCAGTGCCACGGATAACTCCTCGAATTGGATTCCCATCGCTGATAGCATCGCTAAGGCGTCTCAACACCACCATATTCACCGCCTCGGCCTTTACATACCCATCCGCCTTCGCGTCGAAGCTATGGCATAAGCCAGTTAGCGACGCCGTTCCATTGGCGCTAAGTCCATCCATGACGTGTTCCGGACTGAGGTAGATATTACAGCCTGCGACTATAGCACTACTAATCTCTCCCGTTTGAAGATATCTATTAGCGAGGTCGATAGCAACCAGGCCCCCGGAGCAGGCAGTATCGATCGTCATGCTTGGCCCTTTTATATTTAAAAAGTGGCTGATACGGTTACTCAACATAGCCCTGCCTATCCCTAACGTTGTAAATAGAGCCCGGTCTTCAGGGTCGCGTGCCTGTATGTCACCATAATCGACTGCGTAAGACCCCACAAAACATCCAATTGGCTGTCCATCGATCTCTTCCATAGTTAATCCCGCGTTTTCTAGTCCTTCGTAAACAACTTCTAGAAGCTGCCGTTGCTGAGGATCCATAGCAGTAGCTTCTGACTTGGGTAACTTAAAGAAGGAGGCATCCAAGTCTCGGGGGTCAGCATCGATAAACATTCCCCCCGGGCTCGTCATAGTGTTTCGTTTCGTTGAGGAATCATGATGCGTACCGATCGTAAATCTTGACTCAGGAGGTGTTCGAGGCGCAATCCCTCCTCTTTTGATGAAATCCCAAAATTCATTGGGGTTATTGCACGAGCCTGGAAGTCGGCACGCCATGCTGATGATAGCAATTGGGACTTGTTTTGAGCCACCCCGTAGCCGTGGTTCCATATTATTTAAAGAGGCCATATTGAGTTAAAGTTGATCTCAGATACGAAACTATTCGGAATAGAAAGGTACCTTTCAACATAAACACAATATAGGAGGCAATGGAGGGGGCAACGTTATTATCACGCCTATGTGATATATTATTAACCCATGCACCCTACCAAGTGCAAGGTTGATAGGTACCTTTCTTGGCTTGGACGCCTAGGTACCTAACCTAGGTAGAAAAGGGGCTTACCTGAGGAAATTCATAATCCGCATGGCTTACCTCACCCGTCCCCACCGTGTAACCAATCCTCACGTAATATATCACGTTTTTCATTTAATTCTACATTTACTGAATTGTTCTATTACTCTGGTCCCTCACTAGATTTTTAAGTCTTCACGAAATTCTCATCAATTTTATAAATTTGAAATTTGACTCGTGTGCCCTTAGCTACGCAATCATCACTTGGCTATTCTGACGTATTATATCGCTTAGCCCACCCGTATTCTTTTCCTCTTCTTATATATGGATCATCTTTTATTTTGGACAATTCTCTTCTCCTTCTCGAGACTTATCTAATCCATAACCTTAGGGTCAACTTGCTTCCCGAAACATTAAATCTTCTTCAGGTTATTATATACGCAGGAGCATTTCGGTAGCATAGATGGGGGCATTTGAAGATGTTGAGTTTCAAACCATCGATGGGCTTACTTTGAGAGGCCGGGTCTATCATGCGGATCAAAGGGGTCCGGCCATTATTATGTGCCCTGGAGTACGTCATATCTAACTACCTACCCATATACCTTTCAAATCAGATACACATATTGTTAGTCATAAGACTTATACGATTCAACAGTTTAATTGTGTCCTGGAGATGGCGGGTCTCCCCGCTGTTGCAGAAGGGTTCCAGACAGCCGGGATAACCGTATTGCTATATGATCCACGCAGTGTAGGAGCAAGCGATGGACAGCCGCGCAATGATATCGACCCATTCAAGCAAGTTCAGGATTATTCTGACGCTCTGACATTTTTGAAGAACTTGTCCACCGTAGAACCTCGCCAAATCGGCTTCTGGGGGACTTCACTCTCAGCAAGCATAGCACTAAGCGCAGCTGCGTTCGATAAGCGCGCAAAACTAGTTATTGCAGCGTCTCCAGTGGCCGAGTATCATTACAACAACGACAAGATGCAACAGGTCTTGAGGACTTGTCTGAAGGATCGAGAGTCTCAGATTAAAGGAAACCCCCCCTTCTACATCCCGATGATTGATGAATTTGGACAGAATCCCGCTGGCCTTGACTTTGGATACAACCCCGAGAAAGCAGCCGCATGGTCAAGAAGTGGGATGGGGCTGGCTTCTAACCATGTTAACCGAACGACAATTCAATCATATCATAAACTTGCTATGTGGGTTCCGGGGGCTATGTGGAAACATATAGACCAAACACCAGTTCTATTCTTGATTCCGGAAACAGACAGGATCTGCCCACCTGAGGAACAACTGCGGCATTTTAACAATCTCAAGGGGCCAAAGAAGTCCTACGTACGGAAAGGAAAGGGGCACATGAACCTGCTCGAAGGCGAACATGTTGACGAGCTCATTAAACTACAGGTAGACTTTATACGTGATGCTATCGAAGGAAGAGCTTTTTAAACTCGCTCTATTACAATAGGCCTTAGGTATAATAGCTAGTCGTATCAGTTCTTGAATTTCCATCTCATTGGCCGCCATTGAAAATCGAGCTCCGCCTCATCTTAGCCTACTTATAAATCTCTCAACGGCTAACCATCATATTAAAGTCAGCGCCCTGCTCCAACAATACTTCAACAACACCATCGTAACCTGCAAGTGCGGCTAGATGTAAAGGTGAGTAGCCTTCGCAGTCTTTCAAATCAACATTGACCCGGGGAGTCTGTAATAGCAATTCGACTATAGGCCGAAGGCCTGCCGTAGCTGCCATGTGAAGTGCTGATCTGCCTAATTGGTCCTGGATATTGACATCTACAGGCGACGCCTGCATACGTTCCTCTTCATAGCCCGTATTATCCAAGAATACTCGCACAGTCTCAATGTGATTCTGTTCTACTGCTAGATGCAGGGCGACTTTCCCTTGCCTATCTCTGATGTTCGAATCAGGCATGCGTTTCAGTAAGATGCGCACTACAGCCGCCTGATTAGACTCGGCAGCGAGATGTAGTGCTGTTTTCCCAACACCATTACTATATATACCTGTTTGTAGAGGTCTGTCGGTGTTCCTATAAGGAGCGCAAAAATCTATCTCCATGCTAGTTTCAAGTGTCACTGATGGTCCCACAGTAGGTGACTATAAAAGGGTAACACATATTAGCATGAATGACGGTGCAACTAGTTGGCCATAAGACATACATTATCTGTAGATATATCCCCCATATATCGTAGAAACTCTGATCCGGCTTCCCTCTGTACGGCCACATCGAGATTGTGGTTATCGTGTAGTAAAGACTCCGTCGTCTCGCCTACGTTAATGCCGGGCGTCGATGAGCTTGATGATGCCTTGCAGCTCGCAGATGAAGGTCGTCCTAACAAAAGCAGGTCCTCTATGTTGGAATTCGTCGAGGCATCAGTGCGTTCTCGTCCGGGAGGTAGTAAATTTACCGTAGGCGTTGTCAACAATGTCTTCTCGGTATTTATGGCGCTATTCTGTTCGGTGGCTTCGGGTCGTGCACCATTATTGAGTCCAGTGAAAATAAGTGCTAAGTCACGCCACTGCTCAAGGTCTTCTATGCGTCTCTTCATCTTTTTTCCTACATGATGCATGATGTTATTGATATGTCAGACATACCACTTTCGTCTTCCCGATGATCCGACTTACGATATGTCCGCTGAGCAAGCCGATTCTGCATACGCTTGCGTTGCTGTAAATCCATTGCAACTTTCATAGAATCACCAAATCCGGCCTGATATCACGGGTAGTAGCAGGGATACATACTAAGTAGGTAGATTTATTATTACTATTCTAAGAGGTAGAAATATCTTCCTCCTGGGAGGAAAATACATCGGCGTCAGCGCGAACGTAGCAAGGGTGCATCTGCAAGTCATCGTTACACGGAACGCGGAACAGATCTATGCAGTTGGCGCCGGTGCCGTGCTCTTGCAGATATACCTAGTTCCATCTTGTTGGGTGATCGACTTTCCGGAGAGGGGTCTCTAATCTTATATGTTCTCGCAGTTCAGCTATAATAAGTTGCGCCACAGAGGTAACAATGATAAAAATAGCGCAGATACTACCCTCTCTCATTAGTGGGCGACTCGCTATTTTTTGTGACTAATATTTTATCACCAACACACCTCTACTTTACATAGTCGGGCAAGATCCCCTCCAACGCGATTTCTTGTGTAATCTTGTGCCGCTCGTAACCCTGTAGTCTATCTAGGCACTTTCTTAATCTTACCATCGCTATCTAAGCTGAAATCTCGGGTTTCCTGAATCTAAATATATAATAGTACTTGAAATAATCAATGATTCTGATTCTTACCTCTTACCTACCTCTTACTTACTTACTTACTTACTTACTTACTTACTTACCTACCTACAGGCTACTTTAGTTACCCCGAGTAGCAAGGACAACACCATGCCTTATTCATTCGCAGACAACTATGAAGGGGTAAAATATTTTATTCCTTCTGTTGTGTTTCAAGTCCTCGCATTGTTGGCAGTTATATTGCGACTATGGAGCCGCCGTATCCAGCGGGTGTCACTACAAGTGAATGACTATGCAATCCTGTTAGCACTAGTAGGTTCATGATATACTTAATATCAAATAGTCATAATAGCAGGTTCTAATAGGTCTATCTTAGGTTTTAACGATTGTAAATCTCGGTATTTTGGGTGCATGTAAGTCAGAGCTATTTTGATGGACGGGCAGTACCTACCTTAGGCACTTATAAGAGGAATCCTTGAATAGGTACCTATCCATATTAACATTTGATACTCCCCTAGCTGTCACTGCAGGATTAAGCATACACATATATACTTTAGCTCTTGGAGACGTTTTTCAATTCTCAAAGGCACGTCTTCTATTAGCTCCCCGGGCACCCTGATTGCCCTCTCATTAGAGTCAGTATGTTAATTATCATGATTAGTTACAAACCGCTATCTCAGCAATCTGGCTCTGTGCTCTTTTGGCCATTAAAGTTTCAATTATTGACATATATATCAAGATCTTCAAGCTTTCATGGTTCACCAAGATGTGCTATAGTTACCTCGTAATTGCAACTCTCTGGACCATTGCTGCTTTCCTGGAGGTCTTTCTACTGTGTCGGCCGCTGGCCTACCAATGGGACAAATCGATCCAAGGAGGAAAATGCGGCAGCTTCTTTGCCAGCTACTACTCAACTCACGTTATCATATTCCTACTGGATTTTGTTCTTGCGTCGATGCCCGTGCCAGTGTTGTGGGTGTTGAAAATGGAGTTAAGGAAGAAAGTCGCGGTGGCGCTAATGTTTGGGCTGGGGTTAGTGTGAGTACTAACCTATGCACCCGACGTTTGATGCTGTTGAGAGGTATATACCTAGGTACCTAGGTAAGCAACGCTAATGGCTCTCTAATTTGTAGTATAATCGTCTTTAACCTAGTCCGTATCGCGTGGCGCAAGAAGGTTGCGAGTCCGGACGTCACACACGAGTATGCGATACTATTTTGCTTTACTGTTCTAGAACCCGAGCTCGGTATCCTCCTAGCCTGCGTTCCCGTCGTACAACCAGTTGTACGAAAGTTGGCAAATACGACGCCTCTAAAACAGTTAGGGTCTTATTTCTCACAGCGTAAAAGTACATGTGATACATCGCAGGCTAACCCAATACGAACCATTGGTTCTGGTAATCAACGTCATAATTTAAATGACTTGGGATCGTTTGACCTGGAGACGAATGGCAACAGACCTTTTCATCGGCTCTATGACTACGAACTGAGAAGTATGGATGTGGGTATGGGTCATGGAATTCAAGTTACACAATCTTGGGATGTGCGACGGAATGATTAGACGCCACAGGCGCTTAGAACGGGACCTGAGTTAAGTGCAGATTACTAAAGTTATATGTACCTAGGTACCTAACCTAGGTATATAAAGAACAAATAAAATTGCATGCGTGAAATACATTCCATAGTATCCGTGCAGTTCCCAATCCCCAAGGTACGAATTCAAACATGTTGCTTCCATTGCGTTTCGCACCACTCCCACAATTCAGCGGCTTTGCCTTCTGACGCTGCATTCAAGACATCAGGCCGCGCAATTGGCTGGATTCGACCCCATGGCCAGATATACGCACCGTTAGTATCTTGGCTCACCTCAGGAGACAACCCAGAATACAGCATGGTATAAGCGCCATACTTAGCCTCGTATAATACAAATCTCTTCAAAAACGCGACAAACAGCCGGTTTTCATTTGCATAGATGCCCGTATACAAGTTCCCGGGGTTCTGACAGACACTAACAATGCCGTATCGACCCCAGCGGCGAGCGCCTTCAACTGCGAAGAACCAGTTGCCTGCCTTAGATGCGCCGTAATCCTCGTACGTAACTGTAGTGGGTTTCTCGATGCGTGTGAAATCGACACCATTCTGAGGTGCCGACATGTCGATCTGTATTGAGCCCGACCATACGATCCGTACGCTGCTCGGAGTGGCCGTCTGTGCTGCTGCGCGGAGCATCGGTAGGAGTTCCTGCGTGAAGAGTAGCGGAGCAACGCAGTTCGCACCTATGTGCGCCTCGAGGCCCTGCTTCGTTACACTCCCCGGTGGGCATCCATTGCCAGCGTTATTCCACAGGATATCCAGGCGCGTCTCTTGCGCAGCGAACAACTCCGCTGCTGGTTTGACCGTTTTCAGATCGGAAAGATCGAGGAGTAAGGGTTTGAGATTCGACGGTGTTGTAGGAGGGGGCAAGACTGAGCTAACTTCGGCTATAGCAGCTTGGATTTTTGCGGGCGAACGTCCTGCAAGGTAAATGGTGGCGCCAGTAGGATAGAGGAGCTTCACGAGAGCAAAGCCGATACCTAGTATAGATAGTACATGTTAGTAATAGTCTAACTAGATAGGTACTTACATGGTCTAAAATATACTGTAGGGCCGTAGAAATACGGAGCTGGTTAGGAACGGTACCTGAATTAGCGCCGGTGATGATAAAGACCCTGCCGACTTGACTACCGGGACCGACGTCCTTTTCCGTGAATGTGGGGGCTGGTGGGTAGAACTGCTGCCAGAGGGCCCAAAGCCCGGATAAGGTAAGCATGATGAGTCTTTGCTGGATACCTATCTACAAACGGGCAGGAATTCTATATATGGTGTAGAGAATGAAAATTGGGATGATTAAAGGGAGAGATATCATTAGAGCTTAGGTTGCTACAAGCTACCAGAGTTACACAAATTACGAGAGATATAGGTGGTAATGCCAAGGCCATCTCACCTCATAATCAATGTAGGTTACGTGAGGTTCTTATAGAGGTACCTATGTACCTCTAAAGAACTGATTACATCTCAGTTTGAAACTTACATCACACGTAATGAGGATTATTACAGGTTAGTTTAATATAAACCATGATCTAGGTTTACGTGATATGAATTCGTACGAGAATCATGTAAGTCAAAGCTGGGACTTCATGTGGATAATATGTCTCATCTCACGGCGGTTTAGGCTTGCCAAGCCTCACAGCTAAGCAAATCAAACGTATAAGGCAAGAACTTCGAAATATTTGCCTGTTTTTTTTTTTTTTTTTTTTTTTTTTTACGATATTAAAATATCAGTTGTCGGGGTATTCGTGACGTTATACTTCTTTTTATTTTTCTTTTCCTCTCTATTAAAAGGTAGGTAGCTAAAGATGGCATACATTACACTGCTAGTTGCGTTACTACCGCTCGTAGCTACTATTGCAAGATGTCAACAGTGTCGATGTATTCCTGGAGATCCATGCTGGCCATCATTGTCAGATTGGGCTGCTTTCAATGAGACAGTGGAAGGGCGGCTAATTACTACTATACCCTTAGCTTCATTATGCCATGAACCGTTCTACGATGAAGTCAAATGCACAACCCTAAAACAGGATTGGCCATATGCTCAAACACAGTATGTCACATTCTCATAAATTCCCATCCTTCTTAGCGACTAACGAAAAACGATTGAGCAGTATTCCGTCTTCCTCGTCGGTGTTGGCTCCGCTAGCCCAGAACCAGAGCTGCGACCCTTTCACACCTCCAGAATCAGCATGTCGACTAGGCAATTATCCCGCCTATGCCGTGAATGCCTCAAACGCAGATCATGTTGCCGCTACATTACGGTTTGCCCGCGAGCAGAACATACGTCTCATTATTAAGAGCACTGGTCACGATCTCCTTGGGAAGAGTAGTGGCGCTGGTTCCTTATCTATATGGATGCGCTCGTTCCAAAATTTAACTATTACCGAAAACTACTATGGCAGTAACACTTACAATGAGTATCATGGCCCCGCTATTCAGATTGAGCCTGGCGTGCTCACTTACCAAGCACTAGAGGCAGCCCAGAAAGCTGGGCTCCGCGTCGTGAGCGGTACTTGCACTACAGTCGCCATAGGTGCCGGGTACGTCCAGGGAGGTGGCCACTCCATCCTCAGTTCTAAATACGGACTCGCCGCTGATAATGTTCTGGAGTGGGACGTAATGACAGCAGATGGCCAGCGAATTACAGCCACCCCGTTTCTAAATAGCGATCTCTACTGGGCACTTAGTGGTGGTGGGCCAGGTGTTTTCGCCGTCGTCCTTAGTGTAACCGTCAAGGCTTTTCCAGACGGTACGGTTGTGGGCGCAGGTGTGACGTTCAATTTAACATCGGCGCCTAGTGAGGACGCTTTCTGGTCCGCAGTGGAATCTTTACACGCCTCTATGCCGGCGTGGCTTGAGCAGAACGCTACGGCAAGCTATGTAATCGCGGGTGGTATACTTACATTACAACCACTCACACTACCCGACGGATCCGTTGATAAAGCCCGCGACCTCATTCAGCCTCTCCTATCTAATCTTACATCACTCAAGATCCCGTATACATACAACATAACATCCTTTCCCACTTTCCTTGACCTCTACACTACATATTATGGACCACTACCATATGGGCCGTACGGTGCCTCCGAGGTCCAAGTCTCGCGGTTACTCCCATACTCCATTATAACTGACAGTCATAAGACGAAAACCCTAGTAGATACACACCGCAATATCACCGCCTTGGATAGCTCGTTTTGGATTGTTGGGACAGCATTGTCGCTCCCACAGATACCGTCCGCCGCTCCTTCCAACGCAGTCTTGCCGGCGTGGCGCGACGCCGCAATCCACCAGATGATAGTTTCTATATGGGACTGGGAAGTTCAATGGCAGACAAACCTACAGAAGCAGAACATTTTGGTCAACACAGTGCTTCCTACACTACGAGATCTATCGCCTGGGTCTGGAACATATATGAATGAGGGAAACTCCGACCAAGTAGATTGGAAGGAAGCTTTCTACGGGGTAAACTATAAGAGACTTGAGGATATCAAAGAAAAGTGGGATCCCACTGATGTATTTTACGCTCATACGGGTGTTGGGAGTAGTGATTGGGGACTAGATCACGAAGGAAGGCTATGTACAGTAAGATAAAGGACATAGGATGTCGGTGCTCCTTACGAGAAAGCATAGTACAAGACGGTCGAAAACGATCGGTTATAAACTTTAACAAATCAACATTAAAGTACTCTTAGGTACCTACTTATATTCCATTTCATTTTAACAGAGTTGTAATAATCCAGCTTTTTGTTCAAGTTAACGTAAAGTGAAGGCCTTACATTTAAAATCATCATCAATAGCGAAAGTTTTACTAGCAACTGTCACTCTTACCTAACTCTGAAGCCTCAGCGCTTAACCCAGCTTTAATTTTAGTTTAGTTTAAGCCTCTCATTCCAAGAACATATATCACATGTTATGGCCATCCTATTCTTTATAAAAACCAGTGTACCTATATAGCGGACCAAAAGCACATCTATTCGATATATTGAAGTGTACCACGTTAACAGTTCTATAGAAAAACGTATCTTCATGAGGCACGAGATATATAAGCCTTTCGCAGATCCTCAAATTTCCAGTATTAGGGTCTTGTATACCGCGTTAGTAGTTTCTGTTTGTATTCAATATATATTCGACAATTATGTGCACTAGGTTATCGTAGCCATGTCTATAATAATTAACAGACGAAAAGAAAGGGAGGGACGCTTAGAAAGGTAGTATCACGCTATACTGCCTGTTAAAAAGAATACGTGGCGGCATATCGAGATGACTTGTTTCTGGAGAATGTAAAGTTACAAAAGCCATATGGTAAGAGTAGTTAGTTGCTTTAGCGAAGACGTAAAGCTGCTAAAATCTTTGAACTTGAACCAAATGAGGCTTCATTGTAAAGGCAACAGTTAAGCGCTGGAGGTTAGATAGGTACCTACCTTCCTTGCTTGCGATATCAAATTTCTTGTGAATTTATTCGAGATAGGATTGTGGCCGATTTTTAATAACTTCATTTCTTTATTTCATCTCAAGGCTATGCTTTTTAAAAGCAACTGAAATTTTCATGCTATATGGTGGTTATGAAACAAATACATTTCCTATTCAATTATTCTATGCTGTAAGTTACCAGAAAAGTATTTTATTATATGGACCACATGATTATCTAGCCCAGGTAACCTTAATTATACTTTGCTTCTCTAATTATGTTGTTTCATTCTGATCTTGTATACTTCTATGATACCTCATGCTTTTACGCCCCATTATTGGTCCATGGTAAGTTATGACTTTAGAGGTAAAGTAAAGTACGTATACTCATAGGCCAAATTACATTATTAATGATTATTATACCGTCAACCTCGGCGATGGTTTGGCAATAGTTGTCGTGGGGTAGGGTCTGAAGAAAGAAGCCATATATTCCCATTGTATGTGCTGTCTCACATTAATCGAGGTTAACGAGAAAGGAAGGGGAGAGGAGGGAGAGGAAAGCGAAGCTCGCGTTCTAATACTCCTACCAAGAGCTCGCCGTAAGTACCTAATGTATCCACCCAATGAGGTAACTACTATTTGCAGATTATCGTTAATTGTATATTGCTGTAGGCGCAATGGTAACAAGAGGAATATGGGTCAGAGCAACCGAGACTTCATCTACTCGTCCTCCTGCCGCCGCCGTTGTCCCTATCCGGGGGCCTGTTAATCCCCCGATCGCCCCCTTGCATGTATCGCTTCCCACCGACCTAGACTTGCCGATACTCGATTATTCACAATTTGGTCTTTTGCTATTCTCCCCGGAGGCTTAAAATTATGTGCAAGTGGCTAGAGGCACTTAGATGAGCAATTAAGGCAATTTATATTGTAATCATTTAGTATGTCATTATTCTTGCCTATCTGGTGTAGCCTTATACTTCTTGCGCATGTCTGAGTAAAGAGTGCCGATAAGAATTTGGAAGGGATATCGGCGGGTATACTGTAATGAATACTTTGCGGTGATGCTATATTGGTATCTACTATTAGAAATCAAGCTTCTAACTACCTACGTAGAGATCTTGAAAATTGCGACGGCACGGAATACTACCTGTGGGTATTATATGTAAATCAATACCAAATGTCTTGGACGAACCTTGCAAATAAACACTTAAAGGGGCGGCTATCCACCTAAAGGGATTACTGCTTGTCCGTTTTTGTTAAGGCCATTTTCCACTTACCGTCTCAAGCACGGTAAAATACCTAACCTATATAGACGTACATAGCGCTTAATATACTACCCAGGTAGCATGCCCCCATATACTGTCTCCTATGATGCAACTTATAAGGCTAGGCCACGTGGATATTAATTTTTTTTTTCAAGAGCTAACCTAAGAGGCCTTTCCTGCGGGCCACCCACAACACATTAAGGATATGCCCCTAGGGTAAAGAGCTTCATCTGTTTGGGGGACTTACCAATGACCCCCTCGTCACTCTACTTGGGGGGTCTTCTACTTTAGAAAGTTAACGTAAACACCAAGGGGTCTATCTTGATAGGTACCTTTATTAAACCGTCTACTATGTATTATATCTTCTCTTATGTAAACGAGGACGGGACGGGGAATGCAAGAGTAATAGATGATGACTCAGGCTCGATTTATAGACGTGAAGCCACCATCGCCACGGCGCCACACAAAAGCTTACAGCTTGCAGCTTGCAGCTCGCAATTAATCTGATGCGCTCCGGTCAGCTGGACTTCCAACTGGCCCGCCTTGTCTCCGCCTACTTAAGGCAAGGTTTCAACAAAGCAACATTTAAGTGCCGAATCTAAGATGTGCCAAGAGAGCTCACATCTTGTATGATGTCACGTACAAGCTACTGTGTAAACGCTAAACGTGGTAGCCAGGTGGTAATTCAAGATTGCGCATAGAGCTATTCCCGTGTATGGAGAATGGCAATTTTTACTGCTACGTCATCCAGCGGTGGCCTCATACTCAATTCTCTTCAATGAGAACTGAAGCCCAATGCCCATCTAACTGCTACCCGAGGCAACCCAGAAGACCTGTCACATATCAACTATCCCTGGGCCTCAGGTAGACCGGTCAAAAGACTTAACTGTGTATAAGCAAAGCAGGTCGCCAACGACACAGGGGAAGGCTCGGCGTATGCAGATGGACGCTTGTAGAAGGATAGGACATGATATCTAGGAAGGTCCAGAACGACCCCGTCCGGATATACGGCCTTGTTCGTCGCCACACACGCGCGTACCCCGGAGGATGGATCGTCGCGGCAGCTGTCGGCGCAATAGATTGCGAAACACAGGGACTGCGTCATTATCTTGTTATATTATAGGTATATAGAAAAAGGCGGGATCCTTCCAACCAAGAGCGAATGCAGATAGATGATTCGAGATCGAGCGCCGGCCCATGCGACCACCCGAAGCGCACGCGTTATCCGCTTACGGTGGTGCATGTGGAAGACTGGGATTGGCTTGCGAGACTCGGCGGGAAAAAAAAAAAGGTTGAAGAGGGGGGGGCAATAAGATCACTGAAAGGCGCCCCCTCCTGCAAGATTGCATGGAGAAATCGAGAGATCGGGTCAAGTTGCTCAGACCAAAAAAGTTAAATGAAACGACAGGTCTCTTTTTCTCTCTTTTTTCATACTTCCGAATCCTCGATAATGGCCGCGGGAAATCTGATGGTCAGCTTACCACCTCGACGCCACTCCGTCCCGCAGGGCAACGGATTACTGTGAACCTCGACAGTTACATCGCTGGGTGGATTTGCAGCAGCGACGATTGCATTGCATGGAGGGCTAGCAGGGCGTATAGCTTGTTGTGTATAAGTAGCCCGGGGTTCGTTGGTTCGTTGGTTGATTGTCTCGGTTGACTGCATCTTACCGTCTATCCCTTGCTCACTTGCACGCTTTCGAGGCTAGACGAAGACGGGAACTTTAGGGGATCACGTAGCGTGTAGGCAATTCATAGGTAGGTGGGTTAGTAATAAGATCAGCTTTGCGCCGCTGATCTATGCGCGAAGCAAATAAAATCAGATCCGAAGGCGTGACTATGTACCTAGGAGGTAGGTTAGGTACTCATGAGTGTGCAACGAAGACGTTGTAGATGCTATACACCTTTGTGCGGATATCCTACTCGTTCTATTCTAGTTAGGTAAATTAGGTACTAGGGTATATTGAATACAGGTTGAATAGAGCGAATATACACGTTTTTTTTTACTAGGCTGCGCCTATCGGCTGGAGAGGGTAAGTTAAGACATACATCTATCATCTATTCTATGTACATGTATGGGAAATTCTATTGGGTAGTAAACGGAAGGGCTATATTGACAGTAAGGCTGAAACAACGGCTTGAGACAATGCTGTCAGTATCTTACATAATGTATTTATATTAATAGGCATCGTAGCACATGCTAGACGGGTAGGGGATTCAGAGCTCAGGTAGATTATCTCGATGCATAGGATCGTGATCTAAGATATCGAAAAAGGGAAAACGTAAAAGATTTGGCATAAGGAAAATGCGGTCGTACGAGTAGCTTTCTGATCCGCAAGCAGCCGAGGTATGGTATCAGCGAAGGGAATTGCTAATAGTGATTACAGCATAAGCCAAGCGTATTGTACCAATTCAAATGCATACATTGAATCGGGGGGGAACTTTATCGGCGATCACCTTTATTCAGCGTGGTTTAGGAGATACTGGTTTAGGTATCAGGGTATTTTGTTCAAGTAAAAACCGTGCGTCCCGATATGCGGAACGGTGATAGAGAATCAAGAGTGTGGTAGCACTCATCTCTAATCAGCGGCCTTCGTACCACGTATAGTTCCTTGAAATAATACCAGTGATTTGCAGTAGTTGACAACTCACCCCCCCGTTCGCTCTTGAACCTTTTCAACTTCGTGGGAAGTGATAAGTGACGAAAATGGTGCGCTTTGCGACGATAGGTCCTTCGGCTATAGAACACAACGTCAAAACGTCAGAGCTGATCCCTACACCGGGGGATATATCAGATGTACGCATAATAGAGTGCCCGCAGAGGAAGCCGGGCTGCTGAAGACTTGGCCGCCGCTCCACGACTTGGTATGACTTAAGGGGGAGGCTATTGGCTAGTCAAGCATCGCCTATGAGAGTAGCTGGCCCCTGACCCCAGGCGAGGCGAGAGCGCTGTATGGAGGACTGAAGTTAGAAGTCAGATCCTGCAATGCATCCATCTACATAATAGAAGCGGCAGGGAGGAAACGGTCCCGATCTACCTAGTTTATTAATTCGTTCAAGGACCAGGCTCTGGGATTGTCTGGTGGGCGGTGGGCTTTCCAACAATCGCTCACCACCACTCCTTTCACCGGACTTTGCTGCGCCAATAGGAGCTCATGAATATCCTAGATACCCTAGACACCCTGTCTTCTTCCCTGTCACCCTCCTTCGCCGTGATAAGCATGCAGTGGGTATAGTGGAACCCCCAGTGATCGCCGGGACCAAAGCCACAGAGTCGCATTCTTAGTTTTCCGAGCGTTGCATTGGGAGAGTTCCATCGTGTTAGGTAAGGAAAGCTCATGTGATATTCCCTAGATTCATTAAGCCTTGGGTTCAGGTCTTCTAAGGTTCCCTCTAGTGTACATATCGAAGAACATAAGAGGGCGGCAACCTGGTTACGTGCCCGGCCACCTCCGGATCCAGCCTACTGGCCTGCTAGTGTACCTATTATCATCTGGTCGACTTGTGTTGCCCCTGGTCTTGATTACGTAGTG